TGGAATAGTTCACAATTTTTCCAACCGATTCATCTGGAGGTTTCCAAGATAAGTAAATCGATGTAATGTTTGATTTAATTTTCAATTCGCTAATTGGTCCAGGCTCTAAAACAAATTTATTAAAAATACGATTCACATTAAATGTTAGTCAAACAAACTTTCTTCATCTGTTGTTATATCGTACTTAAATACGAGTTGATTATTTCTCCAAAATTGAATCATATAATTAGAATTTGGCTCTAATTCATTGCTGGAAACGTATCTATTTTTTTCATCAAATAATTTTATTGTATATTGATGGCCTGTACATTTTTCTACATCATCACTTTCCTAAAAACGATGTTCTTATTAAAACTTAATTATTTTAATTAAAAATATTTTTTTAATTACTTTAAAATTGAATGAGATTTGTCTGCTTTTTATATTTTCCGAGACATCGCTTCTTTCCACATCTAAAAAAAATATAGAACAATATTATTTACTTAGGAATTATAATTAACATAATTACCTTTGCAATCTGTATTTAAATCAAATAATGGTACAAATTCTCCTTCCATGCACTCGTCTTTATGACACAACACAATTCTTAACTGGTATTTTGTCAGAATATTTAATTTATCAAGTGATATATATTTGTCATTTATATTTTTGTCATAAATAACTTTCCAATTTCCGGCTTCAAATACTTCCACTTTGTATGAATCTGGACTGTTGCGTCCTTCATACTTCTCCGGATTAAATTTTATATTACATGTAGTGTAACAAGGTGTTTCAGCAACAGGGGCTTCTTTTAAATATGGTAAATTAGCTGAAACATGCAATTAAATAATTAATTATCTTTAATTGAATATAATAATTATGATTTACTCTCATTGCAGAATGGCTCTACGAAATACATTTCGCATCCGTTCGGACAGTTTCCAGTAATATGATGACATTGTGCCTTATCTTTGCAGTTACCACATTTCTCATTACAATTCGATCCAAATACGTTTGTCTTCAGGTTGTCACATTCTTAAAATAAATACATTAATTATTTTTGTGTGTGCGATTATATTTGTATGTACTTGGTTTGCAATGTTTTCCATAGTATCCCGGTTGACAGTAGCATTTGTTTGTCTCTACACAGGTCAGCGTTTCCTCGCAAATATCCGTGTTAAAGACAGATTTACATTCGATGCAGTCGTTTCCAAATTTATCGATTGAACAATTGCTACCTGTAAAAATATAAATTACAAACGAGAAAATAATATTGTACAAAATATAATACCTATTGTTTTAATACTATCGCCTATTGTAATGGATGAACTCGGATTGTTCAAAGATTCGCAAGAAACTTGATTTATTAGATTAGTATGAAATTCCGTATAAATTTTATTGATATTCGTATCGCAATCTGAATTTAGTTTAATATGACTAAAAAGAAGATCACTCTGCTGTCTGTATTTTAACGAAAATATGTATGATGTATTATCGTCTTGCACATTTTCTACTATTTTGATGAATTTCCAACGTTTCTAAAATATTTTATTTATTAACTTATATATTCCATTAATACAACAATACTTTTTCATTTTTAAATGTAATATCCTTAATGATAGTTTTATCTTGTTTTATTTGAATTGTTAATTCATGATCAAAATAAAAATAAGCGGACATGCATAACTTATTGTTAGAAGCCTGTATGCTATTCAAGAATATAATATTTGACACATCATAATCCGTTCGATAATATTCGTCTAAAAAAGTAAATAGTTTTAATACATTTTTAATCGATTTATATTATAATCACATATGTGTAGTTTCCAAATTGCGCCTTTCATCGATTTCATATAAATACTACTTAGACCATAGTATGGAATAGAATCTTCTGCTATAGATATTCCATTCAGTAACAAAGTATATATGTCTTTATTATATCTTATAGTATAGTGATTCCACGAATATTTACTGTATTGTGAAAATTTTTTCAAATTCTGAAAAACAAAATGTAATTTTCCAATTATTCTATCTTGAAATATATTATTTACCTCTTTTATATTATTATATTTATTACAATAATTGGCCGAAGTTTTATCTCGACATATTTGTGATGTTAGTATATTATTTTTAAATGATATTGTTTGCTTCCAATTCCTATTAGAATAAATTGACATTTCTGCATCCTCGTCATATTTTATCGAAAACGTTAATTCAAAGTATTCATCCAAATTCTGCTTCAAATATTTATTTACTTCTTGATCATTTTTACTTACAAACGTTTCGAAATCTAAAAATAAAATAGAATGTAGTCACACATCAACCAACATAAATCGCCCAATTTAACTTTGCCACCTGGGATCTAAAACTGGTCCTAAAGAAGATTGATAACTATTTTCAAATAGCCAATCATTGAATTTAGTAATATCACTTGTATCATCACCTGAAATAAAAAATATTTTTTATTATATAATATAATAAGCAAAAAAAACACACTTACTTTTAAAATTATAAAACGATTTATCATACGGTGTTATCCAACTTAATGTTTCGCTTTCATTGTTTGTAACACAGTAGGTTTCCAATTTACTATTTTTATTATTTTTTTGGCTAACAGTCGTTATTCCGTTCGAATATTGCACCATGCACAAATAAATTAAAACACTGATTATAAACTCAAAATGATCCATTTTCCGCAAAGGAAAACGAACACTGAATGCTATTATTTTATAATAATGTTAATATGTGAACTAAATCACATTTTTATTTATCTAATCGAGCCACACTTCCTATCCGTTAACCACCGCAAACCGAATGAATAATTACATTTGTTGCAACATTTCAGAACAAAAACGATATTCTAAATAAAACATAATAATTTTATTATTACTTTATTTTACTAATTTCTAGTGTAAGTGATTTTTCAGTTTCAAGCAAGGAAACATAATTGAAATTTAGAAATACAAAACAAAATTCTAGACTTTATAGATTTATATTTATCAGTTTACATAATTTAAACAAAAATACTTTAAGCAGAATTTAATGACGATTTCTTTCAATCATTTGGCATCAAATATCGTATAGAAAAACTTCCATAATTTTTATATTACGGAAGAAAACAAAACAAAAACTAAAGGAAGCAGGACGTAAAGGTGACGTATAATCTGCAGATAGCAAAAATAATATTTGTTATTGTCTGGATCATATTGACTAAGTTCTTTGTTTACAATGACTGATGCGTTTACCGGCTAATAAATCAAAGTTTTCTTTGGTTATAAATGGTTCCATGGAATGATATTTTCATTAATTGAAGAATGTTTCCATTTATTAGTGATATGATGACAAAATCTGATACAAAGGTAATATGTTCAAAACTAAGATCAACTCGGTTCTCGAAAAATTCCATTTCTGAAGAACAAGAAAAACAAATTGCGGTTCCTTGATTGTCTAACTGGTAATCAAGTACTAGGGATGTGGGCGAGAGATTGCAAATTAATTCCATTGCAAGATAAAAACGAACTTACATTTTCGTTTATTTTATATTTATTTATTATGTTAAAACGTATATAATATTTAATTATTGTTATAATAATTAACATTATGTGTTTACCCTTTAATGACGGCGTTGGGAACAAATTGTTAAATTTTACATAATGAAGAAATAGTTTTGGTTTTGAAAAGTTTGTTACTTGCATAATCAGTTGCCTATAACAACGATTAAGTCAAATTTAATTATTTAATGAAACTTTTTATTTATTAATATTTATTGGCCATAATGGACCCAAACGGCTATCGACCAAAGTATTTTTGCCTTTTTTTAATGTTTTATAAGATAAATTACAAAAATAACTTTATATTTTGTTCTTCAAGTAATAATATTGGATGGAGGAAAAAGTTCGGAGCGTTTTTCGTTACATGACTTTAGTGAGCCATATCTCATTGGCCATAATGGACCCAAACGGCTATCGACCAAAGTATTTTTGCCTTTTTTTAATGTTTTATAAGATAAATTACAAAAATAACNATTAAGGAAAAAGTTCTGAGCGTTTTTCGTTACATGGCCTTAGTGAGCCATATCTCACGTTGTATCTTATCATTCTATACTGCGACTTAAAGTCGACATAACGCTTTAAAAACAGTTTTGGTTTAGTGAATCCAGTTGTGCTATTATTAATTACAAATGAGGAAGACAGACGTAGATTATCTCGGAATACTGAATAGATCAACAGAAACTTGTAAATACGTTTATAAATCTGTTCGATTATCTAAAAGGATTTGTAAATTGAGTGTTCTTTTAGTAAATTGTAATTTCAGCAGCATTTAATGTCTGCTTTATTAAGTTGATCTCTCAACATTATATTGGATTATCTTAAGTGACATTTATTATATAGGAAATTGAAGTAAATTCAATTTGGGATACATAAAACTAATATACTTTTATTTAATATTATTACATAATAGTTAACTTTCATCAATATTACTCTTTATATAATATATGTATATACATAACATGTGTTCCTTTGCAATATCTTGTACAGCAGAATCTCTGATAGAATAAAAATAGATATATATATATACAGTTTCCTAGAGGAAAAAAATTAAGTGTAAGAGAGACCTTATTCTCTGGCATTTCTTATCTTTTTTTTTTGGTAAAAATGAATTTCTGATGTTTCACATTTAGTCAAGAGGTTTTAGATGCCGCCAGTGCCGGTCATCGTCTCCTGCACCGATTGCGGCAATTGATGTTTCTTGATGTTGGTGCTCAGTTGCCTGCTGGTTAAATTCGAGGCTTGATTCGACCAATCACCAGTTTGAACGACAGTTCTGTAGAATTTCGAGGTCGTCTTGTTGAATATGGGTAAAAGTTCGTTTGCCTCGTTTGACAGTGCCTGTGAAATACATTTTTTTTTTGTTTGATTAAATATGAATTTATCGTTGCGAATTATTGTTATACCTTCATGTAGATGACTGCATCAGTTCCGTAACCTTCGCACGATAATAACACCAAATCTCCATGGAAATACCTGGCATACAATCTAGATATCGGAAGTCCATAACCGTACCCCGCTAAAGGTACAGTGTGAGCGTCCGATTTGCTGGGTTGAGGCGCAGTCGAATACATATACTTGAATAAGTGATCGGTCGTGCTTCGAGATATGCCACCACCTCGATCTGACATCTGCGTAAACGAAAGGGAAACATGAAGGGATCACGGAAACTATATACAGTTTACACTGCACGAACCTTCAGACATATATCCTCCTTGCCTTTTGCTACGGTAACAGTGATCGGCGGATATTGATCGACTGATCCATGGTATTCCATGACGGCTCTCATGGAATTTTTGAACAGCTCGAACAGCATATGGTACAAGTGTGAAGGTACGTAGACGATCCTGATGTCGCGTTCGTGTTCAACTTCTGCAAAACATTTCAAAAACATCTAGTATATAGACTTCCATCAAAGATCAACACTCGTACCGTTATGCTGCGACTCATTGATTATTAAATCTGGTGATGCCAGATAATATTGATCACAGAGGAACCTCGCATTTTCGTATGCGTCTTTGATCACACTGACAATATCACAATGGGGATCGATGCAACCGATGTACTTGCTGCGATTCGGACCTGGCGCGTTCTCAAGTTGTCCGCCAAAAAGTAATGCTGGAAATCATTGGAAATTCACACGTAAATACTTGAAACTGATTAAATTATATTTACTGTGTTGATTGATGAGCATCCTTATGGATATCCTGGACATGTAGAATCTGTCCAGGAAATACTGTATGCTGTGTTCAGTCTGATGGTCGACGTCGTGGGATTCCTTCAGTTCGAGCACACCCTGCGCCATCGTTTCCACGACGTCTGCATGTCTGTTGCGGATTTTGACGAGACTGTCGCAGAAGTGCTCGAGAGTTTTTCCATTAATATCGGACTTTTCGAATTCGATTATCTCCTGGAAGCTGCGGATGTACCAATCGTTCACGGCAACCACGGACGGCATCCTCAACAGGTTCTCAGGCAGAAGCGCTATTTCTTTCATTATGTTTGCCAGTCGTACCGGAAGCTCTTTGCGAAGGAAAATGAATGACTTTTGTTCAGATGCGCTCAATCCTAAAACAAACTTACATTAAAAATCGTCCTATTATTAATAACTTAATGAAAGTTAAAACTCCACCAAAACATCACAGAACAAGTAAACAGCCTACGTCACACGCTCCTTAATACTCATGAATAATTAATTGCAGACAGTTTACACCTACGATACAAATTCATATTTCAACATATAAAATGTTGATGGTTGTTTTGAACAATTAAACGTTAAAACTAGACATGATCTCAACCAAAATTCTCAGCTTCAAACAAAACAAAGTTTTCATGTCAGAAACAAATCGTTTGTATCTTTCATCAAAGCATTTCTTTTCTTATAACTTTTCATTTCTTTTATAGGATAATTATCATGTACATGGACAATTCCATTGCAATTGTTGACAATATTAACATAACAAAAGATATAAAGAAAAACAAGTATTTGTCATTTATGCAATTATCGTTATGCAAATGCAGTTGTGTCTATTGAATGTAACGAATAGCAATAAAACTGAATTGCGTATACCACATTTTCAATGTTAAGTAAGGTCATGTGCAAGTGCGCAAAATGATACTATCATGTAACAGCAGAATAAAGCTGTTCAAAGTTAATTTGAATAAAAAATAACAGGTATTCACAAGAAACCTGAATATTTAAATATAAAAACACAGAAAAACGCTGCCGGGAAGCGTCAGGGAAATCCTTAAAATACAAATAATTGGTTCAAAGTCCGGATTACAAAGTTGCCAAGGAATAAAAAAAAATTGTATCAAAAGTGGAACGAAAAATATTTACTAGTCATCCTTTCCTTGTATTTGTCTCAGATACCTAATCTTATCGCATTTTTACACATTTCAGACGTATAATTAACAAAAAAAAAAGTCCTTGAATATCGATGAAAATAAAGACAGGTAAACATGAACAGGTACAGGATCAATTCGAAATGGAAATTAACGTGTTGGTATAAAAATAAGTCAATTACGGTTTCCGTATTTATTTCACTTAGATTTGACGTGGAATTTTGACGTCTGAGAGACGTTTATTTTCATTTACAGACTTGGATGAGACTCAAGGAAAAAACTGAAATTATAATAATAATAAAAGTTTATATTTTAAATTACTCCTTTTCAATTTTTGATTGAAAAGATTTGAGCAACATCTGGGATCCTTGTAAGATGTATGTACAATTAATCGGAGTCGAATAACTAATGGGAAAAAAAAAACGATTGCGGAGTTCCCGGTCTATAAATAAGACCATACTGTTTGGCACCGAAGCCCGGCCCCTCCTCCATTCACATTACTATACACCCATGATGATGTACGTTTGCTTTCGCACAAATTATCTAACAATCGCTTACATCCAATTACCTCTTGCATATCCGCAATTGCCTCTTATCCGTCGGAGGGTCAGATTAAAGTCAACTTAATTTGTGATCTACACTCACAGAGCGCACAATATTTTTATTGCATTTGACATTACGATAATAAACTTAATTTATTTATTTAGTCTAAAAGTAGCAATCATTTTATTATGTTCAAATTTAAAGAATATTATCGTTACTGTTTTGCAATTATTCTATTACAAATTATAATTGTATTTTTAGCTATGGATGGAATTAATTGTCCTTGAAATGCTTTAATACGGATATTTGTATGCGTAATTTATTATTAAGTCAACAAAGATCCAAGATCAACCAAATTGCAGTAAAATGCAAACAGTATAAATAAATAACTTCAAACATTTTCTACAATAACAGTTTTTACATAAACAATAAATTTAATGTTGTTAAAATATACAGATCAAAAAGTCTATGGTTTTCATTTTATAAATTCTAAACAAATTGTATTTATTCTACATTATTTTATTTAAGTCAAATGTGTGTCAGAAATGTTTAATTTTCAGATATAATGGTAATAATAACGTTTAATTCAACAGTCAATTTATTGGACAAATTATATTTCAATATATGATATTCCAAATATAGTCAAAATGTAGTTTGACGAATTAACTAATTATAAAATAGTTGTCATTTCAGGGATTCGTTGAAGTATTTATTAATATAAATGTTTTGAAAATGTATTAACAATTTAGCACTTGTGAATGAACATCACGATTTGTACAATAAATTAGTGTGTCAAGAGGAAAATTTAGCAAATTATCTGTTAAGTAAAAAGAAATCTGGTTTCGGTGTGGATCCGAAATCCGCGAAATCCAGTATTAACCAGATAAACTCAACTAGTGATAGGTACAAATCTCGATTTCGTTTCGGCTTTCGCGCTTCCAGACTACAGCGATAAAAGCATTCGCTGAGTCACGACGCGAGAGCTCTTCGGTTTCTTCGAACCGGTTCTCCTCCGACGAACAGGGTTTTTGCAAAGTCACAATTAACTGGATGGGAAGCGAACCAGACGACGCGATAAATTATCAACGAAACAATAACATAAACATATGATTGCGTAAAATGTATGTGAAGGCTCGGCCAACATTGCAAATCCAATACATATTTATTTGCATTATTATTGTTTGTTCAATTCGTCCTCTCCTCTTGCGTTCGCATCGAGCTCTTGCGCAATCTACAGCTTATGTAAATATTATTTAACGTCAGATGAATAAACAACGACGTTATATCTATAATTGGACGTATCGATTTTCTGTGTCGAATCTAGAGTTCGAGCAACGTTTTTAAAATATTGGATTGGTACATACAATCAAATTCTGCACTATTAAAGATATTTTTTTAAAAAAATGTTTACAGTTTATGTCAATAAAACCACGTGGTTAAACGTCTTGAATTAATAAATATTATTATGATTTGAATACTTTCGCTTATATAAAAACGATTAATAATTGGTCCAATACAATTACAAATATTTGATGAATATAATTTTGGAATTTGTTCTGTTTAAATTCTATATTAATAAAATACATATTTATGAATGAATTTATGTAATGTATCATTGTAAACTGGTTATGTTTAAATTGATTTGTTGTCTAGTTGTTAATTAGTGAATGTGTGTGTGTGCAATGCGTCCACCTATATTTGTGTTTCTGTTGTTGTTTTCCAATTTGGTGGGATTGTTGAAGGGCAGGAAGGATGAGATTAATAACATTGACCCAGTTTCCGGTCGAACACGAGCCGGGAGTGATCCGAAATGACGATTCTCTCGTAAATGAACAACAACACTAAGGCAATACAATACAATACAATGGTGATGCAGTGCAATTTTGGCGCTTACCAAAATCGATAAACTTCTTGATGGACAACGGCGAAGGATTAAATTGCGAATAGAAGTCCAGCATCTTGGCGAAACTGCCCAAATTCCTCATGGTCAGCCTCATCGTCAGAATAATTATTTCCAATCGGCTAGTGTATATTGTGAGAGAGCTAGCTTCGTACAACTGATTCGCTTTCGAGGCTCTTCCTCTGAGATGCCCACTCTTTAGGTGCAGAATCTGCGGTTCCCCGGGTTGCTGTCTTTTATATAAGTTTCGATCTTTTGCAACATCTACACAAAGCTGATGCCATCGTCAAACTAAATTATTTGACCTTGCGACTCGCGGCTCGAAACGCGCAATCCGCGATTCCCTGTACCGATCATTGAGAAAGCACCATCTGTGTACCAAGTAACGAAGCATACAAATACGTATTGCAGATCACGTAAATTACATTACCTAGACCAGTGTCTCTAAATATCATTATTTCAAAATTTTCAACAAAATTCACATTGAATTATCTCTTAACTTAAGAGTCTTAATCATTATTTCTTAGAGTTTTAGCACTAGTCAGATTCAATAGACGCAATTAAATGTACAATTTTATGAAATACAACATGTAGATTACTTCTTATAGCTATGACTCATATTATTAATTTTTAGGAAGAGATAATAACTTTTGTTTGTTATTGTTTACGACCAATTTCTATACTTGTTTTACACTTTTATGAACCCGTTTCCTGAAGATTGATGATTTTCAATTTATATTTTATAAAAGACTTAATTCGTCATTGAGTATGCTCTTGTTATCGTCATTCTATTAGCAAATAAACAAATAATGTGAACTCTTGTCGGAAAACAAGAGATAACATTTATCAAATTATTCCGAAAACAGTTTCCATAATAATACGTGCTTCAACATTGGATAATTAACATGAACAAGCTTCAACATAATTCATTCGAATATTGTACTTTGCTGTGAATCGTGAACAATCTATTTTTAATTTATTTGACTTTGGTAGCATATTGGTAGCATTGGTGAAACTATAAACAAATGAAGCGGTGAATAATTAGGTTATGACTTTGAGAATTGAAATTATGTGATACTAGTTTAAGTCAAAATGAGTAAAGAACGCAATGCGCCGTCCGATGAGAGGAAATATTTCTTGCAGGTGCTACAAACATTTCAAAGTTACAGGCAAGTTGTCAGTAATCTGTACTGTAAATAACTAACTAGTTGTGTTTAATAAAAAAAGGCACCAGTCCATGCTGAGGATTGAGCATCGAGAGGAATGTCTGGCAACATTACCTAGCAGACACAAGAAATGGCTGTCAAAGTACAAGACAGATTTGGAGGGTTTCAAAAAGGCTGTTGACACAAATGCATCATTCGTACCTATTGTCGTTGAACATGCAAAGAATATTTTTGAGAATGTTTGCAGCCAAGATGGGACTACACATTCAGAAACTGAGGTTGGGACATTATCAGAGGGCCTGGACAAGGTGCAATCTGTATTCAAGCATTTGATGCGTGACTGGAGCACCTTTGGGGCAGAGGAGAGGGAGCAATGCTACAATCCAATAATTGAGGAAATTGAAGCTCAATTTCCAGCAGAAACATCCAACAGGGCTGACATTAATATCCTTGTTCCTGGAGCAGGCTTAGGAAGGTTAGCCTTTGAGATTGCTTCAAGGGGTTTCAGTTGCCAAGGCAATGAGTTCAATTTGTTTATGTTAATTGTTTCTTTCTATGTATTGAATCATTGTAAGAATGTAGAGGAATTCGTAATTTTCCCCTGGATACACCAATACTGCAACAATCTGTCTGCTGAAAATCAAATGCTCAGTGTAAAGTAAAGTTGAACCAAATTTGATGATGAATCTTCATTGAAATTTAACATTTTCATATTAGATTTCCAGACGTTCTACCGAAACTAACGGAGAGCCAATTTTCTATGGTCGCCGGGGATTTTCTCGAAGTGTACACCGATTGCGATGAGTGGAATTGCATCGCCACGTGCTTCTTCATCGATTGCGCTGCTAATGTAGTTCAGTTCATCGAAACGATATATGAAATATTAAAGCCGGGAGGAGTATGGATCAATTTGGGACCACTTCTCTATCATTACTCCGACATGAAGAACGAGAGAAGCATCGAGCCGAGTTTCGAAATTCTGTGCAGTGTCATTAAGAACATTGGTTTCGAGATGGAAAAGAAAGAAATTGCCTTAAAAACACGCTATTGCCAAAACCCGAATGCCATGCTGCAGTACGAGTATGAGAGTGTGTTCTTCGTATGCAGGAAACCATTAAATGTCGATAATTGTGCCTCTTGAAAAATATATTTATATTTACATTTTTCTTTGATCTGCCATAGGCTGTTCTTTTAAATTTTCTTTTATTTTATTTTTCAAGTCGATGGTATTGATTAGAATATTGCTACAATCGACATAAAGAATTTAGTTTGTTTCCAATATTATTATTATTATTTTTTTGTTTGTTTAAATAAATGACGATTATTTTTTATATTCTATTTTTATTATTTACGCTAAATTTACATAAACTTATTAGGAAATCAATAGTTTTCTTCACGACTGTTACTCAAGAAATTATATTTCCAAACCAATAAAATATAAAATTGTACACTTTGTACATAACAAAAGAGCGTAAAAAATAATATAATAATATACAATAAGTAACAATTACACCAAATATAATGCTCATAGAAATAATGAAATATAGAAGAAGTATAGAATCACGCGTTCCGCGAACGGTACCGATGCATGATGAAATTTGCGACGAACGGCCAGATCACAATGAAGACGAGCGTCGATGCGGACAGCCCAAATATACCTTTACTCCTCTGCGATCTCATGCGGTTCTTCTCGAGTGCGTGAACTTTACTTCCCAAGTTGTCGATGTCCGTTTTCAAACTCTGCACAGCTTTCGCCACCTCCTGCGAAATATCGATAGAGTTTTGCCTGGTCTTTGGACGCGCTACATGACCATTCCTTTGCTCAGTCGGTATCACAATTGTTGGAATGTGTTTCTTGTGTTCGATTGTCTGTAATTGTAAACATAATGAAATTCTAAAAATGATATCAGAAACGTAACAACAATTTATAACACATTTTTTATAGGAATATTATACAAACGCACTCTAATTTTAAAAGTGTAAGTTTCAATAGTCATGTGTTAACAATAATTTTCAATTATTCAAAGACTTGAACAATTCTTACTTAGAAAAAAATGATAATATTATCATTTCAATTTTATATATGCTGAGATGTTGGGAACTCTAGGCATTTAGCTTTATCCATGAGTATCAGATGTACAGAAATATGTTATCTATATATATATTTATAGATAAAAAATAACTTAAATTTAAGATTAGCGATTAATTATTCTATAAGTGCATTCAGAATTTTAAATTCAATGTTGTTTTAATTGATTCCATTAACATCAGAATAATGTTTTTGTGTTGTTCAAAACAAGTTATTCCGGTTACAAAGTGACGATATTAACGTCGCTTAATTATATGTATTTTTGCTAAAATAATATAGTATCAATATTATAATAAGAAAATTTCCATATAAAGCTATTCTACTATATATAAGTTCATTCATCAATTACGCAATTAAATAGTGTAAAAATATATAAGTAGATTTAATGTTTGTGGTTTAAACCAGAGGCTATCAAGCTTTGCTTGAGTGTCCTTAAATTAGACATTAAGAATTGCTAAATAATACAGTTCAACTTTCGCCAGTCTAATTGTTACTTAAATATGTTACCGGAGAAATATAAATATAACTGAAGAAAGTATGATTTACGTAATTTTCGTTTCGTTTTATAAAGTATGTAAGATGTAATGAAAATACGTATTTTACCTCGATTGTATCCATAAATTCGCCGTCGCTGTGATCGGAATCTTGTTCAGTTTCTTCACTTGTAGGAGACATTGACCTACTTGAGCTTAAACTTGAAACCAGGCGATTGGGCGAAGCTTCCCTGGAACCTGTACAAAAAGCAAACAACAGAATAGATATTGTAGCTAGAAAATGTGCATAAACTTTGATCATACCTAATGGTGAATTTGGCTGCGACCTGACACGCTCAATAACATCGCCGACGACCAGCTGCAAGTCTTCGATATTCAAACTGTCCAATTCCCGATTCGGAGCATCTAGAAAGTTAGCGACCTTATCTGAATAACTCATTGTCTCCACAATTCTAGAATGATCATTATCGTATCAGTAAAGCTAAATGTCGTGCACAATTTCGTATCCCTATTTACGTATGCAATTCTTCAACATATCTAGCCATAGCGTCGGCCTTGGACATATCCCCGAGCTTCTTCCAAGCATCGTACTTGGCCCTGGAAACGACCTGCCATATCGATGGCCGCGTCCCAGTGCATTTTCCCTGAGTTGCCTGCTTGAAGTAGCCATAAAAACGTAGCATTAAATCATTGCTCGGCTGATACGATCCTGCAAATCAAAAACGAAACATTTCAACACTTCACTAACAACAATTACAAACGATAAATTTAATTGCTTTAATATACTAATTAGAGTCTAAGGTCAAACTACATTCATAGTTTCCAAAGTAAACTTTTTAATTATTACAGTTTAATTAAAAATTAAGGATATTTGCAGATATCCAATCACTTTGTTTGTAAACAAAATTTGTCTACTTGATTTGAATATTATTAAATGTGAATATAAGTGAGGTGTGTTGTGGAAGTTAGTGAATCAAATTTAACCTTCAGTTTGTTAGCATGCATTTCACATAATAATGCACTGTGGCAATGCACAAGTATAATTAAACGTAAATTACCATTTTTCGGCAAGCTCCTGATTACGTTAACGGCGGCATGAAACTTTTGTTCAGTAGTCATCTCGATTAATTTTGTATACCTCGTTTATAAAGTTATATTAAGTTTATATTTAATATAAAACAATTGTGAGGAAATAATCCACGCACGTTTGTTCGAAAAGGTATGCAAACTAATGGCTGGTCACACCATCGCTTTTAAAAATGTACGCTCGAACAAAGTGCAAAGGACATCATCAGCGTCAGCGGTTCGCCTCGTATCAAATCAGGAAAACTGACAGCACTGACATTTCATGGGAGCATGACATTCGTAACAGCTGTTGCTAGTGTTGCTAATCAAAAATATTCCCAGCGATACAGCTCCATCTATCAATCAGTAAAATTACATTCATTTTTCAAAGTTAATTAACAGGTAAACAACGGAAATTAATACGTATCTGTAATATGTACTAATTGTAATAGAACAGACAGTTACAATACTCCTAAAAATAGGAAATAGCAACTAATAAAACAATATTTGTATATAAATGATATATTTATTTTAACGAAATACAATTTAACTACGCATAAATAACTTTAACCATCGACTTTCTCATAAACCACAACCAAATGTTCTTCGCAATTATCATTAAGAGATGTACTCATTGAAACAATGATTTGCAAACGACCATCCTGCTTCAACTCGATGGTCCTTTGGATTTCGGTAACGGACGGATCCTTGTTCATCTCCGCCCTTGAGATTTTCGTTCCCTTAACCTTTATGGACTTATCATCAAAGACCACGCCTTCTTCCACCGATGTAATTCCGAAATTGTGGGCGACGATGAACGCAACTTCCTTGGTGCCTGGCTTCACTTTCAGGAAACCGACTTCTAGGTGCATAGGTTTCCCGCTTTCGGGATGCCATGTGGTCGATTTGTAGTTTAACATAGGTTGTCCCATGGACGTGAATTCAAGTTCCTCCTTGTACGTGAATGGGTCGACCCTCGGAGGAAATTTCCCATTGGCGGAAAACGATTTCCATTTACCAATTAAGAAGCCGATCGGCTTGACGGCGTCATGCACCATTGGCTCCATAGCTGTCACTGAATGTCAGAAATTTGTTTTTCTAACCTACATTGACAATTATAAATTACAAGTATTTCAATTTACGTAAAATGCGTTTGTTGTCGTTAAAAAAATTACTCGTAACGCCGAAATGCGTTGGAAACAGGCAGCTGTTCACTTGGGTCAACATTATGTTTAATAAAGTCGACGAAGATAGGCGAAAGCATCTTGGTCCTGACAGGACCTGTGCTGAATGGGTGTTGAGGAATGGAGGCAAAGTAAGATGGAAAGGCACCAATGACTTCTTATCTGATTACAACAGCTTACCAATTGAAGGGACAATGCTGAGATTGGAGGAGGTTGATGGCTCAAATTCCAGTATCAGTCATGTTGGATTTCCTCATTTTGTTGGATGCAATGATTTGCTGAGAATTATCCTTCACAAATGCTACTACATTGAGGATGAGGGTCTTAGCTACCTAAGTGAACTCAATGGAAGATTAAAGTACCTACAAATATCTTCATGTGGGAATATCACTGATGAAGGAATCAAGAGGTTGGATAAACTGAATAAATTAAAAACTTTGGTCTTATTTGATTTACCTCATGTCAAGAAGAAAGAGGAAACTCTTGAGTATTTGAAACACTTCCTGGTAGATACCAGCATTGAGTTTAAGTAATTTATTGTTTATAAAACTGTATTTGTTTTATGTCACAGAAATAAAGATAGATATATATATATTACATACCATGACACAGCATTCAGATTAATCAAATTTAAAATAAAATTGTTAACAATGCCATCTCATCCCTCGATTTTCGTCTTGTTATTTCCAGTTGAGGGAAAGAAAAGAACAATTTCGCCGGATTCCAGTTGCTTCAGCAATCTGAAAAGCGCTGCAGCCTCCCTGATTCTGCTGAACTCGATGCAAAAGGCTTGCACCTCGATGAATAGTTCTTGCACGTTAATAATTTTATTTCTAATTAAACTCTGCAGAAAAACGCACACCAATCTGACCAATCGGTTCTGCATGTACCGATCTTTTATTGTTTCACATGTGGAAATGCAATTAGAAATGTACAAATGGACGAACTCTGTTGGTAAATCGACGGTTGTCGTTAACCTATTAACAACTTCCATTGAATGCAGTGACATTTCCATATTCACCAATACACTGAAGTACTCTGTTATTTGCTTGGATTGCATCAGTTTCAACAATACTTCAATCGCAATAAGTGGATTATTTTCAACTAGTTCTGGTAACTGAAACATTATAAATGTTTACAAATGCATATTAAGTTAGTGTGTTTCATACTCGTGATGGTGTCAATCCTATATGGTATACCAATTTCGAATCATTTTCAAGTTCTCCCAATAAGTGGTTCTGCTGTTGCAATGTTAATGCAGTTTTGTAAGCTTTACTCATTAACGATTTTGCTTCCTGTCCAGCCATATTTGGAACACACATTGACGAATCATAAGCTATTGTATGTTGCATGGGGTTTGAAACATTAAACCAAACAGGCTAAAATAAAACAAGACAATAATAAACTTAGAATATTTCCAGGACATTAGTCAATACCTACTTCATCTTGGCAATTTAAAAGAGGGGGTGCTAATGTGACAAACTCTGGTTTGTACACTTTATTCATGGCTGCTCCATCACCACATGATAACGTTTTTATTGTAGTTTCCAGATCATCATTCACTTGACTTAAATATTAAAAAAAACATTAAAAAATGAAATACATAATGAAATAAAGAAACTTACTTGTTTTGGCTTTTTTCAGGATATGACAAAATGACAGGAATGGCTGATTTACAAGTATGTGGTAACTCTGATTGTTTCTCTGCCAAAGTCAGTTGCATAGCAGACAGATCCAATGTGAGAGTTTGGCCATTATCTGAGCTCAATATCTGTGCAGCTGTCTTCTTCAACATCTGAATATATAAAATTAAAACTAAATTTCATTATTTACCAACAAGATCACTTTTATACATTACCACATCTTTGGGAACTTCCAAAATCAGCTGTGATACAAACTGACGCTCCTGTGGATTCAGTTTGGGTAGTTGGCCAGGGTAATGTAACTTTGAGGTGTTATTTGTTTCTGGAGGATGCTTAAATGTTTGAGAACAGGAAATAGATTATGAAAATCATGCACTTATACTCACAAGCAAATGGATAAATACACTTGCGAAAGGTGTATTAGCTATTGACTCCCCTCTATACAACTCATGCAATATTGTTATAGCCACTAAACGTTGTTCTGGCTCTTGAAACATATTTTGCTGCAATAACATCACCAAACAGGTTCCCACTAAAATAATAACATTATAATACTGTATATATATAATAAATTCAGATAAATTACCTTTGAAATAATCACAACTATCAAATTTCTTGCTAACCTCATTGGCAATAGATTCCAGTGTTTGATTTTTCGCATTGTTCTCTTCGATTATCCTATTGAGAAAAAAAAAAAGGAAACAATAACTATTACAAAAACCCAAAATTTTCTATTGCAACTTACTTTAAAAGTGTGTCACATTGGTCCACGGTTAACGCCATTTCAATTTAATTGAAAAACGTGTAAATACACCTAAGAAAACTGTTTTATTATTATTTAATTTATGTTGTGTTGTGATAACTTAGTATTCTGTCAAATGTATTGAAATGTCAAATTACTTAACCTATATTATAAGTCCTATAACCAACCTATAACTATAATTTTTATAAAATTTTAATTTAAGGATATAAATTATTTAAAAAAAACAACATAAAAAAGAGTGATAATTTTATTAAATCGAAACTTTTCTTAATATTGTATTTATTTTAATTTAGAATAAATTAATACATTGTGCATTTACAAATATTTAGTTTTTTAGCTGTTGGTTTCCTGCTGCCTGCATGCATTAGTCATGGTCAGGGTTGCTGTCAGTTTTGACGTTTCTCGTATTTTCTAATTCGCCAAAATAACTTTCTAGTATCTGTTTTTATTTAAAAATTATAAATAAAATACTTGCAACCCGGTGGAAACGTTTTTGACTAAAGAATCGCGTGTGCGTTGTAGCTTTAATTAGGTAATTGTTTTAATCTTGAATAATATTATTATGCAGTTTGTTTGATCAATAATAAAACATGGTTTCAATTCAGGTATAAAAATGGATAAAATCAATATCGAGAACGATCTGCAGGAGGAAAGCCAGTTTGTTGTTGATGATGTGAGCAAGATTATCAAGGATGCTATTGAGTCGGTGATTGGAGGCAATGCATATCACCAAAACAAAGTGAATACATGGACCACTGGGGTGGTCGAAGCTTGTACATCCAAACTCACAGAACTGCAAAAGCCATACAAATATATTGTGACTTGTACTATTATGCAGAAGAACGGCGCTGGCCTACACACAGCCAGCTCATGCTACTGGGACAACAATACTGATGGCAGTTGCACTGTACGTTGGGAGAATAGAACCATGTTCTGCATTGTTTCAGTATATGGATTAGCAATTTAAATGGCAAAACACTGATCAGTATAAGAATCAAATAGGCTTGAATTTGTTTGCATTTTTATGGTTTGTGAAAGCAAACTTTTTAATTTCTTAAATGCACCAATGTTTATAAATAATTACCAATAAATGTTTTCTTTTTAAAGTCAGATCTTTTTTTTTATTCAAAATTCTGTCTGGTGGTAAGAATTTAATAGCACATTTTCATTTTGTTTAGTAATATTTAATGTGAAGTTCTATGTGATGTGATAAAATTATCAATAATATATAAGTTAAAAACAACTATAATTAACATTCTTTGTATCTATAATTTTATATTAAATTTTCTTTATTTGGTTTTAGATATTTCAGCTGTATTTGGTAAATAGAATCTATACAATTCAATAGTATATATTTCTGTATTCAAGAACAATAGTCTTCTGTTTTAATTAACATAACAGCTAATTGTAGTAAGTCTCATTAAATTGATTGATTAAGCAAATTTAAATTTGCGGATGCGCCGGGAATCAAATCATTTAGAGTTATTAACAGTTTCCATGCTGCAAATATCTTGAACTTTTTGATTTATATACAATACACAATCTTCCCTATATGTAAATTGAAATAAACAGATTAATTGTTATCAACGTAATAAGTAAACGCAATATGTAAGTTGTGTTGCATAATGTTGTTTATTTTTCCTTTGTATCCGTGTCTAGACAATAGATACGGAAAGTTACGTTCTAAGATGATGATGATAAAAAAAAAAGAAAACAATTTTTTTCTAGTGTCTCGGGATAGAAAATTCGGTCGTTTTTTGTACGTTATTTACAGCTGGACCTGACGAATCCGTGTAGACGGAGAACACACGATGCGCCTCCTACTTAAGTTAAGGAGAGATGCCGAGTAATAACTTTTGCACTTTGGACTCGACTTTCCTATCGCATCGGTCGCCGCCTGTATCATTCCTCCATTTATATTTTTCAATATAACATCTCAATTTAATTGAACATTCCACGGCCATCAATCAACAAGTACGCTTAATCGATTCAATTCAGGGATTCAAAGGACCCGATATTTGTCAATAACCAAAGGAAAATGTCGGCAATCGTTAAAGGTAAATGTTACTTTTATAATATTTTTCGGTCAAATTCTCTTTACTTATCAAATTTACGCAATTTGTTTGCTTCATTTACTAAATTTATACACTTGAAAACTATATGTTAAGAGCAATGCTGCGCTTTATTAATTAATATTAATTGAAATTAATGATAAACCTGTTGACATTGTTTTTCTTTCCTCATTAAATCATTGTATATTCACATTGATTTGTTTATTATTCATGAATAAATACTCAGTATGCAAATAATACATTATATATTTCCATAATACATTTTGATTTACTTATGATAATGAAATTCGTTTGAACAATCTACTTAATTATTTTTTTTTTGTTGATAAATGATTTGCTAACTGTACATTTATTAATAAATATTCAAAGTCCATTTCAATAAATTATGTTCTTATCATGTTTTAAACAACAATACATAACAAAAATATATTATGTAAGTGTTTGTTTACGAGTTTATCATTTATAATATAAATATGACTTGCTTTATTTTTTAGAATTTAACTTATAGGTCTTACTTATCAGTATCTTACACTAAAAATAGTAATTTTAAGTGATCAAAGCTATATTATTAAGTATATCTATTTGCAGGAGTTTTTATCGTCGGTGCGAAGCGCACACCCTTTGGTACCTATGGAGGTAAATTTGTAAAAACCAGCGCGTGCGATCTTCAAACTGTCGCAGCTAAAGCCGCTATGGTAGCTGCTAATGTTAAACCAGAAATGGTTGACACAGTTAATATAGGAAATGTCCTTTCGGTAAGTGATAAGTAGTGCGACGAGTACAAATTTTTTTTAATTGAATATTTTCTTTAGAATTCGTCTGCCGATGGTGCTTTCTTGGCCAGGCACGTCCTTTTGAAAGCTGGTATCCCATTGGAGAAGCCCGCTCTGCAGGTGAACAGATTGTGCGGTTCCGGTTTCCAAGCTGTCGTCAACGGATGCCTGGTATATAATATTGTTATAATTATTGTGTGCAATTATAATATTTGTCTTTCAACAGGACATTCAAACTGGAGCTGCACAAATTTCCTTGACGGGAGGCGCTGACAATATGTCGCAGTGCCCGTACACCGTCAGGAATATCAGGTTTGGCAGCCCATTGGGCGTGTCGCCTGTCCTTGAAGATTCCCTTTGGTTAGGTCTGACAGACAGCTACTGCAAGTTACCTATGGCCCTGACCGCCGAAAAATTGGGCGAACAGTGCAAAATCTCCAGGGAGGAAGTCGATAACTTCGCACTCAAGTCGCAACAGAACTGGCAGAAGGCGCAAGAGGCCGGACATTTCCAAGCCGAGTTGGTGTCGGTACCAGTGAAAGTAAAGGGAAAGATGGCCAGCTTGGAATTCGACGAACATCCTAGGCCACAAACCACATTGGAGGGTTTGAAGAAGTTACCGACTCTTTTCAAGGAGAATGGTTTGGTGACTGCTGGAACTGCTTCCGTACGTATATTTATAATAATTTAAGTTATTTTGAGTATAAACAATGAATTTTCTTTAGGGAATCAGCGATGGTGCTGGCGCCATCGTTTTGGCTAGTGAGGAGGCTGTTGCCAAGCACAACCTCACTCCATTGGCTAGGGTAGTTTCTTATTCGACGGTGGGCGTGGAACCGTCCATCATGGGCATCGGTCCAGTGTCAGCCATTCAAAACGCATTGAAGGCCGCTGGAAAGACCATCAACGATATGGATTTAATCGAAATCAACGAAGCTTTCGGCGCTCAGGCTTTAGCCTGTGCCAAGGAATTGAAATTGGACATGAGCAAGTTCAATGTGAACGGTGGTGCTATCGCTTTGGGTCATCCACTCGCCGCAACTGGCGCACGTATCACAACCCACTTGGTACATGAACTCAGAAGGAGGAAGGCTAAATTCGGTATTGGTTCTGCCTGCATCGGCGGTGGACAAGGAATAGCTATTCTCGTTGAAGCTTTATAAATTGTGATTACTTTTAAACTGTTTTATATTTCTTTCTGTTTTTTTTTTACACTTACAAAATAAATACTTAAGATGTTTCTACTTGAGGCGGTGCCAATGATTGATATAATTTCGTGACGGCAGTATGCACGATTTGCTGAAAGATTTCGTCGTTGGGGCAGCACACCTCTAAATTTGAAAGATCTATGTCGGCGCGAGTCTCATTGAGCGTAACATACAGTTTTTCACCTTTAAACATTTTCGGAACGGAATCCTCGCCGAACATGTCTTGCAACATCTCAATGAGACATTCCTTGAAGTGCATTCTATCAACCTTAGCACTGGTGCTCATATTCTTCATCGGAGACTCGATCATCTCGGCTTGTAAAATTGCAGCTACTACAGCATCTGCATACATATCGTTAATAGGATTCGCTGTCCATTCGAGTGTGACCACTTTGTTCTCGATACTAATATCAATTGCATTGTAAGCTCGCAGTTTCTTATCGCCGTCTATAGTTTCCAAAAGGCCGGCGACCTGCGTAATCAAATATCTGAAGACGCTCATTGTTCCGTTATAGTGCAAACTCTGCCTTTGAACAACCTGCGTCATACTCATATCGGTATACTTATTAAGATCCTCAGCTGCCAATACATGATAGTTAAAGTTCCTTTTAACTAAAATTCCCGATATGATTTTCCCCGTCGTTGGTGGCTCCACAGCAAGGGTACCCATTACTTTCGCTGTTTTCTCACCACGGAAATACAATTCGACAGCATGAGTATTACGGGGATTATGTAATTGCATGGTGGTATTTGGATCATCTTCATATTCTCTTTGAAGTGCTGCCTTCAGACGGCTCATTTCGTTCTGCTCGCCATGGACTAAAACGACGTGTGGAGGTTTTAAAATGCGAATAAATTCACTGGTTTGCTGGTAATCTGTGTGCGCAGAGAAAGAAATATAATCGACCGACATCTTTAAAGGTAATTTTTGCCCAATCATTGTGGTAATTTCTTCAGGTTCCGACAAAATGGTTTTCGCCAAAGTTCCTTCCACACAATAACCTATTCAAGTAAAAATATATATTAATAACAATATAAATAAAATCGTATAAATTATAACTTGCCTGCAATAATTACACCGTTTTTGGAATCGGTACACCAGGATTCAAACAGTTCTCTGGATAATCCGCTTTGCATCATACCAGGAGAAGCCATCACTACACAGGGACCTATATCTTCAAAATGATCTATTCCCTAAAAATTCTTCACGTTTTACACAGTTCATTCTATATTCAATACTCAGAGAATAGTAGTTCAAATGTTTATTAATTGCAGAAGTCAAATACAATACATATATTTAATTGAAACTCGTCTTGTTGCTAAATGAAAACACATCAATTTCAGGTTTAACTTTTTGAAATAAACTTGGGAAAGTGCCGGCCGCCTTGTATTTCTCTTGCACATTCTTATACAATTCCAAATCGAACATGTCCTCAAACTCCAGTTCGGACATAAAAATATCTGCATAAAGAAATGAAAATCCACCCACGTCTCTGGTGAACTTTTCCATTTTCCTCATAGTAGATACCGGATCGTATTGCTCGTTTCTTTTAACATAACCAGGAACACCGTAGATTCCCAAATCGTTATACATGGCATATGATTTTCCAGGTACTAAATATTTGGAAGGAGGTTGCTTGATTTGACCGGAAGACGGACCGTGGTCATAGATTCGGCACGGATACACGAGTAACGGGAACGTATCGAAAAGCTCTTCGGTTATTTTAATTTGAGCTTCTAGTTCGTCAATCGGCAGAACTATATCCTGGAAAACTTGCTTGGTGAAGGTGTATGCACGGACGCCTGGGGTTGTCGTAAATTTCAGAAAAGCAGGCTTAGGCGGTAAAAGCCATCCAAACAGCAGTCGAAATAATGGGTTATTTCCAATTGATAACATACTTTCGACGACCCAGAATATGGCGCGGTTGTGTCTCAACAAATAATCCTTTAATGGAACCAATTCAGTTTTTGTTCCTTTCTTGAGAAATTTCTCTGCGTGTTTGTAAAACCATGGTTTATACCATTTAGAAACATGGTTTATTTCTATACCGGATTTGTAGTTGGTATAATTGCCAACCATCACTACAGCTTCATTATGGTTATAAATAGTAGCCTCAACAAAATCATTGTCACTCAATGAAAGCTCTCTAATTTTATTGCAATACGCTTTTTGACTATGGAATGGAATATATTGCAATTCAACATATTTCTTTATTCTCACAATCCTTAGGGTCAATCCAACTAAAATTGCAAGGCTTCCATGTGACCAAGGCAATGTTTGATACAAGTCGTAATGTTCTTGTTTGGAAGCAATTACGATACGTCCATCAGATAAAACGACCTCATAACTGATAACATTTTCATGGAACAATCCAGCTTTATGCGAATGCGTTGTCATACCTGTAGCCATAGCTAAACCACCAAGTGTAGCATCTTTTAGTTCTAACGTTATAGCCAAGGAGTAACCTTTTGGTATCAAGTAATTTGTTATTTCGCCTACCGTTATCATTGGTTCTACTCGAACAGTCATGTTCTTTTCATCCAAGTCGAGTATTCGAAACAGATCAACGTTGACTTTATGGCAAGCATCCTTATTGAAAAACTTTGTGGACAAACTCAACCAATTCGGTCTAGATGTACATATCAGTTTATTCTTATTTGCAATTACTTGCCGCGAGATGTTTCGAACTTTTTCTTCGTGATTTTCGGAACCGGTCAATATTGAACGATATATGTAACGTTTTATAATCAAGAGCAAATTAAAAATAAAACTTGCCGGTAAGCAGAATAACAGTATAACGAAAGTTCTATTCCTTTCGAGAAATTTAACCAAATTCATGATCACTCAAAGAATATGCAAGACTTACTGAGTAACATTTAAATATACATTTTGTTATTTGACCTCACGTTTGATATGAATATCATTACTGATTAATTATTTTTAAATACTAATTAATTTTTTTAAAAAAAGTTACTTACTTTGAGATTAGAGATGTGCTTGAAAACAAACGGATTATTAACTGCAATTTGCCTCTGAATTTTGTCGTTCATCGCGTTTATATACGTCTGGTACACAGCCATACACTTCTTCGCCAAGGATGACGCATAATAAATCGGAATGTCATGCAGCTCTGGATGCTGACTCCAGTATTCGTCTAAAATAATAATTATAATAAGCAATCTAAATCATTTAGAAAAAAAATATCCAGTAAATTTACCTAAAATTAACAACAATTCTTGCGCTCTGCCAAGAGCGAATACAGGAATCAAACATCGTCCTCCACGATTCACAATGTCGTGCACTAAACTAGTGAACCTACTTTCTCTATCCTCCCTCTTCTCATGTATGTGAGTACCATATGTTGATTCCTAAAGCAATGATAAGAATTAAAATAAATACAATTATTAAATTAGCAACAATTAATTTACCGTTATTAGAACGTCGGGGTGCACTGTGGGAATTTCAGCGGCCATTAAATGCCGATCTTCTTGTCTCGAAAAATCACCAGTATACATGATCTTCAAAATATATGTTAATTAATTTATAATTCCATTAACTACAACTCACTTTAACACCAGCAATTTCAATCATGAACATGGCAGCCCCTAAGACGTGTCCCGCGTTGTAGGCCCAAAATTTAATTCCCATAACATCTTTCTCTTCATGGAAATTGATTGTCTCAATTTTATCCATGCTTGCCTCCAAATCGGCTTCAGAATATAACATCTGCTCTGTAGCTATGTTACTAAAATTAAATTTATTTATTTGAGTCAAGTTTTATTTATTTATTTGATTAATTTTACTCACCTAACTTTAATGTAATCTGACAAAAGCCATCTGTAAATGGCTTTAGTTGCATGGGTCATGAAGCAACGTCCTTTGAAGCTGGTCTTCTGGAGGAACCAAGGCAATGCTCCACAATGGTCCAAATGAAAACTAAAATGTTTGTCATTAATAACAGTCTGAAGAGCACACAAATAATAATAAACTTACTGTGATATTAATAGCAAGTCAATTTCATCTGCTTCAATCAAGTCAACAAATGGTAAAGCATCCATACCTGACAGCCCTGGATGTATGCCACAATCGAGCATAATCTTTTTGCCTTTGAATTCAATCATTATGCATGATCTGCCAACTTCTTGTCCTGCTCCACTGTAACAATTAATAGAAATATTAACAAGCAGTCATCAAAGTTCTTTGAATTTAAGTATGCAATAAATCTTGTTTATTATTATTATTAACATGCAATCCTTTTCATAGTGTATGAAGCAAAAAAAAAATATTTATAGGTTATTTTTACAACAATTCATATTGGAAATTGAAACAATACTTACAGTGGCCTTATAAGTAGCAGGTCACTTTCTTCAGCAGGAACCTGAAAGTCGGCCTTTCTTTTCGAAGTCATTTTTGCTATTAGAAACGTTTATTCATATATTTTGACTATTTCAAAGTTGAAACACAATCAAAATGATCAAAACATACAGTCGCTGGATTTTTCGTTTGAAGATTCTCTGAAAGTCATGCGCATTATTATTTTGTATTTTCATATTCATTCTAGTTCCTTAGGTTACAAACAGGTGGGTAGGTTTTGTATTTTAAAAATACAAATAAACAATTTGTTAAAATATAAATTTTCATAGGGCGGCCGTAGCCGTGTGGCTATGGTCGTCTGTATCACGAAAATCTGATATGAAAGGTCGTTGCTTCGATTCCAAACAAAAATTTGTGGTGGCTGTTAAACCCGAAAGTGGTAGAAATAGGGCCAGAAGAAGAGATTTGAAGATTGCCATATTTACTTCAAAATCTTGAGCGCATTCTTAGCATTCGTATTTAACATATAATAACTGAAATACTAATATGTTTATGGAATTTTAAAATAACTAATAATAAATCTGTTAATAAGATAGATGTAAGTTAAGTTGCATACTTTGTAATACTTTATTAATAGGATTAACAGGAACAGGAACTAATAACAGAATATAAATGTATCCAGAATACAGATTTGTTGACTATTAGAGATATATACCATTTAAAAGTAATGTATTTTATTTTAAAAAATGAATATAAAAAGTAATCAAACTACACATACACATTAAAAGTGTAATAAGATTATGTTGCAGGTATACAGATTCTTAATTTTATCAGCCACTCCAAACTGATAAACAGGTTCTCATTTTCCTCTGATGAAAATTGAGAACTTTTCGAGTGCATAAAAATACCGAAGATTATGTAATTGATATTTACACGCAATGTACCACCTTTTGAACATGCCTAGTGTGGCATTATTTTAATTTTCTAGAAAATTTGCACGAAAGAGGAATTACCATTTAATTTGGTTGGTATCTCAAGGGATAAATCTTGATGTGTCTATAAATTTTGGAATTTCTGACTCCACAAACAGTTAAATAATGAATATAAAAGGTGCAATGAAACAAAAAATATTTTTTCTCAACAGATTCTAATTTATTTGCTATGATATTAGGTATAAAAAATCCTTATTTAAAAAAAATCAATGCTTCTGGAATTTAAAGAGCAAAGTGCATGGCGGTTTTGATGGCCATGTAAATAGTGATGAAGTATGGAACACCCCATGCGATGGCACGAGCCGGCTGTGGGATAACTACAACAGCGTAGACCAAGGTGTGAGCGATTCTGCAGATCGTGAAAACTCTGAAGAGCATAGTCGCAACGGCGACAGAAGGATTGGTCAGCAGATAACCGAAACTGGCCACGAAATAAACGCAAATGTTTTCCAAATCGTTCAGATGAGCCCTGTAATAAAAATAATTACATAAGTTTGTTCCTTTAGATGAGATTGCAAAATTTTACCTCCTGACACGTTCGACGTTTTCATCCACCTTGGGCTTAGTTTTCTGCATGATCGCATCTTCCGGATTTGCGAAGGCCTGTGAAAATATTAAACGTATTAATTATTTACCTTTATTACTTATTTAATTAACACTATTATATGTTTGAGTTTGTACCTTTTTAGCCATTCTTTGCCTGCCGGTCAAAATTGACATTAAAAGCATTTTCAAGCATAATATCGAAGAATAAAAGAAATAGGCCTTAAAGACCGGATTTTCAGTACTCAACAAATTCATTTTATTTCACTGATGCTACGGTTTCTGATCGCACTGAATTAATGATAGTTACGTACATTTCGTGTTATCTTATCATCGATTTTGATAGATATCATCAGTTACCTTGTTTTTCATTCTCTGTAGTGCCGTTAGTACGGCCATGAGAAGCATTTTTAAGCACAGAATCGCATTGTAAAAGACCCAAGCTTTAATCAATGGGTTCGTGATGTCGATTGAAGATGTGGGAATCGCCATTGCTACTGCTGCTATTAGAATACACACTGTTATGTTGTGTTCTTCGCTATGAAGTCTACGAACAATTTTGTTACCGCATTTCGACAGACCTCGAAAAAATGTTGTTACGTAGCTTCTCTCCCATCCTTGGACTACCGCATTTCTTTATTCTTGTTATTTCTCGCTAGCGCTAATTATAGTAATCATTTACATATTTTAGTGAATAAAATTACGATTGAAATATATACAAAATATTTCTAAAATAGTTATGATTAATATATCTCCCTTGTATAGACTTATTAGTGTAATTATTGTAATATTTTTAATTAAAGTCAAATTAAAAAATTTAAATCTTCATATTAAAAGAAGTTTTAGAAATTAAGTCAAATGACAAAAATAAAATGTTTATGATTTCGTCGAGGACACAACCGGTTCCGTCTTCTTTACAACTTCTCTAAGGTCGACGACCACAATTAACATTTGCTGCAAGCGGCGGTCAAAGTCGTTTTCACATTACATTACAAAATGCAAATGATACATACATCCATGTCTAAGCATCAAAATAAATGAACTGTAATGATAATTTTCTATTGTTTTTCACTCTTGATAATAACGAAAATATAATTACCCCATGCTTGAATCGCAGCAGTCCAGTCATACCGGCCATGCAGAGCATTTTCAAGCATAAAATGCTGCTGTAGAACGCATACATCCTTAGCAATGGATTTTCAACGGAGAATAATGTTTCCATTTTGTTTGAATTAAGAAACGCTGTGCTGCACGGAAACACTGAATGCAAGTACTGAAGTGCAATAGCAATTTCACTCGAATTATAAGAAAATAGACGATTTCGACCTTCGGAATATAATATATTGACGGATTTAATAATGTTTTTCAGCAGTCGTTTACTTCTATTTGTTATTTTAATGAACGTTCGTGCGTATAGATTTATGAATGTTAATTATAAATCATGAATATGAGTTCAAAATACCGAAATTAATATGAAATGTAATTTTAATAATAATTTGAGTATTTTATATAAATTATTATGTTATTTACATAAATTAAAATAAATAAAGTTTATACAAAAATAAGATAATGAAGTATAAAATAGCTGCAAAAAAAATAAATACATATTTGATGGGAACGTATTTATCATCATTACTGCTACAATAATTGTTCATCCATTTACCTTATTTTTCATACGCTGAGAAGCTGTCAGGACTGACATAGCAAGCATTTTCAGACATAATATGCTGTTGTAGAAGGTGTACGCCCTCATCAGGGGATTTTCAATGGAGAAGAGTTGATCCATCTTGCCTTTCGAGACGCAGCAGCAAATTCACTACCTTCGCACTTAAGTACTCGAACGAAATGAATGTACGGAGTGATGTACAAGTACATGGAATTGTACTGATACCGTTGACCTTCGTAGCATGATAGGGTTATTTGTGTCATCGATACGATTATGAGTTTTATTCTTTAAAAATCCATGCATAATAGTCAATAGAAGCAACAATAATTCATAAAGAAAGCTTACAGCCAATACATAATGATTTCCAACTTGTAGCTATTACTATTTTAATAGATACGAGATTCATTATTAACAGGTTTTATGAATTTTGTATTGAAATAGTAATTATCTAATTTACTCTATATATATAATATATAGAGTATTTAAAAGTAATTGAATTTAGGGCTAACATTTTTAATAAGCAAACTGGGAACTAAGACATAAGTTACAAAAATAATCAATTAAATAATATACGAGTGTTTGTATCATTACATAATCTTACATTACTGTACAAACTGCAAATGTAGGCAATATCTTTCACAGTTTACAATTTGTCCTGCTGATAGTAATGTTCAATTTCATTATTTTATTTTTTTTTTCATTATCAATAACTTTAGTATTTTGGATATCAATATTTTATTTATATATGTATCAAAAAATAATTATAATAAGAGTAAATTCAATTTGTAATTTATAGTTTTTTTTACGTTTCAAATAAGTTTGTTACATTTAAACTTACAACGTTTGCTTTGTTAGTTTATTTCTTAAGTATTAATGATTTTGATTTATGACAAGATATTCAATAAAGCAGTATTAGTTAATACTATTGTGAAATAGTATAGTAAATTAAATAAGTTGATTTTGAGTATATCTAAAGTTTTCAATAAATTATTACAAAATAAGAATGTTAAGAATGAATATATAAAAAACTCAATTCATAAATTATTAACGAAATTGTCAAACAGTTTCGTTCAGATTCAGCGAAAAATACGTAACTTACGTAACAAAATGTATATAGAAGAGTTATTTAAGAATTATATAAGGGAAAATTTCATTTTTTATCTAAACAGAAATTCCCATAAACATATATAAATTTGTATATAAGGACATTTGCACATACATAAATATATACTAAAGCTAAAATATATTGAGATCTAATTTGGTTTTGTAACGTATGTATAAATATGAAAGAATCTATCTAAATTTGACTAGAATCTATAAATTGCAAGGAATCATAATGTTAAGATCTATCGATCGTTTTCCATTGAAATATTTGAGGTCGGTCCAATTGGAACACAATCACACAAATTCATTTGGAAAGCTGCCGTCTTGACACGCATCTTCCCCGATCATAAGTTTCCATCGGAATCGTTGAATCCTCTTCACACAAAGGCGTCTTCCAAACCGCTCGTAGGTAAAACTGTGCTTGTCTTTCGTCCATTGCTTCTCGTTATTAATGGAACGGGATGAGTGTTAGTTTGTAGTGTTGTTGTTAATCCATACTTTTCAGTTTTCTTTGAGCACAACCCGAGTCTGCAACAAATTGAATGTTTATACTGGAAGCTGTATTTTACAATCTTTTAAAAAATTGATCTAGTCATGTTGTTTATAAAGACTTTCATCAATATACCTTTATGCCCTTTTGGGCCAATTTGTAAATAAATATATATTTCAAATGATTACGTCTGAGAACCTTTTTGTAGTTTATCTATAAATTAAAAGTATTGCATCTTGAAAAATACTGTTGTTACGTGCATATAGTCAACCATGAATGCGAGAGCGTGAATTTGGCTGCCATTAAAGCGCAACTTATTCGAATATAGTGTTTGAAAATTGGTTTGGGTGAAATATTAAGTATTTTATTTTAAGTTAAATTTTCTGCTTTAAATCAAAATAAACAATTTTATTTATTCGACGAAATTAATGTATAATACTGTTATTATATTAAATGGTCCCTAATTGTATATTGAGCGAGTTATTATTTAAATTTTGTTTGCTGTTTGATGATTTTGAATAGGCTTTAGCTCGTGTTTCGTTCGTAAAAGGCCCATCCTAGAAATTTAAAAAAGAAAAATATATTTGTTTAACACGTCGGCTATTTCTGTATATCAGGTTATATCACTTGTTGTCCAATACAACCTACCTTGAGAGCAACACGAAGAAGTCTTTCCTGTATTGGGCAGTGGTGATCGCGTAGAGGTACGGGTTTGCGCACGAGTTCAAAGGGTAGAAGAAGACCAAGAGGATTTTTGATCTCGTTACGCCGATCAACGGATATCCGGCCAAAGCGGTAAGCGCAAAGAAGGCAATCGGCGCCCAGCAAACGAAATCCGTGAAGACAAGCAAAGCCATCTTCTTGGCAATCGTCATCTCGCCCAGCGTGACCGTATGTCGCGTTTCATATGCAAGGCTGAAATAGATTTGGGCGTAGCAGAATACGATCAAGACGAAGGCCAAACCGTTGACGGCGATCATGCTGATCAAGTAGGCCTTATCGCCTATAGCTTTTACCTCCATCGGTAGGCATATGCTGAAATAACATCGCTATATTACGGATGGAATTCTTAGAAAATAAAATACTAAATACCTTGTGCTGCTATAGTTGCTAACACCAAACAGTGGTAGAGAAGCCATCAGGAAGGAGTAGATCCATCCGCCTATCATTACTTTAGCCGCCAATCCTAATCGAATCCTTCGTGTCAGATAGATCGCGTAGGCTATTGCAAACCATCGCTCAACAGTTACAATGGTCAACGTGAATATGGATAATTGACTTGCGAACACCGTCAGGAATCCAGCCACTTGGCAACCGAATCCTGAAATACTCCGAAATTATATACAATAAAGTTACATTTCCATACCTTTTTTTTACCATACTGCCAATCGAAGGCAAAGTTAAAATAAGTTCCGACCGAGTGTAAATCCATACTAGCAATTAGGAGTAGGTAAAGACCCATGCAGAGGTCAGCAAATGCGAGATTGCACATTAGAAATCTGGGTACGGTGACTTCGGCGCCGCTGAACAGTACCACTATGATTACAGCCAGATTTCCCAACACCGAAAGGACAACCACGAACCAAACGGAGATTCTCAAATAGTAAGAACCCATGATGTCTTCGCAAGGATTCAAAGCGTTCGGTTCTGGATAGCAGATAACATTCAACGTTCTAAAAGTGATTGATGTAATGAATTATTTTAAAATATAACAAATTAGATTCGATTACTTTATTGTGAGATTCCCGCAGAATGCCATTATCTGCGTCAATTCGGCCGATGAATCGTGGAAGGTCCCAAGAACGGCTTGCTGCTGAATAGGTTTCGCGTCGTGCCATTCTATTGTTTGACCTCTTAGGGCTGGTAGATTCGATCCGTTCATGTCCAGCTGATCCCAATGGCTCGGCGCGCTTGGACTGCTCTCGTAAGCCATATTGTTGTAACTAAATTAAGAAAAGAACGATCAAATTTACAAGTGCTAATAAAGACGTAACAACTACTTACGCTCCCCAAGATTCTTCATCATCGTAATCTTCGTAGCTGTTGCTGCGACGCTTACGAACTGTGATTCCCTGATTCGTACCATTATTGAGCATTAGTTTTTGGCAATTCCTGCGTAAGATCTCCTCGTATTCCGCATGCCTTTTGGGATCGTGTTGCTCCGGATACTTGAACGCGCAGCAATGGAACGGGTGTGTCAGATGAGCTTCTTTCAAATACTGTTCACAAAAATATGGAGAAATATATAAATAAAACTTATAACTACTTAAATATTATAAGTTAGATCATTTCGCTGCACTTTTCTGTACGATCAGCAGTGTAATAAAAATCTAATTATGTTTTACTGTAGACTTACAGAAAAATCGTAAACACTTGGAATGACCTTCATCGAGGGGGTATTATCGATCTTCAATACTTCGATCTTCGTGAGACCGACGAGCGGAAGTTCCTTGATGGAGGTCTCAGATAAATCTCTGTTAACAAAAAACTGTTACGGTTGAAACAGAGCACTACGGATCGGTTAGCAATGAAGAGAGAATGCGACCTTAATCTGAAATTCGGTCGAAACCCATCACCGATTCCTACAAACTTACAATTCATTGATGTCGTTCAGACCCTTGAACGCATTCTTATCCAGCTCCGTCAATTCCCTGTTTCCCCTCAGACTCCTGTTCGTTAACCATTCCGGTTGAAAAAGTAAAAAAAATTGAGTTACAAAGTAAATTTTAAAGTAATTCACTTACAGTTTGCCGATTTGCGAACCGTTGAATGCCAAGTCCTCGACGAAATTGATTTGGTTGTAGTTAAGCGTTCTGCAAATTAAAGATTAAATTGAGCGTATCGAGCGAACGAGGAAGGAATGGGATGCGAAGTGAAGGTAAACAGTTTAATGTAGACTTACACTTGACCCGCCTTGATTTTAATCGCATTTCTCCTGATCCGTTCGATTTTGTTTCCATCCAGATCCCTGCAACAGTACGAATAATATATAACTATTATGCAGTAGCAAACAATAGAATACAACAGCAGTTCAAGCAAATCCGATGTCGGAATGTTGATGTGCGAATATCCCGAATGCACATATTTACATAATAATTGTGGCACGTGATATTGGAGGGCAAACAGTCGGGACGCAGACTAATCCCGTTCATCTTTTATTGCCTGCACGCAATTACGGTCCCATTCACCCGAAATTGGATACCTACCATGTAATTTCCTTCGCAATATTTCTCTCGCTTTTTCGCATATCGATAATCATTGAATTCTCATTAAAACCAATTCAAAAAAAAAGCCAGCTATTCTAATGATTCGGATTCTTCTAATGACTGGACGAAATACTCTTGTTTAATACATGCAAATTGAGTGCTTTAAAACACATATATTTATTATATAGTTAATGTCAGAAACATAATTTTTTTAAGAAAAAGTAACCTAATATATACTTTATTTAATTATGTAATTGCTAATCTAAACTCTAAATGAATCATAATCACATTATGAATAGATAAATAAGATTATGTATGTTTGATGCATTTTAAATCACTAAACAAAATTATACAACAGTTTTACAGATATGAATGTTAATAATTGCAATATATTTTAGGAAACATCACATTTTAATTTACAAATTTGATGGATTTTAAAATTCTTTCGATAATAAGTAATAGTTTTCATGGGGGCGGAAATAATTCGTTGTTATTATTGAGTATTGAATTGTTATTAATTCGTAAATATAGTTGTATTGAATTTATATTTTGATTATTTATTGTTGTCATAAATATTATTATTTTATTAGTTTTCATGTGCACAAAAATTGTGTAAAAATTTATAAATATACTTACACCATGTGCATAATGTTATCCGAGTGGATATTGGACAGATCCGGTATTTCGATCAAACTTGTTCGGACGATTCTCCTGTTAAAAAAAAACAAAGACATTCAACTTGAATTAATTAGAAGAAGTGTATTTGGAATGGAAACAGCTGTTGTTACATCATTATTTATAATTTTTGGTGGATGTTTTTTTTGGTGGATGCGACTGGTATCGGCTTCTGTTTGTTCTCACCAAACGTTTGCATAATCGATGTACTTGTTATTCAAACACTATTGCTATAGATCTGAGTCTATATTGAAAATGAAAATACGTAATATAGAAACACTTGCTTAAATATAGCCTATGATGCAAGCTTTGACTAAATAATGCAATTAAGGAATTCATAATATTGTAATAAAAGGTCTTTTAACTTTGACAAAATTTGATGTTAAAGTTTCTCTATGTCTCTAAAATTATAAACAACGAATTTTTAACAAATGCATGATTGAAATATATTCGTAAAATTGATTCGGGAGATCAAGATGCAATAACGATATAAAATATACATGATTCACTCTGTAATGTGATACGTCGATTTATTACTAAAGCAATTTCGCATAACTCAAATATTATTTATATTAACAATGAGTAAAAGTAATTTGAAACATTGATGTAATACTCAATATTATGAACATTCTTAATATAATTGTAATTCAAAATAAGTGTAAAAGAAAGAGCGTTGAAGGAATGAGTAATTGATTTTTATAAAAGTGATTGATTAAGATCGAATGAATGGTGTACTTACAGTGATAAAAACTTTTTGGCTGTGACTCCGTCGAATAAACCATGCAGGAATTTAATTTGCGGCGAATGCGAGATGTATCTGAAAATGAAATAAAAGTTGACTCAAACTTCAGGTTTTACGCTGAATGAAACGCTACGTGAAAATGAAGAATTTAATTTGCGATGTATCTGAAAATTAATTCGAAGCAATTCAGGTTTTAGACTGAACGATGGAATTAAAGTAAATGGAAATGAAACAGGCTTACATCGTTCGCAGATTCGGCATGTCGCGGAATGTTCCCGCCTCGATCACACGCAGAGATGGCATATTTTCTAAAATCCTGAAAACGAAAATTTAACATTTCAATCCATCTTACATTAATATTAATAACGTTAAAGTTCATATTTTTTCTTCAATTTTAAAATTCAAATCTAATGACTTTGCAAATGTAACCAAATTACGTTCAAAAATCGATAAATCATTCCTAAAGACGAAAACTGAAACTCTTTGCCTGTTGGGAACCGAACTTCTGTTCGAAACAATGATCATTTTAGTAGAATAAACTTCATAAATTTCTTTATATTTCTTTAAGAATCGAAGCAGATATGTTTATTTTAAAATATTCATATGAAACTTCTGAAATATTATTATTAGAAACAACTGCTTGAGTTATATAAAAAGTCCAATTTAATGAAGTTGTGTAAAGACTTCAATGGATTAAGCCATGTTTATTGGGATAATATTTACAGTCTTAAAATAATAATTAGGTGTAGACAAGCCGCGTTGCCGATGGTAACGGTTCGAGGCTGTGCATATCCATTGAACGTTCTCCAAAATCAGCTTTTAAGGATGAGTCAAAGTTTTTTCCATTTTTTTTTTTAAATCTTACATCAAATGTTACTCTTCTGTAGATATTTAAATTTTGGATTCAAATAAAGAGATTATTCACCCATTTTTATATATTAAATTCATTGAAAAAAAAATGCAATGAAAAAACATCATTATTAACAACCAATGATTGCAATAGTTTGTGTATTTTGATTGCAACGTTGAAGCCTTTAACCATCATCAATAATTACTTAATTACAAACATGTTTTTCCACTTTACAATTATCATTATCTCTTTTACGATAATATTCATAGAAAAGAATCGTTATTATTGTTAATATATATTAAAATGCATCACACCAATAAAAAGTAACGTATTTGTAATGTCTCAATTGGACTAGATGTATTATTTTAACAAGAACGGTTATCATATTTCATTTTGTTGAATGTAAGAGACTATCTCGGATTTCCTGAATAACTTATTTGCAACGGACGTCAGAGCTTGGCGCATTACATTTTAAATTATTAACTTCTCGCATTCGTCGTTCTGAAATTCAACGAAGAAACTAAAGATTTAAACTTTTGCAACGACAGAGAAAATATTTATTCATCCTGCAATTCGCACTTACAAATACCATTCAAAGAATTTTAAACTTAATAATAATAATAATGTTTATTGTATCAGTCGTACAAAAAAACATATACAGAAATAAAAAGAACAAAATAAATATATAAAATTTCAAAAAAGTTAATTGATACAAAGGTCTTTCTGCCCTCAAACTTAATATTTTCATTAATTGCAACATAATAAAATTACTTATTTTTATTTTATTCTTAAACCGGTTAGTTTAAAACGGGTTTTTCCAACAAAAAAAAAAACAGTTTTTGATTCTAAGCCTAAAAATAAATTAATTATTTTAATTTTTTGATTAAAAACATAAAAATGTTGATATAAAATCGTCTCTGTTACGTAAATTGAAAAAAATGAAAATTGAAATTAGTTGTAAGGTTTTAGTTTAGTAAGGCATTTAGTTAATTTACAAAATCCACAGAATTTTTAGACAAACACGTCTAGCTTATTTATTTCACTAGCTTCATTCAGTTTTTGAACAAATATTATCAATATTGTATCCAAATTACTTAATAGAGGATGACTGCGATGCTGAAATGGCGACGAAGTAGAAAAACAAATCATAGCTTGGTTTGAAGAATACGATGATGTGATTTTAGAAGGAACAAAGAGAAGAACGAACAATTTGGTTAATTATTAAATGCTCTAAAGACGATTAAAACCAGCTTTCTAACAAGTGAGAGTTTTTTCTATTTCTGTACATTTTTCATGTGCAATAAATCCATGTGACCAATACAAAATAAGTTTTTTTTTTTTAATTCGTATAAACCCTATTGTATATTGGTTATCTACATTTAACTTTCAATACTGAAAATTGATTTAAACTGACTTTGTGTTAAATCGAATAATTAACATAACGAAAAAAGGAAATTCTGGTAATAAAATACAAGATAGTTAGAAAGTCTTAGGTGGTTAGGTTTGACCCAAATTAGGTTGAATAAAATATATGTAAGTAAAATAATATACTTTATAGAAATTGTACACATAAGATTATAAAATGCATCTTAGTAAATTAATGAAAGCAAAAAAAAAACGTGAAACTCAAATGCATCAGACATGTTAATGCTGATGAATACTGAATACAATTGCAATTTATATGAATTTATTATTGAGTGTATGTCGACCTTTATATTATCGATTGTTTTCATACCGTCTTATTGTTTTTTTTTCTTTCTTTGGAAATGACAGAAATAGATTGCGATAATAGCAAAGGAAACACTGGAATGCTACAAAAGTGGTATTACGGTGTGTCCCTAATCCTACACTGTGCACTAAAAATAAAGCACTCTAATTGGCTGTACTTAATACTGCAATCAATTTAAGTGCCTTCAGTTTGCCATCATATAGTATAGTTTATTACGACCTTAAATCTTCTTAAGAGATTAATGAAGAAATTACTTCAAGTAATTTTATCAATTATACCAACCACTATTAGTTACTTTGTTATGTATAACAGTTATTGTTTATATTAAATTAGCCCTTATTATTTTATACATGCTTATGTATATAAGTCATTAAGACTTAGAACAAATACCATTTACCACTCAATACCACAAATTACCATGTTGTGCACAAACTTAAAGGACCAATCATTAATGACCTCTAATATGTACTTGAAAGTTAGGTACTATCTTCCCTTACCAAATTTTGTACTCCTACTATGTTAATTACCTACTATATAACAGGATGTTTATATAATACAAGAGAGTCCTAAAGAGTCAGTGTTAAAGTCATAGTCCTAGCTAGTCGCTAGTCCAAGTTAGTTTTAGTCTTAGTGGAGTCCTCCCGAGTCCTAGTTAGACTCATAACTAGTAACAAACCTAGCAACTGGAATCTAGACATAGAAGTTATTAATAATCTTATAGTGAATAATAAAGTGTTTATTATCATAAANNNCATAACTACGGGATATTCCACAGTGTCCAGAGATATTTGAACTTAGTAACAATCTTTTATGTTTTGTGGTCAAAAAATGTTCTTAATTATATACATGTTCCAGAAATAATAATGTTCAATATTCGATTCACTTAATATATTTGTATAGTTCATTATTTTATTATTATTCCAAATAGTAGAAATGGATTTATGTAGCATTTAATATAAACATATCAGTGAAATCTCGTTTGATAAATGTAATCTGTTATTAAATGCTTTACAAAAACCGAAACTATTTGTCTGTCGCGTACCGAAATTCTATTTATAAACAGATTATTTTGGTATTGTGATTTTCCAAATAAGAAAAATGGTCATTTTATATAAAAAAAAATATATGCAGCTTTGAATATAGATAAATACCACAGAAAATTGTCCAGAAACCGATCATTTCGATTTAAATTTCGAAAATCTAATGAATTTTATAGAAATATGTCAATTATATTCATTCTGTTTTTTTTCCTTCAACAATATTAGTAAATTTGTTAATATTCGTAACTAAAGCGAAATAAAAATAGAAATTTTACAACTTAAAACTGGATGAACCAATTAAATTTGTTATTTGTACTTACACATCATGCAAGGTGTATCTGTAGGGCTGGAATGAGTCGCACTCGATGACTTTCATCTCGGAATGTGTAATTGTGATCTTGTGTAGGTTCTCGTGCAAATCGATGGGAACCTCTTTGAACTCTTTCCCGTAGCAGCGACATTCCACCACCGTCTGACTGAAAGACTCCGTCGAATTGTAACAATGACACGGCCATCCAGAGTCATTCTTCGGATCAACTTTGGACACGAACGAAGTCACTGAAACGATATTCCAAAATAATCATCCCACCAACAATCAGCATTTTCAAACTGCAATTACCTTCTTCCAAATCGCCGCCGAAATCGTCGAACGCACACGAAGCGAGCAATGTTTGTGCAATGAGCAAGGAAAATATTGCAAATCGCATTCTCTAAAGTGGACAAGATAGAAGAGAAGAGAATAAAGAGATTCGAAAATAGGATAGAAAAAACCTTGGCGCGGAAAACTCCGTGTATGTGTGTGTGTGTGTGATTAAATAATTTGGCTCAATTATCGCCCAAGTACGAGTGTTTTATTTTTATTTTAGTCACTTTTAACACATGCCGAAGGTCCCGTATATGATCTGCTTTATTTTATTATTTATTTATTTTTTTTTTCGCTGCGTATCTATCGAACCGGAATGCCGTCAATTTTTTTTGGTCCCTCTTACGCACTCAATGATCCAGTAGAAAATCTAATATTCGAACCAACGAGCTGCATGCAAATGCAGCGATAAAACTGGATTAATCTGAAACAGAGCCATCGATTAACAACGGATATTGAGTTACATCGTTTATCCGAAGATTAATTTGCACTAATTACACGAGTAAAATGACGCGCACATTTCATTATTGAAAAACCACGCGATTATTTCAAACAAATTTGTGTACAAAGCTAAAGCAGTTACGTTATTGTCTATACCAAATGTTGTGTAACGCTACGTCTAGCATATTGATGATGCCCTCGTGTATACGTGTTTAACAGCCAATTGTAACGCTCCAATCTAATTTTCATCCCTCGAGATACAAGAATTGCGTAAATACGTAACAGGCAGACAAAAGATATAGGAGAGAGTGTTTGCGTAATAAATGGAATTACTGAATATATTACATTATCGAGCAATACAAATACTGGAGAAAGTAATAACTGGCAGTTTAAAAACAAATAAAAACTAAATGTAATTTCTTATAAAAAGTTCATTTTTCTTGTTGCAAATCATCTTTGATTTACTTAACGTTATTTCTCGTAAAAAGTTATTATTCTTTTACAAGCAAAGCGTTTTTTCTTGTGAAGCTGAAGCAAATTCAATTCAAATTAGTGAACGTGAAAGAAGTTTTTTTTCATCATCAAGAAATAAAGATTAAGAAATTGGGTGATCTATGAAACACATATCCACAAAATTATAGTTTGCATCATAATCAAGTTTATTCAACTGTTAGAATTGTAAAAATTGGTTCAAGGATTAAGATTTTACATATATAAAGTAATAACAAATATTTATAATAGCCTCCTGTTTCACTATTTATTATCCATATATGATATGAAGAGTGCTAATAATAGTAATAGTTACAAACTATGAAAATAATATATTTGTACATTCCTATTCAAACATGTTGCAACTTATTAAAAGTAAGGACATCATTGTAAACTGCTATTGTAGATTTAGTTTATAGTGTAATGAAATGCTTACAACAAAATTATTCATTCTGAATAAAACAAAGAATTAATTAAACAGATTGTAATTAAAATTAAATTAATAATATGAATCTCGGATTTATTGCAAAAAAAAAATACATCTCAAATAGATAATTTGTTACTAATAACTGTGGAATTTTGTTATGTAAATCATACGTTGTTTTTTTTATATGTATAAATATAGAATAAAATAAAAGCAAACGGATGATAAAGATCGTGGCGCTATGTGCTTATCGGGTTGCAATAAATAGTTGCGCAAATCGTTTTCGCAAATCGAATTAGTTCATCGTACCTATAATCATACAAATACATGATTTCTATCGTAATAACATTTGATGTTATTCCGATTTCGAGTGGGCATCATTGAATGCATTTCGAGGAGATTTTCCAGTGATCTGGAAATCGGGCCTATATGCATTCATTCACATGATACTATCGATTTTTATCGCATAATCGAACCACTCCAGTAATTTTCCGTACACTCGAAAATTCATTTATTTTTTTTCGCACGTAATATTATTATTATTTAAAAAAAAAATTCCACTACTATGTCAATTATCATCATCTATAATAAAAATACGCATTTCATTGTACAAAAACACATGTAATTGATTTTTAATTATATTTATTTGGATTTTATCGTGACTTTTAATGTAGCAAATGTAGTTCTTTCATAATCTTTAAATCCAAAAACTAGAATTTTAACTAATTAGATTAAAATTATTAAACATTTGTAAGACAACAGGTTTATTAACTTTCTTATTGAAAGTGTCATAAAAGAAGCGTTACTATTTGATTTTACCACCACTATACCAAATTTAAAATCTATCGGTTAAAACAAATTTAATTAAATGAAGATACAATTAATCTTGCAATTCTTATTAAAAAGTAAAGTTCTCGGGTGTACGTATCATCATTTTCAGGCTATGAATAATTGTAAATATTTTGGTATATTTATTAAATTCTGTTTAAAGTATTTCAATGTTATTTATTATTAAAATTTCTAAGATTTTTTGTGGGGGTTGATAAACCCAAAAAGGGTAGAAATAGAAATTTATTTCTTATACGTATTTTAACATCCGCGTCATGAATATTCTGAAATGCAGCAAGTCGCATGTGTAACTGAAGTGATAATTGAAATATTTATCATTTATTTATATTTAACGTAGCTATATTTAATAACCGTTTATGACAAGAAAAACACATATGTTAAAAATATAAATTGCTTCACTTTTGTTCTTTTTTTCGTTTTATATAAGATTCAAACACGTTTCAATGTTCACACTAAAATCATGATTTCAGATTTTTATATAATTATTACAAAATAGTTGAAATATTTTAATATATAGGTTTAAATAAACAATATTTTTAATAAAAAAAGCAACATATAATTATTTATATATTTAAGAATGTTTTAGCTTTATTTAATTAATTTAATCATGTAAATTGAGTATTGAAGTTCTAATAATGAAATCATCTACATCAGTGATTCTCGCGACCCCAGGGGGTTTCTTAAAATATTTGGGGGTCGCAAAAAAAATAATGACAATCAATGCTGGTTGTTTTTCTACACATACCCATACTTCGGGGGGTCGCAGAAATTATTTATGTCCAAAAGGGGGTCGCGGACCAAAAAGTTTGAGAATCACTGATCTACATAATAGTTTATAAAATAATGTAATTAAATACTATAATTTCATACCACAAGTAATTTTAAAAATAAAACTAATAATTACGAACCAAACGAGAATCTTTAGTTAAAACAAAAAAAAAAGAAGGCATTTACGCTCAATTTCTTTGTGCGCCAAAACGAAACCAAATATCAGTAATTGACAAATCAACAGACTAACAAAAATATGCAAAAACTTAATTCAATTAACGTCGCCTTCTTCCATCCATTGAAATTAATAGAAAATACACAGAAACAAATTTGAATTTACGAAATCTTTGTTAAAGCAATGGAGTGAATTGATATTGTTAAAATTGTTTAAATTACTTTGATTTTTATTTCGGTGGTGTTGATTTGCTTTCGCAGAAACTTTCGAAATATTACTCAATAATAAATAATAATTCGCGGTGCAAACATAGACAAATTGTACTAAACAGACGGGCGGAGTAAATATCTCGCTCGAAATTTGCATTCCTCGACGCTTTGTTTGCAGAAAGATCGCAGATCACCATGTATATTGGCAAACAAATTGTTTAGCAACATCCTGCATCGCCATCACGATCATTTTAATTCCATTAGATGCAGCACAAACAAAACCAATATTGACTGCAAACCACAATTACAGACTTACACAAACCAATTAGTGTAGGCGTTAACCATTTCGTATAAATATGATTTGAAATACATTTAAAAAAAAATATACTGTTGTATAATTTCGAACTTACAATGTTTCTGGGAATGTGTATCGGTGTTACTTTACTGTTGTTCCTTTTCTTTTTAAGATTGGATGAGGAACACGTGAGGCACTCTCACAGACACCGTCTCTTTGCAAACAGTGCTCAGTTTATTAATGTTTGAATCTTTGAACAAATAGATGCGCACTTGATGGCACCGCGCGCGGATCCACAGAAACTGATCCAAAGAATACCGCGCACACCTGTTTTATATTGGACCTCAAACGATACGAAAATTCCACATTGTTTATGCAACCAAATCTTCATCCAAAGATATCCAGATTTGTCAGATGATATCTTCGGTATACTTCTTGAGTAACTAGATGCAATCAAGTATGTAGAATATTTGTTTTTGAATTATTGTTAAGTCCATGATTTTTTAAAACTTAAGTGTCGCTTGTTCTTGAAAATAATAAAATAAACATATTTCCTAGAGAAAGAGTAATATAAACAGTATAATTAAAGCTAGATAAAGTTTTCTGTGAATATTTTTGAAACATTTAATTACAAGTAAAAACAAACACAAAACAAAAGCTTTGTATATAAGAATTTAGATGCAAATGAAAATAAATTGAAAAAAACATTTTCATATCAAAGTGATAAATGTATTGGGAAATTAATATTCTGAAGAAAATCTGGAATATGTGGTTTTCAATTTTGAACAACAATTTATGTATGATTTTAATGTTCACAGTAAAATCATGATTTAAGTTTTACAAAATACTTGAAATATATTAATATGTGTCTTTACAGAATTAATGTCCAACAATATAAATCATAATTACTTCGAAATTTAAGATTGTTTAAACTTAAAGAAATTTGAATATTGAGATGAAATCCACATAAAATATGAATTATTTGTACGAATAAAAGTTAAATAGAACTTCAACAAATGTAAAATAAGTATAATTTTGTACAATTTATGCAACATTTTCAATTATAACATAATTATATATGTGTATTAGTTTAATGGTTTGTTGAGAGATGGTGCTGATTTTCAAGTAAACATTGAAGCATTGAAGCTGTCAGAAAATATGTCATAATACAATCAAAACATAACATTTTCTTTTCTTGTACGAAAATTCATTCATTTCTATTTTCCATCGTTTAACGGCAACTGGCAACTGGTGCAGACCATAAAAATCCATAAAGATGGTTGAAGAAAAGATATCATTTGCATGCCAGAGGTGCCTTGAACCTGTGCGAATTGATGATTCTCTAAATTTGCTTGGTGAACACATACAAGCTGAACTGCTATGTAAGTTTGTATCCATAATTATGTTAACTTTACTTCAATTCTTGACTTTATTTCAGTGCCAATACATTTTTGTAACGACACAGATTTGGAATCGCACACTACAAGCTTTGATAATTATATAAATCCCTGCAGATTATCAGACTCTGGGAATGCAGCGAATGGCTTCATGGTTATTTCTGATGGAGTCGAGGCAGATAACTTTAGCAAGAAGATGGAGGTTTCAGCTGCAATGTTTGATGTATTATCGGGAAATTCTAACATAGATCATCCACTTTGCGAAGAGTGCACTGATACATTATTGGAGTATCTTAAGGAAGAAGTGAGACTGGTAGAGATTGATTGCATCAAATATTCTCAACACTTACAAATGTATATTAATTATGGTTTTGTGTAATGAATTTTCTAATTAATTTATTTATTAGTTTGGAATACAAGAAAATGGAACCCAAATTGAGTGACCTGGAAAAGGAGTTTCAGGATCTTGTGAATGAGGAGGAGCAGGTGATGAAGGAATTGGAAAATTTGCAGCAGGAAGGTTTGGCTATTAAAGAAGCAATACTGGAGCAAGAAAAGAGTGCTGAGAAATTATCACTTGAGGAGAACAAATATTGGATGGAATTTACAAGGCATAGAAAGGATCAGCTGGATGCAGATGATGAATTGAAGAGGTACTATATAATACTATACAATGAGTGTTTTTTTATTTACAATTTAATTATTATTTTAGCATCGAATGTCAGCTGTCTTACTCGAAAAACCAATTAGAAAAATTAACTAAGACGAATGTCTTCAACGCAACCTTCCACATATGGCATGCGGGTCATTTCGGTACTATTAACAATTTGAGATTGGGCAGACTACCGGCCTCCCCAGTTGATTGGTCCGAGATAAATGCTGCTTGGGGTCAAGCCACACTTCTGCTAGCTGCTTTGGCTAGGAAGATTAATTTAACCTTTGATAAGTACGTCTTGGTTCCATATGGAAATCACTCGTATATACAGGTGATTAAGGATCAGAGGGAGCTTCCGTTGTACGGTGCTGGTGGTTTCAAGTTCTATTGGGATACCAAATTTGATTCGGGAATGGCTGCATTCATGGACTGTCTTCAACAGTTCAAGGACGAGGTGCAACAGCAGAAAGGTGAAAAGGCATTTTCGTTACCATATAAAATGAGTAAAGGAAAGATCGAGGATGCTACTACGAGTTACTCAATTAAGTGAGATTAATTAAGTTTGTTTGAATATGAATTTTTGTAATAATTTCTGTGCTATTTTTTTTCTTTAGGATTCAATTTAATTCGGAAGAGCAATGGACCAAAGCCCTCAAATTTTTGTTAACTAATCTCAAGTGGAGTTTGGCCTGGGTATCTTCGCAATTCACTGCCGAAGGAGACCCGATTGATTGAATTGAATACATACTCTATTTTTTGTGATAAATTTATATACACACGTATATAATTATATTGTTTTAATTCGACTGCTGTCGGATAATCAATTTCTATTATATTCTTCAATCATAACATAAGTAAAATATTGATGATTAATTTTGGTAATACACAAGTAATCATTATACAAATATTTGTCATATAGAAAATACTTGTGAATTATTTTTTTTTTGTAGAAAATAAAGGTTATTATCAATTAAACTACAATTTTTATCATTTCTAACATATGTTTCCTATCTCCATTATGAAGTTATGAGTACTGACTAATGTGACCAAATAGAAATAATGAAAAATAATATTTGCTATCGTGATTTCATGAGAAATAATAATAGTTGTTATTTAAAATTCATTTTTTTTTTCACTCAACTGAAAGCTTCTGAAAACTGGAAATGTCAGAACCAACGGAATTGTATGTGAACAAAGATATTAACGAGAGTGTAACCGAAGTTGAAGAGGATGAAGATGCATTTCTATCGCACCGTGTTTTCATGAACCATGTAGACCAATACCATGCATTGCACATCGCAGACGTAAGACATAACGAGGTTGTGTCATGTAACAAACAAAAAATTGTATAGTTTATTTTCAGTACTTAACAGATAGAGTCGTGGGAACTCTCTTAGGCGGTGGCGAAGAAAGGGGAGAAGGTATTGAAGAGGAAGAGAAAGTATCGAAAGTGCAAGTATCGACGTTCGGTTTAAAATACGAAGTGATCGGAACGATGCGACACAAATTCGGAAAACAATCGGAGGATATCTCGAAGATCATTAGCGAGAATGATAAGGAAGAGTTTAAAAAGGAAGTCATGAGATGCGGATATATATTGTACGACATCTCGCAGGATGAGGCAGAGATACCGAAAGCACTCGAGACACTAAAATGTAAGCTTAAGTGCTTTGTTTATACCGTATTATAAATATTGAAATTTTGTTGATAGTTATCGAAGAAGAAATTGATAAAGTCAAGGATGTTGGACCTAAAACTTTCAAGAAGTTCGAAACGAGCCGAACGTTCATTTTAATTTCAAACATAATGACTTGGGCCAACACCAAACCCATAGACCCTGTAATAATAATAATTAATAAACGTTTATTTTGTAATGAAATGTATATTAATTATTTCATTTAATCGTTGCAGGACGATCCCGAAACGGCATTCACTGAAGCGGATTATCGAAAACGTAAACCACATCCAAATTACCTACAGCACATAGCGTGCGAACGAGAAGTCATTTTAAAAGGGAGAAAGGTTTTTTTTTTCTATACATTGTTTGGCTATATCAATGTTGCCTCTGGTTTTAGTACAAAGATAAGCTCAAAACTTACGTGGTTTGCGCTGGAATTACTTATGGTTTTGAAGAACAGGATTTGTTTTTCTTGTTCAAATTGGCGTGGAGCAATGAGACGCATCTTCCCGTTTTCCTCCCTGGAAATAACATTGTGCCCCTCTTGCACGTTCATGATTTAGCCGTGTAAGTTTCCTTTTATTTAATGCTTAATTGATGATAATCAAAAACGTTTTTATTTTAAGAATTGTGCATTACACAATGGAAATTCTTCCAAAGAAACCTCAATACATTTTGGCGGTCGAACAAACACCGTGCAAGCTGCGCCAAATCACGAAGGCTCTGAGCAAAGCTATGGGATCGAATAGAATCAAGGATGTCTCCAAGGAAGAAGCTTTCCTCTACAATAACATGACTGTTCATCTAGAAGTACATTTTTAGTAAACATTTTCTAATGATACTTTCTTTCAGCAATCTATTTTCGATCGTTACACGGTCAACTTGAACATGGAACCGGCTGTAATTGTGGACGATTTCGGTGTTGAATTCAGGAGCGATCTGAATCTTGCCGAAAATATGGTCAAAATCGTTATGGAGTTTCGCGATAGTCATAACTTAAGACCTATAAAGGTGGTGATGCATGGACCTCCGGCTTCGGGAAAATCAATAATAGGAAGAAAAATAGAGGAGATTTACGGGCTACACTTTGTGTCCGTAAAATTAATGATTGAGGAATTATTAACTGATATGGTTATTATCAACGATTTATTGGAAATCAGTGAACATAATTATCATTTTTGTTCTAGAAAAATAGGGTAGACGAGGAGATAGAAAAGAAGAAAGCACGAGAAGAAAAGGGGCCCGTGGAGGAGGAAGAAGATGACGAAGAGGTTGAGGAAGAAGAGGAGGAATATCCTATAGAAGATTTGTTGGAAAAGATCAAAGACATCGAGATTACAATGGCTGAAAGCGAAAATGGTGAATTAATAAAATATTTATTTTGTTTGCATAATACAATGTTGAATGTTTAACAGGAAAATTACCAGATGATTACGTTATACGTTTATTGCGTTCCTTCTTGGCCAGCAATCAGTGTCAGAACCAAGGCTTCGTACTGGACGGATTTCCGAAAACTATAGTTCAGGTTAACTATTTGTTAACTACCTTTATATTATGGGTAGTTGTAGATAAATATGTTGTTTAGGCTCGGGAATTGTTTGGAACTGAAGCTGGAGGAGGTGGAGAAGAAGCTGGAGAGGAGGAGGACGATGAAGAGGTATCAGGAGGAGCCAGGGTTTCGATACTACCCACGCATGTGATATCTTTAGAAGCTAACGATGCGTTCCTGTGCAACAGAGTAATGCAGTTCCCTGAAAAAGACGTTCAAGAAACTCATTACACCGAAGAACACATGATGCGGCGCTTAAAAATGTTCAGGGCCAACAATACGGAAGACAACACCGTATTGAATTTCTTCGACGAGATTGAAATTCATCCGATAATCTTGAACGCGATGGACGATGAAAACACGGAAATGTCAACTACGTTGCAAAAAACAAAATTGCTGCTGGGTTCTCCGGTCGGATTCGAAGCGTCGCCTGAAGACAAGGAACAGATGATGTTATGTTTGGAGGAAGCGGCGAGACTGAAAGAAGAGGAACAGCGGCTTGAAGCGGAGGTGATGATGATTTCGGGTTACTTCTGCAATACATCTTTCATATATTCACATTGTTTCAGTTGATCGAACGGCGGGCCATGGAGGAATATCAATTCAAGATGGAGGAAAGGCTTCGCGTACTTAGCGATCTGCAAACTGAAGAGGAGAAGATACTTGTAGCCGAAGCGGAACCATTGAGAAACTATCTCATGAAATACGTGTTCCCAACTCTGACGACCGGTTTGTTAGAAATAGCGCGAGTAAAACCGGAAGATCCGGTCGATTACTTGGCGGAATACCTATTTAGGGCAAATCCGGAAGGAAAAATGTTTGATCCATCTTATACACGGCAAGGCGAATTGCTGGAATCGTTTTTAAACGACGCGGAAAAGGATAAATGAAAACAAACACTGATTACAATATTCTTTTATTATTTCGTTCACTAAAACTATACAATAATAGAATAATTATTTATATTTTCATTGAATTGTATATATATTTTTTTAAATTTTTAATATAACAGGCTACTAAATATTAATTTTTTTTTTCACTTCAATATTTCCAAATTACTCATAAGCAAAGTCTAAAATATTTTATTTCATAATATACGCAATAATTTAAATCTTATCAACAATACATTTTTTTTTTGGGCACGTCTCAGAGACGCGCCCAACTTATCACTCTCAATTGTTATTATTTTGTTTCTGTACATTGTTAAAACGAAAGTACACGAACGTAAAGAAACGATAAGAGAAATTACAGAAAATCTTAATAAATATATGGAAGATGGTCCGGGTTTGGTTCTCTTAAAATAAAAGAGATTACAAATATTTTCTCAACCCCAAAAACCCTCGAAACAAAAGTAACTAAATGTTACTAGCATTCGTTATAAATTCATACATAAATATATACATCGAAACAAAATGTATTTACACAACGGAAATTATTTAATCGTAACTAAAGTTTTTGTTTGTTCTTACAAAAAGAAATGAAAAAAAAAAATGTAATGTAAAAATACGTCGTCAATCACCCATTCATCATCTCTTATTTACTCTCCGTTTCATCAACCACTAGTAACATTTAAATATATATATTTATTATTCCTTAAGTTATTACAATGAATGTGCGAACCCCAGTACTAATTTTTTATTCCCGGGGCGGTTTCAAAATTTCCAAAAGTATATAAACTCTACCAACTCTACTTATTTCTACGATCTATTATTGCTCCTGTTAGATTTGCATCTTTCTTTCATAGTAGAAAAAAGGAAAATAAGTGTTTAGAGGTAGGCGTGCCTGACTATTACAAAATCTCACTCTTGGCACTGGGCACTTTTTTTTTTAAATAACTAAATTAGACAGAATTATAATAATAAACAATGAGAGACGTTCCTTATTAAATATCTCACCCAGTCATTACAATATTCTCAATAGCTACAGTATATATATTCTACATATTAGATAAAGTCTTAGTAAGATATGGTTACATTGAATTTCTTTATAATAATTAGATAATATCGTATCCTAAGTAGTAGCGCAAATATTTTGGTGACTTTTTCGTAGAGTTGGTAGGTTTTCAAAGACGTAAATAAAAGTATTACAATCTATATAGTATTATCATCTACAATAGACCTATGACTAGGTGAAATACTAAGCAACATTGAGAATTGATATTTTTTTTAAATATTTAAGATACATTGAAGGAGAGAAAAAGGTTACAATTTTTTTTAAATGTTAAGAGTATAAAGGCGATCTCCCTTTTAGGACTTGAGTAGCTTGTTGGCCCGCTGGTTAGCGACTGCAATGCGCGTTTCGTTGCTCTCGCCCTATCGTACATCAAGCAAACACATGACAGCACAGTATGTGCGATATCGGATTCGGGTGTAGCCGAGGACCCTTTACTCAATAAACGATTACCGAAATTTATAAAAATAAATACATAATCAGGAGAGTGCTGAAGGAGAAACTGAAAGATCTATTTGATAACAAATAAAGGATAACAAAAGTTATCTTCGTTCAAGGTCCTCGGCTAGACCTCATCTTATATAAAGTGTGTTTGTGTGTCTACTTAAGGAGTTCGTGGGCTCGCTGGTTGGCCACTCCTATCCGTGTCTCATTGGACTCGCCCTGTGTTGTTGTTGTTGTTGTTGTAGATGTTACCATGTAAACCAAGTGTGTGAGTTGAAATTGTTGTAGTGGTGCAGGAGTTGTTGTTGGCGTGGAATGGAGCAATATAAAATAAAAGACAAAAGAAAACATAGATTTAGTATCAAAAAATTGCAAAAAGGAATAAATAATAGCAGTACAATATAATCAACGCCATTGTAAACACTAATAGCAATAAGCCATTAGATTGTTACCCACATTTCACATAATAAGTAGAACATTTGTTTTCAAATGAAATGAATATTGTGAAATAATGATGAAATATTTCAAACTAAATTAACAACATATTCTTTATGTATTCTAATAATGTAATCTAAAGAATATAATTTATGAGTTTAGGCATAATAATTTAAGAAAATTTAATATAAAATAATGGAAGCGATCAAAAAAAAAAGATAATAATGAGAGAAAAATGGAGCAAATGAAAAATAAATTCCTACAGATGAACGAATTCTTCGAAATACATGAATAAAATATAGATTTTGTATTGGAATTAGCACCTTAATTATATTTATATGAATATCAAAATGTTCATATTTTTTTAATTATAGTTTAAAACAACTAACGTATTCATGGTAATCCTTTACGAAAAGCAATTAAAGCAATAAGCGAAGTGTATTTAATGTTTTTTTTTTCTTTTCATAATTAGATTTAGTAGAAAATTTAATATGTAATTTTGAAAATATCCGATTTGCTCGTCCACGTACTTGATCGAAATCAATGTTTGAAGATATACACGTGTAGTTGTCTTGATTTTATGCGATTGACTTACCTTGAGATTGATCCTTTCGATCTGATTATTCTGATTCTGCAATTCGGATCCCATGTCGATTGCCATATTACGCAAATTACCAATCATGGTGTTGACCTGACCCATGTTCTCCTCCATTTCCACTTCGCGATCGTCGTTCGTGATTCGTCCAATGTATCCGCCCTGCGGACCGCATCCGTTGCGATCATCCATCATCCTCTGGGGTTGATTGTTAACGACTTTACCGTCATCGTTGCCTTTCCACGTGCCCTCGTCTTCTTTAAACGAAGAACCCCTGCAATACGCGTATTCGTAAATTGAACGTAGTTAAGCAATAGTAATTTTGACTAATGTACTTCTGACAGGGTAAAACGCATAAACCGCAGCACTTTTCCATCCCGGTAAGATTCTTCTCGGCCTCGCGCATGTCGGTGTTGATCTGGTCCATACCATCCTCGATGCGGTCCAATTGTTCTAAACAACGACGACATTAGTACATGGAAAATTACAAATCGAAGAGAAAATTATATAAATCAATTAACGGATTACAATATTAAGTCGATTAATAAAATACTATCAAGTCTGCTAACACTCTTCCAAAAGAAAGATGAAACGCATGCAATTAATAATAATAATAAAAAAATAATTATAAAGAAAAGTAAAAGAGAACGACGTGCAAAACTATATGAAACGTACTAAAACTATAAAAAGGAACAAATGAATAAATCAATAATTAAGCCATCTACGGTATAAAAATCTACATGCGTACTGAGTTAAGTATTAAGTATTTTGTTTAAGATCAAATGCATAAATATATTTTCAATAAGAAAGTGTGAGGAGCAAATAATGTTTCAATTTTTCATTTATATTGAAATAATAACAAAAAAAATTGGAAAAAATTGTTCAAATTGTTATTAGAACAGTTTCTCTCTTTTCTTCGAGAAAAAGACGACTTACTGAGATCTCGTATAGTGTATAGTAGTAGATGTTGTCCTATGATGTCTTGTCTTGTCTTGTGTGTGCATGTTCTCGTATACATTATCATATTATTTTATAATTTAGTTTTTTTTTTATATAAATTCATAATCATTAGTTTTACACAAATTCCCATTGTTGGCGACAAATTACAATTCCAATTACAACATCATTTTATGCATTGATCTTGCATAAGACCATCGATTCAACCGAATTATTTAAGATTTAGTCAACTGCTACTTGTATTCATATTTTAGTCGTGTTAGTGTGTTGTAAGTGAAGTTGGGGAATTTGAAAAAATAAATATCTTAGTAGTAGAATTTTAAGGTTTCATTCAAGAGTTAGATAATAGAATTACAGATGGATGACAGAGATAATATGGAGGGGTATTTAAATGTATTTTTGGTTGTTTTTTTGAAAGAATTATGTGTTATAATATACTTGAACATTGTGTTCATTTAGAAATTTTGTAACTAAATTAATTTTACTATGTAGATTTCTTTTTATTAGTATATATTAATGTTTAAATATTTAATTTGTAAATTTTAAATGAACCAGTAGGAAATAATTAATTCAATACAAATGATCCAAAATATCTACAAAACACAAATATCAAGATATATATTTGGCATTTCTCTCTTTTTTTTCTTGTTTTCCATTTTGAAATCACCAATATTTTAAGTAATGATGTCACACATTGCAAATCCATTGAAAAGTCCGCATTTATATAATGACTTGTACTCTTCAGTGTAAGTTATTGAAAAGCATATCTGTATCTATATTGAAGTAGTTTAGTTTCATGTTTTTTTTTTCTTTTTTGCAAACGAGCAAGCTCGGTGGATTTTCCGCAGGCTTTGTAATTTCCTCTTTCATCCAGATAGAACTGGATATATAGAGAGTCCCCCACATTCAACCACGCACACGAGAGACTCGGAGTTTATTAAAACGGATATGGTCTTATCGATCCCGGTGGTATTTTTCCTCATCCATTCATTCTCCGGCTTTCAGAAAACAAAAAAAAACTCTGGTAACTCGCATGTTATGGAAACAAACAAAAATCCACACGATACTTAATGTTATTAATCACAGTATGTTGATTCAAGAGAAAGTTAACTATTTTCATAGTTTTAATTGTGAAATAGGAGTATTATCGCGTAGAAACACCGGCGAATGAGAAAATCAATATAGCAATTAAATGTTGACTATGAAAATTTAAACCGTTTCCCTGATACAAAATTCCACGTCAACGATTTCATTCAAACGATTCATTTCTTTGCACCAGACTTTATGGTAATTTCAAAGTTGGAAAAGAAGAAAAAGTACAAAAGAATGCTTCACCTCAGCGAAATGTAAGAAATGTATAATGGAACGATTAAGTGTTTCTTTTTATTAGAGGATTAGTAATTTTCTGGAGTGAGAGAAATAGATGAAAAGAGTGAAGAGAGAGTAATGGCGTGTCTTGTATGACACTTTGTTAAAATTTCTCCTATTTTTAAAATCTGGATATGGTTTTTCTGGTGTTTTTTTTTTGGGTATCAATTACGATGCTTACCCCCCTGTTCATCCAGCATGACAAGGGTTTTCATCCCGACTTCGTGGCTCTACAAACATCAACACAGGCTGCGTTAGTTGTGGTTAAGGCAGGTCTCCATTACCCCCAAAAAAAAAGACAAATGAAACAGAATGCGCGCGATATAACACACACACGCCATTTAGTAAATTGCAAATGAAGAAAAAAAGAGTTTTAGTCTCCAACAGTTAGTTTTCGGACCCACTGAAATCTCCATCCCAGTCATAGAAGGAAAACAACAATACACCTGTTAGTAGTTGCTGATAAGTAGAGAGAAAAACCAAAATGAGTAAAAAAAAATATAAGAAATATTTATGGAAATCTTACCCCCTTGATGGTCTAACATTTGCAGCGTCTTCGCCCCGGCATCTGTACTCTACAAAAACACTCATCTAGCTATATAAAGAACCTGATTCTTCCACAAATAAATCATTACCAATTTAGAATAGAAACCAAAAATAATATTTAAAAAAAAAATATATAGTAACAAATTGGTGACACACAATGATCCACATTCGTAATCAATACAATCAACATACCAGAAACAAATTAAATATTACCAATAAACAACAAATCTCATCATAAATCAACACATCTACGTAAACGTAAGAAAGAAAAGCAAAGTTACGGAACAATCAATACGCGATTTTAAAGAGTAACGGTTATTTCCATAAATTTTCTTCTGTTTCTCATGACTATGGTTAAAGCATCAACTAATTATTTTGTTGGTGAAATGGGGGGAGTCTCGTACTATTTCAATAGGGATTCCTTGAAATTCAACAACTTTTATAAATAGGTGGCTGCACAGACAAGCAAAAGCCGCATGCAGTGTGAAAATGAGTGTTTCGCAGACTGTTAGTATATATCAAGTATAAATATATAGTTCATGTAATTTGAAAGAGGAAATAAAAAGAAGAGAAAATCAAATTAAATTTAAAAAAAAAGAGAGTACAAATTATAAATGTGTATGAACAGAATGTATAACTCTGACGTATATCAATTATGAACAGAGACGCAAAGGGCAATTATAATTTGATTCAACCTGTGCATAGGGACAGGTATTAATAAGCTAACATAATGAAATCATTCTCTATCCACGTGGTATTGAATCATTCCATTAAATCAGGTAATTGAAACCTTTATGATCGAATTACACATCAATGCTCGTAATTTATACGTAGAAATTAAATCAACGTCACAAATGGATTCTTGATAAATGTACATTGATTGCCCATCATTTCAAGATGTAAATTATATTACACATTTTTTTTTTGGAAAATATATGATTATTTTTTCCAAATTATAAAGGCAATCAATGTTTCAACACATTAATTAAACAAACAAAAAAAAAGAAATAAAATGAAAATCAATGTGATGTGATGTAATGAAAATGAGAAGAATATAATGTGATGATGAATTGAGTGAATGTATAGTAGAAGAGTATATTCCTTTTTTTGTAATCAATTATTGTATAGATCAACATATTTTTTTTTGATGAATAATATGATCGTAAATAAATAATCAACTGAACGAAAGGGGTAAGAAAAAAAAACTGAAAGTTAAAACAAAGAAAATTGAGAGATAGAAATAGAAAGAAAGAGAGATTTTTAGAGAGAGGACTCACCTCCCTGGTCATCAAGAGCGACCAAGGTTCGGATCCCAGCCTCCTTGCTCTAGCAGCACAAACAGTGTACACTGTATGTTAGTATTACATATAATATGTCAATATGTTTATAAAGTAAGTATATTATCTGAACAAAACGAAAACCAAAGAAAACTTAACTAATAAACAAATAAATGAAAAACCATTCATCGTCAAATATATAACAAAAGAAAAGTAAATCAAAAAGAATAATCGTAATTATCGTTTTAGATATTTTTTTATAGGTATATATTAGTTTCAGTTTAGGTATAGTAAATACACTTACACAGCTACACAGAAATAGAGGAGAGAGAGAGAAAAAATAAAAGTGGGAAGAAACGCAAGAATGGGACAAATAAAATAATCAATTAAGGAAGAAAAATCAATAAGATTTTTGCAACCGAATAAAAACAGCAATCACCATAGAGAAAAGGAAAACACACACAGTTAATCTTAACTTGAAAAATAATTTCTAAAGCTTTCAGCTGCACCGCGAAGCACTGAAAATAGAAATGATTTTTCAGAAAAGACACGGAACAAGAAAATATGCAAAATAACATTAGGTGAAAAAAAATTGATATTCGCTTGTCCCATTTTTACGCACAACATCGACAAACTAAAAATGTAAATAAATAAAATCAGTTTGGTAAAAAATGTAGTTTCAGTATAAATTGCTTGTAACGAAGCACAAAGTGCATGATCTGGGGTTTCTCTACAATAAAATCTAAGACGATTTCGCTACGCCACCTAAAGAATGTGAGCTATTGGTCTTAAAATGGTGGAAGAAAACAAACAAAAAATAAACCGTGCCTTCAGTTTTATAACTGATCGCAAATTATGGTATTGGAAAACCCAAAATCATGCACATCTTGTGTTTAAAAAAAAAGAAATGAAGAGGGAAAGAGTTTTTTTTTGTCAGTGTTTCCAGAAGAATTAGAACTGAAAGTGGTAGTAGTAACAGTAGATTATACTAAGTAAAGAAAGATAGAAGAGAGTGGCAAAGAATTGGTAAGGGGTAACGTTATATAATATGGTTGTGGTTGTGTCTGGTCTGCGAGTATGTGTGTGGAATGTAGCTGTACATGGAACACAGCACACTCTGGCAGCCACTCGGCAGGACTACCCCCACGACAACATACAAGCAGCCAAATTTAACATAACCAAACACACGAAAATCAAAGAAATTAAATAAGAGAAAGTAAACGAAAAAAATAATACGACTAATTAACGTGGTAATTCATATACAACTTCGGAAATAAATGAAAGAATAGAACACGTAATCATCCACCTGTAGACTACAATTTTACTTAACTTAACTGTATAATATTTAAAGTCAAATTGGAAATCTACATGTAGATGCATACGGTCAACATAATTACATGTTTTTTTTTGTTAAATAAAGAAGAAACTAAATAAATAAACAATAGCAACCGGCGGTGGTAGGCCTGCTCTGCGAGAAAGAAACATTTTATAGAATTTAAAGACAGTACAACCATGCAGCACAGATAGATAAGATATATATATAATATTTATATATTTATAAGAAACCATAAAAAAAATCAGAACCAAAAGTGTATATTACTATATAAAACAATAATATGAATGTATTATTTTTCTCACAAAATATTAAAAACCCTTCAAAAGATTATGTAAATAAAAAAAAATAAAAGTCATAATGAAGAAAACAACAAATATACATCACTTACAAACTAACACACGTACTTCGCTTCAAGTACATTTCTTTAAAAAAAAAAGACACCTAAGAATTGTTGGTAGTTTCGTCTTTTACGAATTAGGTCGTAGGGTTAAACGCATGCGCTTAGAAGTATAGCTTAACAGGATATAATATTAGATAGATAAGGGATTTCGTAAAGAAGGAACTACCAAAATTCAAAAAAACACACACACACGCTTATACAGTTGGGATTGTTCCTCCCTCCAATGAAGATTTATTTGCGAATGCATATTAAATGAGCAGTCAAAACCTATAAACCTTCTCTTTTTAAGTTATTTAATGGAAGAAATGCAAAACATATATAGAGAGAGAGAAAAAATGAAACACATTTAGTATAGAGCAAAAGAAGGAAGAAACATTTAGAAATGTCGAAAAGTGAAGACAGTGAAAAGAAATGTTGCGACTCGATTCCTTCGTTGAAAGGTAAAGAATGTAAAAGTGATACAGTGTGAATGTTTATTTTTCTTCCAAACGATGGAAAGAAAAAGATACATTCGTTGTATCTTCGGTTAGAGCACAATGGAATAATATTATTTTTGAATTTTGGAAATAAAAACTGTATATTTACCTCCTCGCAAAGGGCGAGCATCCGTCTTGTACTTTCCAGGGACTAAAAGAAAAGGAAAATAATATAAATATTCCAAATACCATTGTCGGTTTGCAATTTTTAATATACAATCGTTAATTGAATCTAGTTATTGAAAATGTGTTTAATAGAAGGCTATGAAGTTAAAGGTTAAGTTTAATCAATATAGTGGAGACCCTAAATATTCGGACACGCCCTTCATTTTAGTTGAAAATACATTTGCTAACTAATTAATATAACAATTAATTGTAAATAATTAATAATAATCAATGACGTGATCCAATATTTATATATGTGATTTTTTTTTTAAATTTACTTGAAATCAATTTTATTTTGTTTTGCATATTGTAACAGTTAGGATGCAACAACTTACATCATCTGTAACCTGTCCAGCTTTGTATTGAAGTTCCTGGAGTTCAGAGCGGGGAGCTCCATTTTCAGCTACTGGTTCTGGGGCAGGCATTGTTCTTTAAATAGAGAAAAAAAAACAAAACATTAATAAATATTATTTACCAGAAACGGAAGCATAGTGCACATTTTATATATTTGTTGATGGAATGATAACTAGTTGACCTCTTACAATCAATAATTTATGAAGCAATTTACGGCTTGCTTCTATTTATGAGGTTCAACCTGCATGAATAAATACAACGACAATGTATGGGCAATTAGGCTTTGTTGCGCATTCGACTCAAGTCCTCTTTAATTTATAATGAATATTCAGATATCCGAGAGGTAAAGATTAACATTAATCATTCAGACGAACAAAACGCATCCCGACAAAACTAACTTCGCAGGTAGGAATTTGTGCTAAAACGTGCTGTATGGTTACACATTTGACAATATAATATTAATAAGTAAATACTGAATACAGAAGAATACTGCTTTAGTGCATAAATTATGTAATTTTTAGCAAATACTGCAATTATAACGATAAAACTTGATAAGTACGATTTGTTTAAAAAGTAATATTTCAATATATAGTCTAAATTTGACGAAGAACATAAATTAACAGGTCACATTTAACAAACAGAATGAAAAACCTAACAAATTATAATTTTGGTAAAACTTAACTATGAAGATGATATTGACAATCAATTAAATTTCATTAAATCTGATAATAAATTATTTTCAATCAAAACATTCGTTTAAAATCATTTAATATAGAAGGCAATGATCCGTTATTATGAACTAATTAATAAATTAAAAGAAATCGTCCGTAGTTTCTGATATAAACTGAGCGTGTCAGTATTATCGTTTTGACAGTACACGCTCATACTGTACAGTAATGTGTGGTTCCATTGTTAAAATTCCTTGCTTTGAACGCAGGATAATTGTATTAAACATAATGGGAAGATTCATCGGACGACAATGTCTTTCCGTTTTAATCAAATCAGATTGAGGCTTTCATTCGGTCAACGGTCCATCATAATCACTAAAATGCAACTACTAAAGTGTCTATGTCCATCATAATTTCGATATAACGACTCTTTAGAATCAATCGAATATTGAATGCTGAAGATTCAATTATTCGCTACACATCTGTTTTATTTAACAGCATGTGTCAAGAGTTTGCACCAATTTAATGCCAACTCGGCATTTTCTATTACTTCTCAAAGTTACGTAATATTATGCTGCATAGGAGAAACGAAAATCGATAAATCTCTCTATGTTCTATTATAAATTTGCATGCTCAAACAGCGTGAATAATGTTTTAAATGTGTTTAGCAAATTTATAGTACGTGTACTCGGCGGACAGGGTAATTTTAACCCATCCTTCGTCTTCTCATAATTACTCTTTATCTTTTTAATGACCGTCTCATTGAAAATTAAGAATTCAGTGGGAATGTGAACATATCTAATTCTATTCAAGATTTCTTCTCCGTAATTGCATATGCAACATGTCTAATTATGAAATAGTTTACTTCTACTTTATTATTGATTAGTCTACACCAGTGTTTCCCAATGTGAGGTACACAATTTGATCGTTTTGATTTGATCGAGAATGGACACATCTAGAGTTTAACAGTATGGGATATTATGTATATGTTACATAAGAACCAAAAAAAAAGTTGGGAACCACTGGTCCACACTGTAGACAGTGACTTGCTGTTTGGTCGCATTACATAACATTCATCATGTTTATAAATAAAAAGTTTTTAGAATACATTTTTCGGATTAATTGTTTGGCTTCTATAATTATACTCACAAAAAACGAGTAAAATTCTTTGCATATCGATTTAGATTCGTATACGTAACATATCCACATTTAATCCATTCATGAATTAAATCAAGGTTTTCTTTTAAGTAAATAAGACTAATTTACTGATCATGTAGTACATATAGACTTGAATCATAAATGACTAATATTCTCAGAATTTCAAGTAATGCAATGATCATGATTTCAACAAACTTCTCTTCATATATTGGTCCATAATATAGACTAACCCACGGCTCTTTTGATGAGAAATTGTGGCTGACTCCGCTTAAACTGTTGAATAGCAAAAATTCATTTCATTAGAAAAAAAAATCATACGATCATGACGCTATTTTTTTAACAGATAATATGTTAAAAATGGCTCTTTGCTCTAGAAAAGTTGCCATCCCATACTCATAAATATACAATTATGAAATATTGTATTTCTTCAGATTTTTTTTTAATGACTAATTGTAACTAACTTATCAATACCAAATTTAATAATTGCCTTAATAATTTGTTGTTATATAATAATAACTTCGTTTAATGTACGACATAATGATACTTAAACAATATATGAATCACTTTAAGTCATGAACAGATAAGAGAAAGCTTTATTGCCTACAGAATAATACATTAATGCCAAGCATAACAATAAACGGTTATGCGTTACATCATCATATATTTAGTAATTATTTAAAAACGATTTCTCTGAAGAAGTTTATTAAGATAGGACCTGGTGGTTTTCCTTGGGGCACGCCCGATAATATCGTTGTGTATTAAGGTCATGAACTCATGACATTAAAGTTTCAAATTAATACTTACCTAGTGCTAGTCTATGACAGATAAATCTAAAGTTTCATATAAAGTTTAACTTAAAATGTAAGTAGTAAAATCTCTAATACAATAATCTTGTAAAAAATATATGTAGTAATATAATAAATTATTGGTATTAATAAATGAATGACAAGTTTCTCTAAGTTTTTGAATGAAGTCGTAACTTATTTGGAATAACATTCGAAGTATTATACGTAATTATTAAAAGGACTCTGGGTTTCGCCTAAAAAATCAATAAAATTTGCGTTTAATGCAATGATGACATTCGCAAATGCGCGTTAAGGACTACAGATTAAAGCAGCGGATTTGAACGTGTGTAACATGTAAATAAATATGAAATGTGAAAGGGCAAGTGGACCAATAGTCATTTCACGTCTAGATTTCACTGCAGCCCAGGAAAATCACTATGGGCAAGGTCATAGGTTCGAATATGTATGCCGGAAATGAGACACGCATCCGGAATTTGCACTTCCACCTACGTCGCTTCTATCGATTTTCTTCTGCCATGGTCCACGATTGCTGCTGTTTCAGATGTAATTTCAAATAATTTCTGTTTGCACTGGAAACAAAGTTGCTATTTCTCCGCATTGTCAGTGTGGCTAAAGAAAATCAATAAGGCAGCCAAGGACCTAAATACATTTGCGAAAGGGGTGTGAGGATAAAATGCGAAATTCGATATGTTAGATAGTTCAAATAGAGGCATATTGTTAGCATGTTCCGTGTTTCCAATTGGACTTAGTTAATGATACTGTCTAGTTAACTTACTTACTTGTAGATTTTTCGGTAGGTTTTCTAGTTGGACTGGAGATTTGTCGTCCTTTCTCTTACAATTGGTTGGGTTTGATGCTGAGTTGTTTGGAAGCTATGAAAGTGGATGAAAATTGTTGTTGAAGACGACCACCACACCACACATACACTCCAATTGACAACCAAAAACTGACAAAAGTGGTCAAGAGTGTGTGGGAGGTCTACGCTGCGAATACCAGCCTTGACTCATGCGCGCCCTCTATCCCATTCAAACATGGGCGTCGTCTTCACAGACAATACAATATATTTTCATACCTGATGACGTTGTTTATTGTTCAGTTTTATCACGCATTGCTTACAAGAATGCTACAACATTTATTTGATACATTTCTATCATTCCCAAGCATTATAAGTTTTAACTACACATGAAAACTAATAGACAAACCATTAAACTAAAAATAATATTTCATCTCAATTTAACAACAATATCTTCTATTATTAATGTGTATTATATAATGAAACATTCATTAATATCTTTATATTATATTAGCATACTTTGTATATAGTAATATACACATGATATAAACTTATTTGAACCATCATATAGATTGTATTTTCATGAAATAATTGATGAAACAGAAGAAGAACATTATAGAAGTAAACTGAGTTAAAATACTATTGAAATATTTAGGATTCTCGTTGCTCATACATCTTTAAAAGTATAAATGCATTAAACTAGAAATATTATAAATATGTACAGGTAGTGACATCTTGGAAGGAATTTCAGAAACTCTGAAATCAATAATGTAAAGACTGCATTGAAAACTGAAAATTCCCCTAGATGGTACCGAAAACACCTGTTTATCTGTCAGTGGGACGTTTGGTTTGGGTGACTCACAAAGTAATAACAAATAGTCTTGTTCATTGAGTCCTCCTCCGCAAACTTTTCCAGAAATCTTCGTGCATGTCAGATAGCGACAGCGAGTTTGATTATCCGTCAGAGAGCACAAGGCTGATGGATGGACATGTGGCAACGAATGGCGAGATCCGTGCTCCACCCCCGGAAAATACACGAAAAAGACATACATCAAGGAACATAGAACATGGAGAAGTATGTATATTCATAAATTCTTTAAGTTGTAGATTTTCACTCTTTTTTTTTTGTTCATGCAGATGAGTTCTAATACATTACCTGAGGTTCAAACCCGACCAGAAAATAGCCAAGCAGCCAGACCACAAGAGTGGTTAGGTGATGAAGAAGAGGAATTGAAATATGGTGCCAAACATGTCATCAAGTTATTTGCTCCCGTTTCGCTATGCATGGTCGTCGTGGTTGCAACAATAAGTTCAGTACGATTTTATTCTATAAAAGATGTTTATCTTGTCTATACACCATTTCATGAGGAAAGCCCAGAGACTGGCACAAAAGTGTGGAATGCTGTTGCCAATTCATTTATTCTTATGGGTTTCATTATAGTTATGACTGTGCTGCTGATTGTCCTGTACAAACATCGTTGCTATAAAGTCATACATGGTTGGCTCATCATTTCTTCTCTAATGTTGCTGAGTATATTCTCATTTTTATATGTGGAAGAAGTTTTGAGAGCTTATAATGTTCCATTCGATTATTTAACGTTGTTCATTCTCATGTGGAATTTCGGTGTTATGGGAATGATTTGCATCCATTGGAAAGGACCTTTAATATTGCAGCAAGCATATTTGATATTCATTGCTGCTCTGATGGCTTTGGTTTTCATTAAATATTTGCCGGAATGGACGACTTGGGCAGTACTTGCAGTAATATCAGTTTGGGATCTTGTCGCTGTTTTAATGCCTCGCGGACCTCTGAGGATTCTCGTTGAAACGGCTCAAGAACGAAACGAACAGATATTTCCGGCGCTGATTTATTCTTCTACGTATATGTATACATACATGGGGATGGCTACCGGAAATGACACCAACACCGCTTCCACAACTACCAACGGTGGAGGCGATGAAACCAATCGTAGAGCGAGCGGCGAAGATGGTTTCACTGAGGATTGGGTACAAAACCATGCGGAGAGAGGAGCCCAAAGACAGATAGAAGTGCACGATGATGGGACCACAGGAAGACCAAGAACAACCTTGTACCAAGAAGTGGAGGAGGAAAGAGGCGTCAAGTTAGGTTTGGGTGATTTCATTTTCTACTCGGTGCTAGTGGGTAAAGCCAGCTCGTACGGCGATTGGAACACAACTCTGGCATGTTTCGTTGCAATCCTCATCGGTCTCTGCTTAACTTTACTTCTATTGGCCATTTTCAAAAAAGCTTTACCCGCTTTACCCATCTCCATAACATTTGGTTTAATATTTTATTTTACTACTAAAGAAATCGTTAGCCCATTCGCTGATAGTTTATCGAATGAGCAAGTTTTCATTTAACATCACTCAACAGTTTTTAAATTGTACCTTGATTTTTAATTTATTTTATAATTATAATTAAACACTAGCAATAAATTTCGTATTAATTAATGTCATTGATTTTTTTGCATCTAATTTTAGGAGTATAAAAAATGTTTATTTCGTGTATATAATTTTTTTATTGTATTGGATTACAGAAATAAAAACATTAATAATTAATGGCTAATTAGTTGGTCTCGTGTATTAGGCAACCATTATAACATATATAAAATAAACTATTCAAATAAATATTGAAACATATTTTATTCCATATAAATATATCACAATCCTTGCAGCATCTTTTAAAATCATTAAAGCGTAATAAAAGCGATAAAATAATTATAACACATCAAATGTTTTACTGTGGATAAATCAGAACTGCTCTTGAACATAAACCATTTGGCCCATTCAATCCTCCATCTGGTAAAACGTAAACAAGATCCGAGTTTTTCCTATCCGGAGCGAATTCGTTCAATTGCTCGTTGCTTCTTGCCAGTTCTTGGAGACTCCAAATTGCAGTATTCAAACTCTTTCCATGCTTGGCAAACACATGTATCCCATCATCAGTCTCAATCATCCCTGAAATAACAGCCCAATGGGCTTTGTGTCCTAATTTCGTGCAAGGCCTGTGGTCTCTGTCACAATCGTATGGGACTAAAATGAGTCCTTTGCTGTGCAGAAATTCAACTATTTTATTGTCATCCAATTTTCCTGAATATATCTCAATTTTGTTTGGTAGAAACTTCTTAGCCAATAAATGCATATAATCAACACTGAATATCTCACCATTATTGGTATATTTATTTTCTTTTGCATATTGAAAAACATCCTCAACTGTTTCTTTGGTGGGATTTCCATAGCACATTGCTAATGCCACTAAACCACATTGTGGGCCTTCCTGAATAAAACCTTTTAATTCTTTGTATGCGTATCTAATTGGATCTTCCAAATGATACAAGCTAAAAGCTCTGCAAATCACCAATAGGTCTGGAAAGTCTTTGGCCCACTCAAAAATCATTTCGTAATTCTGAGGTTAGGTGATCTGATCCAATATAAGCTGAAGACTATAAATATGAGCAAAGCGACGAAGAAATGTGTTGGAAAGGAAAGTTTTCTGAGGATGAATTACCTTTATCAGGCAAGAAATTTAATTTCTATTTTGCAATTAATTAATGTTTCTCCTTTTAGCTCAGTACCTTATCCCTCAAACAAGGACAACAAACAGCATCAAATGCATATTCTAATCTTATGATAAATATATCAAAGAAATCTGTGCAAAGAATGTAAGTATTAATATTTATAATTGTATCAATATATCATATGATCATTTTTCAGTGAACCTACAATTAAAAGAACAATTTGCAAAACATGTAACCAGCTTTTGGTACCAGGACAAACATGTAGAGTGAGAATTAAAAATAAAACAATCAAATATGTATGCACAATTTGCAATGCCAAAAAATCCTACATAGCTCGCAAAGATTATGAATTGTGGTGTGACAAAAAAGGAGCTTTAGTAGAGGTTTTGGACTATTCTATGCCAGCTAAATGTATTCCAGAGGAAGGAAAAGAAGAAGAGAGAGAAGAGACTATACCAAAGATAATTACATAAAATAAAACAATAGTAAGGAACAATCAAGGTTTATTTACATTTTAACGTATTTTCACACCTAATTTCTCAGCTGCTTCATCTTCTATTTTTTTATGTACAAGATTTACTTCCTCTTGGGTTAAAGTTTTCTCCATATGCCTATAGGTTATTCTGTAACAGTGACTAGTCTGTTTACTTTTTGGATGAACAAAGCTGTCCACTAAATTAACTTGCTCCACAATATCTCCTCCTACAGTTCTGACTAAGTCATAGAAATCATTGCTGTTGAAGTCACCATTTTCAGCTAACCAAAAACTAATGTCATTCTTACATTGAGGAAATTGACTAACAGTTTTGTATACAACATTAGTATCAGCAGTTGCAGTTTTAAACTGATTCAAAAAGCCAGAATCTTGTGACCAGAACAATCTAATGTCAGGAATTTGATACAATTTCATGGCAACTCTCTCCAAACCTAAACCAAACGCCCATCCAATCTGATCCACAACTCCTGCTTCAGTTAAAATTGGTTGTTTCATAATGCCACATCCCAGTAGCTCCAACCAATCATCTTTGTATTTTAACTCCAACTCCCATGAAGGACAAGTAAATGGAAATTGAGTTTCCACCCATCTGTACTCAACATCTTTTCCAAAGAGACTCTGTGCTAAACCTACTAAGCATTGCTTCAACTGATGCTCAAGTAATTTAACTGCCTCCAAAGTGTGACATGTCTGCTTACCACCTTCAACATTATCCCCTAAAAGATTTAACATTATCATCCATTATTTTAAACAGTTCATTTCTGGCATACCCAATTCAAATAATTGAAGCTCATCATTATTTTTAAATAACTGATCTCTTGTATGCAATCTTACAGCATCGATTTGATGGAACACTGGAAAATGTGTGCTGTCAATCTCATCTCTTCTATAAACATCTCCAATAACTAGAAATGAGTCCAAACCAGCTTGAATCAGTTCACTTTGATGAGCAGTTGTGTGACCTCTCAGTAAATAATTATTGTTAATGTAATAACAGTCACTTTTTGTTCTTGAAGGATGGGAGGGCTCAATAAGTAATGAATCAAAATTTTGCTGTACTGAAACCACTGGTGAAATGTTATCATACACTGAGAATATCGGATTTCCTCTGGAGTTTTTGTAGCTCTTATAGAAGTAATTCACGATTCTATCTCTAACTAAGCACAAGGGGTGGTTTTGTTGTATATGGAGATTTCTGTTCAAATAAGAGAGTATTTTAGGGGTAACATTGGTGTACTCATCTTTCAAGTAGAAATTTCCGTTAACTTCGATACCAGAATTCGCTTGAGGTTCAACCTTAACGTTTGAGATGAAACGAGATATAAATGTTGGCTTGTAAATCAGCGAAGCGCCGGGCCTCAAAATCGACAACATTTTTCATTTCACAGAAACATAACCTTTATTTGACAAAATTAAATGGCACGATGATTTATCAAACTCTTATATAAGCAATTATATTTAACTAGATTATTGCATTATAGTAATTACAAGTATTTGAATGTATTTTAACTTCAATAATAACCAAATACACATAAATTATGCAACCATTCCTACTATTTTAGAAATTATATAAATGCAGATGAAAATTACTCAATTACAGATTTCAAACATATCTTATTAGTTGAAGTTTAAAAATATTATTAAACATTAAATAGGAATCAAACATAAATTTATATTATAATATACATTGTATTTAACTGTAGTGAATAAGTCTTATTTGCTACAGCAAATTGAATTAATTTGAAAACAACATATTCAAGATTAGATTAAATTTGCAAGTAAACCTGACAACTTTTAGTAATAGTGCTTTTTATGCAATATTGTTTTTAGTAGTAGAGGTCGAAATAACAAAATCCAACTTTTTTCCTACTCCTGAGCATCATTTCAGAGATAAAGTCATGTGTGGTCTTATGTATAGTAAAAACAAACAAAAGTTCAAATACTAGGCTACCCAATATACGGTCCATATTGACCAATCGGATTGCACAAAAAATGAAAAAAAAACTTGATTGGATCGCATTTTTTCTTGCTAAATTTGTAATTAATAAATATTATTATAAAAGACCCACGGAAGTTTAAGGATTGATTGATTTTTCGAGCAAAAAAAGGATTGTTTTTGCATTTGAACTTTGATTACGTTATTGTTATTTGTTGAATTCGTATTACAATTGTTTTAGATAAATAATAAAAAAAACAATATAACTGTATCTATTCTTTTTTTTTTCAGATTTCTTTATTGCGTGCAATTGCGTGTTTTCGGTTATTGCATCGCATTGCATATGCGCAAGGAAACGAGAAATTCTTGAGTAAGGTCATCCGGCTCGCGAGTGCCTACGTGTTTTTGTTTACCAAATCCGCTGATTAAACACAAAACAAAAATCATCATTCCATATTGAAAACCGCTCGTGGTTATACTGCATTTCCAGAATGTCGAGTCCAGGAAGAGGTGATTGCGAATTGAAAGCTGGCCATCCACCGGCAGGTTAGTTGTCCTCCGCATGCATAAATTATCGTTGTTCTCGTACCGAATATAATGATTCTCATGTAAACACTTCTCTCTTTCGAAATAAATAAATAAATAAATAAATAATGCAGTGAAAGCCGGCGGGATGCGAATCACCCAGCACAAGTCGCACAAGGAGCCAGCGGGAATGATGGAGGACACCACAGGATTAAAAATATCTGGAAGTCCACCAAAGACCGTCAGCATTTCGGGAGCCCCCGTCAAGGGCAACGCAGACTTCCCAGCTGAGGCTGTGCAAAGCTTCCACAAGGAAAAACCGCCAGTTTCAGTCTCCATGAAGCCCCAGGTCCACATTCAGCAACCCAGGAAGTAGATCTTCAATTTAATAACAAAACACTGTTGACATTTTTATATGTATATTTTGCATTTACTTTAGCTTTCCCTATATACGTTTCTTTTCTTTTTTTTTGTATTGATTAAATGGGCGTTAGGATTTTCAGTTTCATTTTGGGTTTTAAACAATAAAAGTAGTAGATTAAGAATCTAAATCCCTCGTCGTCGTTTTATTCCAATTGGATTTTGCTTCTCCGATTCTGTCTTGTTTCTCTAGCGGATTCAAATGCGCAGCAGCTACGATGTCCCTACAATAAACAAAAATGTATGCAAATTTACAGCCAGGTATGTTATCAATGGTGGAGGAAAAACCTGAACTCGTTGTAATCTTTTGATGTTGTTGACGCTCTAATTTTAGCATCATTCCGCACCCAATAGAGCTTATCACTTGCAATTGCGCCTTTTAATTCGGCGTACAGCATTTTCTTATCAATTTCACGAGATGTACGTGACATTTTTTTACTATCGATTCAACAAACAATCCGTAGCAACAAATTTTCTGTGCTATCGGTTGCATACATTTACATCAATTCAATCATTTGTATCATGCATGCATATTATTGATATATTTTGCTATAAAATAAAATCTACTTCATGATATACTAATAACACACGTAGCTGATTTCGTTAAAATATATTATATTTTGCAATCTTTTCTGTATTGATTCTGCAGTAGGTTATGTGGCTTTGTATACATATAACATCTGTTACTGTTCTTAGAAATTGTCTGACGTTTTACTTTAGAGAAGTGCACATAAAATGTGAAAGGTTCTATAAAACGAAATATTCTTTTATTGTAATTACATAAATGAATGAAATGTTGTGATTATCTAAGATACATAATAATTGTATGGAAAGATGAAGAAACTAACAGGATCATTTAGATTCAATCAGTGGGATCCATGGTTGTTGATAGCTCAAATTGTCTCGCTGCAAACAATTTTATATACTACATTGGGAGTGGTATTGACTGTTTTAGGTGGATTGGTTGGAGACACCCGATCATTAGATCACATCTTTGAATACCATGTAATAATAACCTTTAATATTTGATCTGCTTAGATTTTAACTTTACATATTGTAGGAAATCCATGTTCGAGATTATAGTGGTAAATTAGTAATAGCAGCTTTTGTGCTGAATTCATTGATTGGGTAAGCAATGCCTCCTGCATAATAATCAATATATTTGTTTATATAATTCGCAATTTTTTTTTTTTTTAGATCTTTAGTATTATGGAAGATTGTAGAAAGAACTAAACTGTGCCTAGACTTTAGTTGGACTTGGCACTTTGTCCATCTGATTATCTGCTGGTTCTACAATGGATCCTTTCCCACAACATTCTCCTGGTGGGCCTTAAATGTGGCATGTCTAGCGCTGATGTGTGTCTGTGGAGAGTTCTTGTGCCTTCGATCTGAACTGCAAGCAATCCCTTTATCTCTGGGCCCCAAGACTGATCTCTGACAGTTATGATGACACACATATCATTAGTGCCAAGATTATCAGCATCCCAACAAACGAAAGACTATGCCTTCAATAATTACGAAAATGATAATAATAAAGTTTCATACTAACAGAAATGCAATCAAACAATCTACAAAGTATTTTTTTTCTTCTTAATCTTATCATTTATTTATTCTTTTAAAACATTTTCATGGAACAAATTATTTTTTTTCCTACTACAATATAATTTATTACAATAAATAAAATCTAATTAAATTATTACAATTAATTTTTATGTTGGTGTTGTCTTTTTGAAAATTTTCATCTCAATACATTTGTACATTTTTTTTTTATTTGTTAAATATATTTATGTGTAAATTAAAGCAAATTTCGCAGTACAATATCAATTTTTATAAATATTTTTTGTTTGTTTGGACGATCACAGCATCAAAAGCACGCAGTGAATATAAATAGTTTTCACAAATAAAGTGCGAATATTAAGTTTAGTATGCACGAAAGCAAAGATCGTCGAATAGAAGACGAAACGTGAACGGGATTCGATTTGATAGCGAGAAATGTTTCTTTTCTTTTATCACAGATCATCCAAAATGAGTGTGATTTTTTTTTGCACTACCGAAATGAAATCGATTTGCAATATTGCCTGAAATTCATAATATTTAAACATTTTAAACTAATTTCGAACAACGAAAACTACATTTTTTTTTAAACACAACACTTGCTATTGGTGAACTAAATTTTTTCATATAATATAATGACTAGTATATTTGCAAGTCCTTTAATTTATTATTTTTTTCGATGGCCAATCCGTAAAAACTTGCACAATAAATGTATGTACATTTTAGATACATCTTTTTGTAGATAAAAGAATTGACTGTAAAACTTTTGTTAGTTTTTTTTTGTGTAGATCTTTCAATTGAATAAATGTACTCAATTATAGTTGCAAACGGAAGATTTAGTTGTTTAACATCTGGAAGCCAGATTAATATTGCGGCGAGCATTCATCGTCGACCTCTTGTATCACAGAATCCTGCTCCAGCCGTTGCTTCAAAATAAGCAATTCCTGTTTTTTCTATAAAGAAAAACAAAAAATACATTATTAAACTGTAAGAGAAACATTTAGGAATAAAATAAAAATTCTGCAAAATAATAAAAAGGATTGTAGTAAATAATAATAAAATGTATAAAATAATATTTATTAACAAAAAAAAAATTGAGGTAAGATGAAATAACTAAACAAAATTCTAATGGGTAAATGGTAATAAAAATATTTTGTAATAATATATTCTACTCTGTGTGAGTATTATCTTTAAAACTTAAAACAATTGTAAAATAAATTTGTAGGAATGTAACAAAACAATAATTTATATAAAAAATATGATTGGGTCTTAAAAACGACTAGGAAGGTAGTGTGTTTTGGAATGTGTAGAAGCTACAATTGTTGGACTAGTTTTTTACCTCAGGAGTAGTGATTATGATGATGCGCTGATCGATTCTCGGAGTCAAGGTGCATGAGTCATGTTCTAGATCATCGAGGGAAGCTCTGCGTGTCAACTTTGCATGCGGATGGGAATGGGGGCCATGGACAACTGGTGGAGGTGTCTCGGTGGTGCTCGATCTGCGTAGTGGAGGTGGCCCATCCAATTCACTTCCATCCAACATTTTCACCAAACTATGTCTATAAATAAGAAAAGAAAAAACAATTAGAGGATGCATTCAGATCTTGCAACAATAAACGAATTTTACCTTCTGGACAAAGTGACGAGCGATTGTCGATGTTTGGAATGGCGTCTGGTCTTTCCCATTCGCATATTTATTGCTTGGAAGTGATTTTGAATTGCTAATCCTAATTCAGGACACTCGTCATCGTCGACTAAAACTTGGGCGTCCTTCAGTACGTTATAACCGTCGCATCCTGAATGCAGATAGTTCTTCGTGGCCAAGCGGTATTTCTGTTTCAGATTTAAATATTCGTCGCCGATTCGAATCAGTGCGGGATCTACCCTATCTCCGACTGCTTTGGACGGATCGAAAGCGAAACTGAGACCGGCGACTTGCGGGAACCGACCCTCCAATTTCGGATACTGACTGACACCGTTTTCCAAAATCTCCAACACCTGTTGTCCGGTAACCGACAGCACAACCAATGGATCGCGCATCGGGATAATGTTAACAAGATCTCGCATTGTGAAATCACCGGCAGGATGGACTTGATCGGACCGAAAAGTACCGGAATTCAATAGAACCAGATCTGCTCCGGTAGCGGCCAAAACAACATCGCAAACCCAATTACCCAAATTCGATTCTGAGGTTCTTATAGCTTGGAAACGTCCATCCAGTGGCACCGAGAAACATCCCAAAATCTCGTCCATTTTCCCTTCGATAATACTAGTGTACTTATCCAATTTCTCTTTTAATTCTACGTCTTCGACGAATGCCGAAGTAACGTTAATTTCCTCGACAACCACGTCGGGCTTATTGGCTTTATCAAAGTTAACTGTAATTTTGCTGAACTGCCTAAAGTCCGTTCCACTTTTGATTATGTTTATCCCGTTGACGACTTTAATTTCGTAAACGTGATCGTGTCCCCCCAGTATCAAATCTATTTCTGGGCAATTTTCTGCTAATTTTATATCGTTTGGTGTCCTCATGTGGGTTAGCGCAATTATATAATCGCAACCCTCCTGCTTTAATTGCTGCGCCAATTTCTGTCCGGCCTCGCTGTAGTCGAGGAACGTAACCTCTTCGGGATTCACTGTAGCCAATGTATCCAACCATTCTTTCTCTACAAGCCCAATAAGACCAATTCGACGACCGCCCCAATCCAACACGTGCGTTATTCTGCCTTCACCCAACGGCCGTCCCGTTTCTTTATCGAGAACATTGGACATGAGCCAAGGGAAGTTACTCTTAGAAACCCATTGACCCAAGATTTCCAATCCGTGGTCAAAGTCATGATTTCCCAATACCGCGCAATGAGTTCCTACGTCGTTTAAGACCGGCACCATTTGTTCGCCTTTTGTGAACGTACTCACTGAAATACAAATATTACCAAAATTTAAGTATATGAAATGAAGTTGGTTTATCAAATTTGATGGAGTTTTCAAAACAACATAAAATATTTAAGATTATATTGTAATTAGTGTACTAATGATTACAGGCCATCAAAATAATTGGAAATTCAACAATTATTGATATAATGATAAAATCATAGAGATCTTAATTGATTTATAATTGCATGTGTTGTTTACAAAACTGTATTGTTGAAAATACTTTTGTCACTCTTATATCATTTTCCAGGTATATGAATATTTGAAATTAAATTGTCAGATGATTAGTTCAAAAAATTATCAAATATGACGATAATTTGTGATACGGAGTTTCTTAATAGGAATTGAATGTTTCCTAGATTAAGAAATAACCAAATATAAAAATTTTCCACATGCGTTAATTATATTCTTTTAGCAATGAAAATAAGGAAGGCTGATAAAGTTTGGTATACAGATAAGAGCAACTGGATCAATGAACCTTGAAAATAGTGCTATAAAAACTGTACATCTGTATTACTATAACAACTGCCAAATAAGTACACATGAGTATTTATAATACTAGTTTAAGGTTAAGAGATGCCATGAGTGCTAATGATATTGAATAAAGAAAAAAAAATAGATGAATATGTACTTACACATGCTGGGTGAGAAAGCATCACCACTGAAGAGTATCAATGGATTCAAATTTTGGAAACTTTTCATTGCTGTGCAGAACCTTGCAGCACCACCAACAGGCTCAAGGCCAGTCCTGGATTCCACATTATATACATCATTGTAATGCAATATCACCAATTGGTTCTGGCCACCCATGCTGCCGTCAGATAATTTACTCACTGCCCTGAGACCAGCTGCCTTCACTTCCAAAGAAGCCTGTAATCAGTAAACCAAGTCAACAAGACCAGAATAGAGCACCACACATAGCTGCAACTAAATAAAATGAATTTGAAACTAGGTCATGGGCCAGACCAACAAGCAAAAAAAAAATAGTGTGTGAAGCTGCTACACTGCAGTGGGGATTCAAGAGTGAAGCAGTAAAAGTAAAATTAATTAATTTTGAATCAAATAGAAAAAAAAAAACAACAAACACAGACAACTGCCTCTGATCAAATGTGTTTTGCTAACCAGAGTAGTAACTTGATCTCTGATTTTTTTTTATCTACTTCCTAATATAAATAAAAATACAAAAGAAATCCTTGACATTTCTCTTGTGCAATTACATTGAATAACATATTTAAAATTAATTTTTCTGTTTACTGCTTCAACAACATAATTGGAAGTGCCAAAAAAAAATAAAGATACAAATATAAGTAACAATGGAAATAATAAAGTATAAACAATAATTACATGCAAAAAATGGTTTCGAAATGTGTTTCTACTGGATATGAATGTGTGTGGTTTTTGACCTGTTTAAGCCACCCGACCACACTGGTGACTTTGCTGGTCACTTCTGATGGTACTTCCAGACCATGATCTTCCACCAATGAACTCCACTTTACTCGCAGAGCCGCCTGGGCTGCAAAACTCGCCATTCTTGCACACAATATCTCTTTTCCAATCAAACACCGCGTGATTTTCGTCCAACCACTAACTAAAATCGCAAATAACATTCGTAACTCGTAACTAATTAATTAGGGCGTAGCAACTTACCCTGTATCTTGGAAGCTACCCGTTTTGTACTATAGGAAATTTTATATTACCATTAACATTCGCACCAAATTATTGATACCTACGATCCACTAATATTCCCATAACATACGTCTATTGTTGGAAAATATTGTGATTGTACTGTGACTTTATATACCGCATATCAACTCCGATTGGATTGGATATATCCAATCTACGCAATCTACCCTGACAGTTCACTGTTCTGATGATATGTCAATAGTTCTTTTTTTTTTTTATTTTTTGTCTTAAGTTATAGGATTTTATGACGAAAATGTTAATACATTAACTTTTATAGAACATTAGAATAGGCGAATATAACTCAACAAATTTAGTACAAATTTATAGTTTAAAGTCTATGTTAACTAGAGATGCGCTTATGAGAATTGAGTTGCCTATAACTTTTCATTCACAACTATAAGAAAAGTGTGTTGCTAATATTGTATAGCATTACCAAAACTATGAGGCAAATTGGTTTAATTTATTAACTTCAACAGCATACACAAATAAATAATTTCGAATAGCATGTACACATTTATTTTAAAAAAAGGAATATACATTTGGAGAGTATTTCAAGTTAGCAAGTGCCAGTAGTTTGTACACAACTTCGTGTTTGTTTTCATGTTCAAACGAGATTGCAAATAAATAGTCATCTAAAAGCATTATTATCTAATCTAGGTACTTGTATTTATTACAATGAAAGAATTTTAAAAAACGGTTTCGCTGGTTACACTGACTGGTTACACAATAAGTAAGATAAATTGTTTAATAAATACATACTTGTTGGAAATAGTATTAAATATATTTATTATAGGATTGATCAGTGGAAGCAATACAATGAAGAAGAAACGTGATAATTACCCTAAAGACTTGAGAACAAACTCTAAAAATACTCGTGGAGCTTCACACTTCTATGGCTTTGGTGTAGTTGTATTCTTTCTTTTACAATTTTATATAGTCTTTTATGTGGAGAGTATATTACCAAAGCCACTAAAACTTAGTGATGAGGTAAATCTTTATTTGATATAAGTTTATATTTGTTTTAAGCAATGCTGTTTTAGATTAGCCAACCTAATGCATACATTGCTGAGAGGGCTCAGAAACATTTGAAGGCCCTCACTGATTTGGGTCCTAAGGTGGTTGGCACAGCTGTGAATGAACAGCTAGCTCGTGATTATATTTATAATGAAATAAAAAATATTGAAGGGCTTGCAAGCAAGAAGCAGCTTATTGAGATTGCATTGCAGAAGGTATCTGGCTCTTACTATCTTGATTTTAAACCACATGGATTCATCACAGCTTACAACAATGTTCAAAATATTATTGTTAAAGTAAAGGGGGTCAATGCTACTAGCAGTTTGTTGATTAATGCTCATTATGATTCTGTTCCTTCAAGTCCAGGTATTTGTTTTTCATAATTGTAGTTTAAACATACTATTTCTTGTTTCGTTTTAGGGGCAAGTGATGATGGCATCATGTGTGCAACTATGCTGGAGGTGCTGAGGAAACTAGTTGTTTCTGATGAGAGACCAAAGCATAATGTGATTTTCCTCTTCAATGGAGCCGAGGAGACCGGATTGCAGGCATCTCATGGGTTCATCACGCGGCACAAATGGGCCGGAGACGTCAAAGTTTTGGTTAACTTGGAAGCAGCTGGAAATGGAGGCAGAGAGATCCTATTCCAAACTGGACCCAGCGTCTCGTGGCTACTCAACTATTACAATAAAGTACCGTATCCTTTTGGGCACGCGGCCGGCGAGGAAATCTTTCAAAGCGACATCATACCATCGGATACGGATTTTCGGATTTTCAGAGATTTCGGAAACCTAATTGGTAACTTGTAACATTTTGATAAGCGTCTTGATTTTACACATTTTCTTTATAGGATATGATTTTGCGTTTGCCAGGAACGGCTACAGGTATCATACTAAGTATGATGCATTCGACAACATCGCTTTGGGAACGTACCAACACGTCGGTGAGAATATCTTGACGTTGGTCAAGGAATTGGCTAACGCTCCTGAGGTGGACAATCCCAAGAACCATGGAAACGAGAAAATCGTCTATTTCGATATCTTGGGATGGACCATGATCTCGTATTCGGAATCAACCGCAATGATCTTAAATATTTCTGTTGTCGTTGCATCAATTGCTGTTGCGTTGATCTCCTTCAAAGATTTTGGTGTCTTAAGTACTTAATTAATTTTCTGTTATGAATCTTTGATCAATTAATATTTAAATTATAGATGTCCTTGCATGGAAAAATATGCAGTACCTTATCCTAACTATAGGTGTAATCTTGGTAGGATGGTTGTTGTCTGTACCAATTGCATACGCGGTGGCATGTTTGCTGGATGTATTTGAGAACACGATGACCTGGTATGGAAAACCTTACATAATATTTGGGATCTACTGTGCCCCAGTATTTGCCTTGACGAGTGGTTTATTTGCGATATACAACTATTATTTCAAAAACGTAATAATTTTAATTGAATAATTTTAAACTATAATCTAATAAATTGTTTTTAGAATAAATTAAACAAAGGAGTGCAATCACAGATCCAAGTACACCTGGTGCGTCTAATCTGGACAGCTATTCTTCTAGTTGGAACACTGTTTCATATTAGAGCCATGTATTTGATTATGATTCCTGTGCTGATCAACACTTTGTGTTTCTTCATCATAAAATTGCTGCGTCTTCAATTTTCCAGTAACTAAGTTTTTTTTTTTCAAGGATTGTGTAATAATAACATTGCGTTGTTTTAGCTACTAAGTGGCAGGCAATTCATTTCGTGGGGTCTTCAATCACAACAACTTTCGTGATGTATACGGCATTGATAGTTTTGAGTTTATTTGTACCAATCACCGGTCGCATGGGAGTCAACAAGAATCCCGAATTCATAATCGGGGCTATATCCGTTTTTTACACGCTTCTCGTCACATCGTATTACGTAAATGTCCATCATATAAATAGGATTATAATTATATTATCTGCTTTTAGTTACCTCTTTTTACGAATTTACGTAAGCAATCATACGTGACGTTATTTTTGGTTGCAATTAGTGGGATTACCTTTGCGACGATTTTCAGTCCGGTCGGTTTCCCATACGATGGAAACCCGTTGGCGCCGACCCCTCAGAGGTTCATGGTTTATGTAAGACATTTGCATTTGATGTGTTTCAATTGAAATTCACGGCTATACTTGCAGCATGCAAACAGAGTTTTCAGGAACGACTCGAATCAAGTCGTAGAGCGAGATTCGGGCATCTTCATCTTTAACATGGACCGGAATGCCAAACGATCCATCAGCGAATATATCAAGGAATCGGCTTCAAGTAAATCTTTGGATATCGATTGCGAGAATTACGTCGGTTGCGGCTTGCCCGTACCAAATTTAAAAACGTTAACTGCTATGTAAGATTCACTTTATTTTGTCGGCTTAGAATATTAAATAATGTTCATGTTTAGGAAGGAGAGTACTTGGATTCCTTACGAGAAAGCTGTGGTGGCTGAGCCTGTTTCGTTGTCATTGGAAAACAAGCAAAACATATCCGAGAATTCGGTGAGACTAAGTTTCAAGTTGTTAGGTAATAATGCATTTATTGTTAATTATAGATTTTTTATTTATGAAAGTTTTTATTTTCTTCTTCTAGGAACTGCGCATATGAATATTTATATGAAACCTAAGGATGGAGTTAAGATCGCAAGTACCAGTTTGGCCAAAGTATCGTCGGATGGTTTATTGTTTATATCTTATGTGCACGGAGATAAAGCACCTCTAATCTTTTCAATCGATTTAGAAGTCCCAAGCAATTGGAATTCACCGCTGATCGATGTCGGTGTCGTTGGAAAATACGTGGGAAACCCAAGTAAATCGTTTCAAGCATTCAGCAGTCAATTTCCGTCTTGGGCCGACGTGATTAACTTCTCCTCAAGTTACGAGTCTTATGTCTTTTGAGCATTTCCTTATTTTTTTTATAGTTCTTATTGGGTTATGAGAGGTGGCCACGATGTAGAGAGTAGTAATACATTAGAAATAAGCTATAATTATGTTATTTGCGTTACTTTTAAACAATAGAAGTTTTGTTTATATCAGAAATGATGCTTTCATACTGTGCGTAATACTTCTTGGTATCTTTCGGCGAGAATGTGCAGTTAGCGACGCCGTAATTGACGCAGATCGCCTTTGTCCCGTTGAAATATTCGTCCACTGTGAACCGGATGTAATGTTTCTTAATGTCCTGAAGCAACCTCTTCAGACAGTGGCAGTCCCAGGGGTTTCCGGTGAACTCGAAGATCTTTAAGATTACAACGGAATTGAAGAACCCTTTGTCCAGGTAGATTAGATTATTATTTCTGATGTCTAGTTGCCTAAGAGAGTTTATATTCTCCCCAAAAGTTAGGCTGTGCAAATAATGTATTTTGTTGTTTTGTGCGTATACCGTTTCCAGACTGCCAACATTCAGCAGATCGGTCTGTATGAATTCCAGCTGATTGAAGGATAAATCGACAATCTTCAATTTGCTGTTGACAAATGCCTCCGACGGTAAATTATCCAATTGATTGTGTGAGATGTTCAGGTATTCAAGATTTACTAGTTCGTTGAACAACACGTCATCTAGAGAAACGATCTTGTTGTTAGACAGATCCATGTACTTCAAATTTTTGTTTTTATCAAATAGTCCACGCGGAATGTTGGAGATATTCGTTCCGGACATCAGCAGTTCTTCTATATTTATCAGCTTGTCGAAAATGCCCAAAGGTATGTGTCGTAATTTATTGCCGGAGAGGTTGAGCTTAATTAACTTGATAATCGGATCGAAGATGCCCAGATTCAACTTGGATATCTTGCAGAAGCTCAAATCTAAATCTTGTAGTTCGACGTTCTCGTCGAAGAGGCCGAGTCGCAGCGAAGAAATTAGGTTGTTATTCAGGTAGATTCTTTCCAACGATTTGCTCTGCGCGAACAATCCAAGCGGGATATGCGAGATGTAATTTTCTGAAAGATCGATAATCTTTAACTTGTTTAGTTCATCCAGGACGCCTAGGCGTATGATGTACAAGGCGTTTCCATTCAAATAAAGATTCTCTACGTTCTTTATGACATCCAGCACTCCCAGAGCGATGTCTGCGATTTTGTTGAAAGACAACCGAATATCTTTCAATTGCGTTAGATAGTACAACGTGTCCACATTGGGATTCCCCAAATTATTGTATGATAAATCTAGGTAAGTTAAATTCTTCATCGGAAAATATACATCGTTGGGGATTTCAGTAATCTCGTTGTTGCTTAAATATAATTCAGTGACGTTGGGCAATAGAGAAAAGCTATCTGTTGACAATTCCTTAACGCCGCAGGACATCCGCAACTTCTCCAGATCTTGGAACAAGACCGAAGATTGCTCGAACTTCTCTAAATTGCAATTCCTGATATTCAGCACCTTCACTATATGCTGCAACGAAGTAAAATTAATCGAACGAGATGCCTATTTTTAATTACTCTTACCTTGATTGTTCCGTATTGTTCACTCACTTCGCTCAAGGTAACATTTTCGCAGGTGAGCATGCCATTCTCGCTATAGTATTCACAAGCGCAATCCGACTTTGCCAAAAGAATGCTCATTAAGAGCAGAATGGACAGCATTTTTGAAAACTGGTTCTTGCGTGCTTGCGCTTCTACCGCTGTGTGTGCACAGGTTCACCACTTCAGACCCGTTCCTCGGCTTGTCAAGAGGGCATTAACATCGGCCCGCTTTGGGAAGTTGTCGGAATCTATTGAAGAACAAATATCAATTAAAAATGCATTTGTTGGGTTTAAAATCCTTTCCAAATCGTTCCCGCTTTATCAAGTAAATATCCAATTTCAAGGCCACAACAGATAATTTCCATTAACAACATTTATTTTACAGTTTTATCACTAATACATGTTTTTATTTTTTTGGTTTTTATCTTACGTAGTCTGATTAAAAAAATAAATAAATTAAACCATGTTGTTGATTCTCTGGTACTCCTCGTAATATTTCTTCACTTCTTTCATATCCACGCTGCACTTGAATGGATTCAACGCCACGCAAAGACTTTTCTTGCCATCGAAGTACTCGTCTCTGGTATATTCGATGTACCTACGTTTCATTAGTTTAATTAGATCGTCGACGCATTTACAATCCCACGGGTTTCCGCTAAATTCTAATATTTCCAAATTTGCAACCCACTCGAAAAAGATTTCTTCGATGAATGCCATACGGTTATCCCTGATATCCAAGTATTTAAGCGGGTTTCCGCAGGTGGCAAACGTCATAGCGTCCAAGTAGTAAATCTTGTTACCGCGCGCGTACACCTTTTCCAGTTCCTCCATGTTCAGCAAGTCCGGTTCGATGGTCTCTAACTGATTGTACGATAAATCGATGGTCTTCAAGTTGCACCACTGGAAAATCTTGATGGGGAAGCCGTGCACTTGATTGCGAGAAATGTTGAGGAACTCAAAATCACTAGTATTGAAGAAAATCAGCCCCAACGTTTGCAACTCGTTCTGCGACACGTCCAACGACTTCAACTTCTTTGTATGCTCGAATATGTCATCAGGAATACTTTTCAAACCCATGTTATTCATCACCAGAGTTTCCAGATTCGCCAAATTATCGAAAACTCCTTTCGGAATCGTGGACATCTTGTTTCCGGACACATCGATCTTCACCAATCCGGTGGCTTTATCAAACATCCCCAGCTCCAAACTTTCCAATTTGCAATTACTGATGTCCAACTCCTTCAATTGTTTGTTACTGTCGAACGACTTTTTTCCGAATTTCTTAATCAAATTCACCCTCAAATCCAAAATCTCTAGATTTGTGTTCTCCTGGAATAATCTATCGACTATCTCTGGAATGTAATTGTTGGACAAATCTAAACTTCTCAAGTTTTTCAATCCGTAGAAAGCGTTGTAGTAAATGTATTGGAAGGCGTTGTTTCCCAAATGCAGCTCTTCCAAATTTACCAGAGGCGCAAGAGTGCCTGGTTCGAAATTAGATATCCTATTGTTGGTCATATTCAAACACCTCAAGTTCTTCAGCTCATTAAACGAATCCGTACTGAACTTTCGCAGTTTGTTGTTCGACAAATCCAGTTTAGTCAACTTGCCGAGGCCGTGTGAAAAGGTGCTCGGCAAATTTGTGAGCCTATTGTTCGATAAACTCAACACCGTCAACTTTGTCAGATCGTTAAATGCACCTGCTGGTAATTCCTCGACACCGCAAGTCACAATCAACTCCTGCATATTATTGAACGATGATATTCCGTTGCCCAAAGTTCGCATATTGCAATTATCGAATATGCCATTTCGTATCTTCTCCTAATATTTAACAAATTAATATCAAATACTAACGATTCATTTATAGTGCGGACTTACTTTAATATTGGTGTGATCGCTTGTGATGCTATTGAACTCGACATTTTTACACTTTAAAGTGCCACTGACTGAATTGAAGATGCAGTCTGCTTTGCATGAAGCTAAAAGACCCATCAATATGAACCAAATTATATGCATGATTTTTTTGCAAATATCGTTGCAAACACTCTTTGGTTTCTCTGCTCTGCGCGATATATACGAACTGAATAAGTAAATATCCGCATTTAGTCCGGCGGTGTTTGGGGAATTCCATCAAGGTCACAATTACTTCATTCGTTTTTATCAATCATTAAATATATGCTTAAATTTCGCATCAAATTTATCGAATACTTGGAATATTATTACCAATAAACAAATTAAATTTCTACAAATATACATTATAAAAATAGGTTCTTTTTTGTTTAAATACATATAGTAAGTTGGGATTTACACATCTACTCGCGGAAATACATATAAAAATATTTACATCATAGTAATACAGTAATCATGGACCGTTTGAAACCGGTCTAATCAAGGAACAAAATAAAATGTTTGCTCAATTGAAATTTAATTCATTGCTGTACTTAATTAGCATTAATACTAGATTTGTTAGTCCATATGTTGGACTTTCTAACTTTTATTATTTTAGTATTGAAATAATTATAGTTACTTTTTTTCGAATTAGATCTGAAATTGTGCAAATAATAATACTTACTTACCTTTAACTGTAAGATTTTATTGTTGGATTAAGTTTTAGCATTTTTCATATTGATGTTAGAAAATTTTAAAAATTTCGGTAAAAATCTTAAGGTAACTCAAATACATATGAATCGTTTTAATTTTAATTTTGGAAATTATTGAAAAGCAAGTGTAAACGTGTATTATTTGGTTTGAAATAATATGAAACGTATTAATTTGTATATTATATATTTGAAATAAACTTTTTGTATTCTGTAAGTATTAATTAAATACATATAATTTTGTTATAACATAACGAACAAGGGGTGTGTAGCTCCGTTGAGACTTCTCAGGATAAAATGTGGTCTGGGAAGGCTCAAATATAAATTTATTTAAATATTTAGACACACACACATACGACCGTACAAATCCTCCGGCAACATAAGAATGTATATTGCATTTCCGCAAAATAAATAAAAGAAAATAGAGAAAGAAAACAAGACCAAAGGGAATAAATCGCAAATTTATTGAACTGGAAAATAAGACACGTAAAGTAGTTGAAGATCAACGAAGACTTGGGTTGTTGTTGTTGTTGATCATTGCATTCGGATGTGTGCATGTCACGGGTTCAACGGGAGCGCTCTGATTACGAACAAAGCACAATATAATAATTAATATATTTCATTAACAATATTATTTTTCTTCATCGATAAGTTTCTTTGCTCATCTCCTCTGTCTGTCCTACCAATATTTAGGTTTCATTTTCAATATTCGTGCAATTTCATTGCACCAATACAATTATTACAATACAACTCTTCAATTCTTTCACAATAAATAAAACTTAAACATCGAGACGTCATCTTTGGAAGTTCTGACGTCCCATCAAGGCATAAGTTAGGAGGGTCCACAACATAGTCCAGAGTCGGACTATCGTAAGTAAGGGAAAAACATAAATCTTTGGAAACATATTTACAAACAACCATTATTCGAAAGTAGCCGGAACGAACAGCGATTGGGCGAGAGAAGACCAAATAATAATAATAATAAGAGGTACATTTTGCTACTAACCACTACAATAACTAATATGGCAATGAAAACTTACGCAGGTGCCGATCTCCGCACGTTCCAAGAGATGGATTACGCTTGTTGCGTTGCAACGTAAAAACTAAATTTATAATGGAATGTATATCTCATTCATTCGTCTTCTCAAAACAAAACAAATAAATGCCAATCAATCCACAAACTGCGTCCATCCTTGACACATAAATCCATAATAAAAATCAAATAAGCTTCAATTAATTTCCATAACTCTTAGTTCCTATTACAGAATTTTATTTAAATTTCTCTTTTAATGGAAGTCTGCGGATTGAGCACCTTGGAATGTATTTCTATGTAGTAGTTTTTTTTTTCTTTCTTTCTATTATACTCAAGGGAAACGAATTAGAACTAAATTACAAAATCAGTCTTGAAAAATATGTACATACATTACTGTCGAACCGCAATAAGTATTATTGTTACAGTTCGTTCGGTATTTCATACAACTCAATGGGAAATCATAACAGACAACATTATTATTTAGGTTACTTTCACTAACTACTATTGCTAAAGTGCTGCACTTATATCCTTCCTGTTTGTTTTAATAATATAGTACAATTGAAAGGAAAAACTCGAATTAGATCTGTTATCTTCGTAAACGTAAAGTCAATAATTTAGAATGATTTTTTTTTGTGTGTTCTTCTCTTCATTTACTTTTCTTTTAATAAACAACTAAGCTCCTGGTTTTCATCCGGTACCGCACGAAACGCAGCACTGCTGTTGATATCCTGACAATCTGCACATGTTCATGGTTTTCACGTTGGGACAGAACATCGAGTAGTCCTTGCATTCATCGCCTGCAAATGAATTTAAATACCAATCAATAATATGTGAAAAATGTAATGTATTGAAAAATGTACAAATTAAGACGCATTATTCAAAATGTTGTTATTATAAAATATATATTTACTTATAGCTGTACAGGGTGGTCCTTTGCAGGTCTTCACTGCTGGAGGCCTGGGTTTATCTTTGCATGCAGAGTCCGCAGGTTTCTTCGTTCCGAACCAGACACACTGCAGCTTCCTGTATTTGACGCCTTGCATGTCGCACCCCGCAGAGCACTAGAAACATAGATAACAGTTCGTTAGTGGGTTCGCGAGTACATAATAATTATTAATTTAATGTACTTTAGACCAGGCACCGACTTTCCATTTCCCGACGCATTTCTCCGCGAAGCACTCTTGTCTGTGGATGGGCCTCTCGCGGAAATTGCATCTGCCGTTCGGTAGCGTAAAGTTGTCCGTATTCTGGCATTGCACATCTCGTCTTTGCATCGCTGAAATATCGGAAATTAGGAAGGGAATCAAAGCGGAAAGACGAACGAAACTCACCGGTGTTCCAAGCGAAACATTTGGATTCGGAACACCTGGACCATTCACCGACCACCCATTTTGGACAGTCGGACAGGCCGCATTTTCGTATTGCTTCCGGCGTTTCGAGACCGGCGTCGTCGCAGAGGGTGCTCTTCACGCCCTGCGTCTTGTTGTGCAAACGCACTATGCAGTGGATCGTTCGCATCTGCAGACCGTTTCCTCCACAAGGCTCCGAACACTTGGACCAATCCGTCAAGATCCATTCGAACTTCAGATGCTCCGGCAATCCTTTTCCCAGCACCACGACGGATCCCTCCTCATCTTCGTTCTCGTCGTCATCGGCACGCAGTTCGGTGGTCAGTTCCATGTTGGAGATGGTCTGCAATTCGTCGAATGGGAAGGCCACCATTCGGTGACCCCGGGAGTTGCTGAACGTCTGAAAGGGCCACAATTGCTGTGCTTCTCATTATATTTGAATTCACTCGCATCGAATTAACGAAACAGACAAATATGTATATTATATATTTTTAAGTATAAAAACAAATAAGAAAATAAAAGTATAAAAACCAAATAAAATAATTATAGTTGGGAGAGGGAAGCGAAACGAAATCCAGTGAAGCGAGGGTCTAGTATAATTACAAAACGTGTGTTTCTGTTTACCTAAGATAGTGTTTTCAGTGGCAGACAGGCGGGGGTGCAACGAGTAATATTTGTTAGTAAATCACTTCCATTGAAAGTGTTTTTGTCAGTTATGTTTTTTAAAGGAAACATCACAGCAACAATTCACTTTTAAATTACAACACCTACTAAAACTAACGTAAAGTGAAAAATAACAATTTGTATCGATTACAAAATCAATACTGAACCAATGTAAATTGAATGATTAAATGAAAGAAAATAAAGTTATATTGTGTATTCGAGAAGCGTACGAACAAAAAGTGAAAAGTGTTGCGTGTAACGCATCGCGTAAGCACACAGTCTCACCTGCAGATTGGAAATAAGTTTTTGGAAGTGAGGCATATTCCTGCTACCAGACGAGGAGACCGAGGCGTCCTCTGAGTTAGCGGGAAGATGGGACGCTATCATCTTTTGCATCAAATCCAATTGGCAGCAGAATATATTTAATTTGGGTTTAGTATAAGAGAGGTTGTGGACATCGAATGTGAAAAGAGCGGTTGCTTTACCTGGTCATGATCTGATTTGGGTGTGCTGCTTGGTGGCCAGCCGTTTAAACTGTTGTAATCCAGTTTGATGACAGGAGAAGGTGGCGTTGTCTTCGGCTTCCTGCTCTGCTTCGATGGCATATCGGGTCTCCTCTCGTGACTGCGATCGTCGAACATGGGGTTGCTACTGTCGCGATCCGGATGAACGTCTGCAATTTCGAAGTCAACGCGCTCGTTGCGGTAACCTACGTGCCTCTCTACTTCCTCGGAATTAATGAACTCGCCAGGTTTGGGTCGTACGGTCAGAGTGAGATCCGCGGACGATCGACCGGCTACACAGGTGTAAACACCGGAATCTCTGTAGGTAAGACCGGTAACACGCAGCGCTCCCTTTTTGGACATCTTGAACTTCTTGGATTTTGAAAGGTACTGGTGATCCTTCGCCCATTGGATTTTGGTGCGATTGAATCGTTTCACCGGACATTTAATTTTGATGATTGTTCCGTGGTAAACGGTGGCAGCGCCGCCGATTTTCAACGATATCTTCGTCTTCTTCACGTCGTGCTGTATGAAGGTGGAGTTCGAAGTCTCTATAATCGGTTTGTCTGTATCCAGAACGCAAGATTTGGTATTGCAGGGTTTCTTGTCTTGTGGTTTCGGGTTGGGGCACATGGCGTGAGGTCGGTCAACGGTATGGTTTTGTGCCATGACCTGTTTACATTCGACTTTTCTGGACTTCTCACCGCCGCCGCAGATCTTGTTACATTTGGACCAATCCGACACCTTCCACTTGACAGGGCAGTCCAAGACGTTGCAGTATTGACGGTCTGGGGGCTGTGGTTCCGGACACATGTTGTTCGGTACGACAACGGTGTTGCCGCCTCCATGGGTGACCTCGTGGATACAATTCACCTCTCTCGTCTGAATGCCGATTCCACAAGACTGCGTGCAAGGTTGGAAATCTGAATAGTTCCAGCGCGGAGGACACGGATGATCGTTGCATGTCCTGATTAAAATCTCGGGCTTCAGTTCACGTGGACACAGATATGGTGACGCTATCTTTTGGTTGTCATCTCTCACGCAATTCACGATCAACTCCTGGACACCTCCCAGGCATGTCGCGCTGCAATGCGTGTAGCCCTGTTCTCGCCAGGTGTACGACTTTCCTGGAATTCCAGGAACCACCTTTATTCCTCCTTCAGATTGTCTAAACGGATCGTCCTTTATGTCAATCCTCTCCGAGCTGCAAGGTTCCATGTAACATCTTTCGTTTTCGGATGGTTTGGGACCGGAGCACTGTCTGTCGGGCAGCTTCGCAATGGTCCTGGAGAACTCCAAGAAGATCTTACAGTGGACGTCGCGACGCCTCGTCCCTTCACCGCATGTCACGCTGCACGGTCCCCATTCTTCCGGTATAAATCTGCGAACAAGAAGGAACATTACTCCAGCACCTCCGCACTGTAAACACACCAAAGTGTGAAAGGGAAACCCTATATCTGCCATTCGCAATATAACAAACAAATGTAATGCAAGAGCATGCCTACTCACCGACCCCTGATAGATCAACGGAAAAGTCAATTTGTTCGATTCGATAACATGAGCTTTTCCGTAATTGATAAGTTAATGGACTTGACGTGTATGCGATTTGAATAATCCGGAAACAGCAATTAACGCCATTACCCTCCAAAAGCTGTCAATTTGGGGGAGCGGCGCGGAAGTTTAGCGAAATTTCAATATAAAAAATAAATATATACACAGAGTTCGGTAAAACGTGAAAGTAAAGCGAGAAAAACAAAATATATATATAGAGAGAGAGAACATAAGAAATACAAGTACGCATCCATAGAACATCATCTAAATGCTAAATTTTGCGGTGCATTTTCTGGCGTGCCGAATTCGAAGAGAGCAAAACGTTTCACAGGTCCCTTGGTGCTTTCGTTCACACTTGAACGCAACGTTCGTGAAGGTGGGTGTTCAGTTCAACGCAATTCAACTTGCATTACTTAAATCATTACGTAACCGAAACAACGGCAACGATTTACAACACGGGATGACAATAAGTAATACTAGTTGAACGATAAGTACAAGTGTGGGTGAGAGAACATAGAGTGCACTTAGAGGTGTAATTTTGTGTAAGTCAAAGGCATCGAGTAACAATCATAATAATAGTATTAATATAATAGAAATGTAAGAAAGAAAGAGTAGTGATATAATAAATGTAGGTTGATAACTGGATGTAATCAAGTATTAAGTATATGTATTGATAGTAGTAGTAGTATTAGAAGGTAGTACCTCACGTATACCCAACCGCAGGCAAAGAACACTTTGAAATCGCTGAAAACATAGACATAGAAACAGCACACAGCAGCAGCGACACATACAATTTTGTACAAACGGCAAACGGTTTGGATTTTTCGCGTTTGCCGTCAGCTTTCGGCGGCAAATGACGATGGGAATAGGTCGAGGGATTGGACGATGGTGCTCTGCTGGTGCAGGGGAGACTAATTAATTGCGACTGCCAAATGCACGCGCGCCCTGCAACTGCCTGATTAGGGTATAAACCAGACTCTGATTAAAACAGGAGGGCAAATACATACACACGTACACTCAAACACACCATTCGCTGTCGAGTCGTCTAGCTGGCCCAGGATGCTTGACTTCCGGTTTTCAGTCTCCCGTTAATACACAGTACAACTGCCATCAAGGCCCTTATCAATTATCTAATTTGACATTAACTCTAAGCTCGCAATCTCAATTAAGGCACACAATACTATCTCCTTCGTCTTATGATTAGTCTTATTACTTGTCAAAGTAATATTTTAGTTCTGCTAAACATTAATTTCAATATAACTACAAGAAAATATTGTATACACAACTAAGCAAACGCAAATTGTTTTTACATATTGTATTTTTTACACACATACAGAGTGCATTAAACTATTTCAAGGTAAATGAACTTCAACTAAATTTTCGCATAACAAAAACTTTGTTTATAGTAATAGTAAATTGCAAATTTACTTTATCTGTACAAACATAATGCAACTTATTATAGAAAAATAATACAATAAATAATTGTACAGTATAGAAAAAATGCATTTTATAGAGTGTAGTTCACATATTAAAATATCCAAATATTTTAACTATTAATGTATATTGATATTTGACTGTAGAAAACAATTTCATGGATTTATTGGGACAATGTAGTAATTATACTTTACCATCATATTTCAATATTTCTATATTATAGTTATATTTTTTTTAATTTTCAAATATGAATGACGTGTTATTTCGATCAATTAATGTACCTAGCGCCTCTACCATCAAGTACAATTGTATTAATAAGAAAATGAGCAAATACCAAATAAATTCCTCATTGCAGAAATTAAAGCTCTTGAAATATTTAAATGCGGATATGAATGACAAGTTAATATTTGCGCGTATTTTTGTGAAATCTAAATACGAAAGTAATATTATTATAAATAACGTATAAACGCATATTTTTTAATTTTAAATTTTATTCTGTCGATGTGCGTATAAAAATTATTCAGTTGTGCACTGGACGCGGAACAAAGTAATAATGAATTTTCAATTAGTCCAGTTACGTGTCAGGGTTCGGCCGAACTGTGGAGTATAGATGGCGCCATAAATAAATTAGCGTGGTGCGTGTATAATTGATATTGTTTTAATTGTCCGACCGGAATTTTCAAAATGCCTGCCTCCCGCAGAATACATACCATATACATGGGACGCATATGAAACACCGTTGTTTTGTGCATATAAACGCACACACTTTCTATACTTTATACATATATGTATATGTGTGTGTAAATAAATAAGCTAGTCTATAGTGTGAATAATCGTCACGCGAACCGCAAAAACTGCAACGCCTATCCCAAATCCGGATGGGGTTGTATGAGTTTGGTTGCATTTCCTGCATCAACTAGTCCAAAAACTAATGCAATCCACGCGCGAGAGTGTGTCACTCGAATATCCCATTTGCATACCAGCTATGTATCCATTCTGCAATTGTATTAACTGCTTTGATATTGCTCCAATTTTAACAAAAATCATTCAACCATAATCATAAAACTTGATAGGTTTTTCTACTTATATTAAATCTTGAAATAATTTGTTTGCTATAATTGAATTTTTATTACAAATAGGAGAGAAATGAATGAATGTATGCGATAAATTATACTTTTCCTGATTCATTTTGTACATTTCCATAAAAACGTTATGATTATTGATATTTATAGAAAATAGTAGGTTTTTTTATATTAATTTATAAAATTTTAGTCATTTTGCTGATCAATGGATGGATTTTCGTATACATTGTGTTATATTTTATTTTTCCTTAACATTGTCAAAAAGTAGTGTCAACATTATGTTGTGTTTCAATAGAGAAACAATAATGAAAGTCTATCTTTCTTCAATATCATAATTATGTATGGTCAAGACAAAGTTGGTAATATTAACTTTGGTTAATAGCCCTTTGGAGCTGTTATATTGTTGTACTATTATTGTTTGAAACGGTTATATAATTATTCATTGAACTAATGTAAATATTTATTTTTAGTTGTTTCGTTATATTTCTTGTTCTGAAATTAGAGTTACTGCTGTCTGCATTAAGTGTACTGTATAATTTGTGCAGGGGTCTAAAGATAGGTTCAGGGTGAAATGAAATTAACAATCAAATCAAAACGTTTGTTCTGTTATAGTTATTGTTGTTATAGTTCAGTGATGACAACCCTATGACACGTGTGACAAGACGAGACAAAAAATATTATAATATGGAAGTCATCCCCCGTTCATCATATATCAAAAAGTGTATCCAAGTTTAGCTACATACTTTTTTCCGAATCTTGACACACCTATTCCAAAAGGTTTGCCATCACTGTTATACTTGATGTCGGGAGGAGTAAATTTGAAAATAAAAGAGTGTGAGAGAGTACACCTAGTAAAAGAAAACACTGTTTTGCACATAGAGGTTAAAGCGTAAATAAAGGAAAAAAATAAGAGACTTACGTGCTTTCCGAAGGAATGATCTGTTCGCCGACGAGGCGCTCTGCGTGTGCCGGTGCTGGAGGTGGATACGGCTGGATCAGAGGCTGTGTATGGTAAAGTCCTGGCAATAGAAGATCCTCCCCTTGTCCTCCGGTCATCGCGGGCTGCGGAAGACCTTCGTCCACATCAAAGGGACATTGTATTCCCGTCGAGCAGGGTTTCGTTGGAGTCGGTTTCGTGGATTCTGGGCATCCGTCGTTCGGTCGGTCCTCGTGATCTCTGCATTCCGACACTCTTACCTGAATCCCAGATCCACACGACACCGAACACTAAATATAGGAAGGATCATCGTTAATTTTTGGCCTATTTGCAAAAGTTTGTTTGCAGTAAAAAGAAAAGGAATGACCAGTGTTGCGTTTTACGTACCCCTGACCACTGGGTCGTGTGCCATTTGGGACATTCGAACTGGTTACAGGCTTCCTGGAACCTGGGCTTATATCCGCTGCATTTCAATTCGTTTATCTGAAATTTATTCATACAAAAGCATGTAAAGAAAATACGTACATACACAAAGCGATTTAAATTATGTAATCTTTCAAATTCATTTTTTGTTAAGACAAGTAATCTTATATTAAATCGTGTATATCAAAACATGTATGTATGGTGGAATTCTGTATAAAATCTTTGATTCCTTGAAAAGAACAAAAACTTTTCAAACTTTGTCGAATTATTTTATAAACTATCCAAATATAACAAACTTGTCTAATAAGTGCATTTATATGTGATTCTAAATGCATTTTCCAGATATACTTTCAAATAGTTTTCCTATTCAAATATAAAAATAATCAATGCTTTTGAATGAATTTTTAATCTATTGGATTTTTGAATATTTGGAAAATTTAAATAAATAAATATGAAATACTTTGATTTATTTTATTTGCACATTTTAATATCCACAAACATACATACAATTTTAATGTTGTACGTTTATTTGCGGCTTAATTTTAATACGTTGCTCCAACCGCAAACGGAAGCAAAGTTTTCAAAAGCAAAAGTTGGGTTCGTTGCGCAAATGAAAGGATTTTTTAAAATATTTGTTTAGACCAACTTTTTCTCACCAAATTATTTTAGAGGTGAAAACGTGCAAAAATAAACTAGAAAATAAACACACCTGCATTTCAACGAATCTCTACCCCAGTTCTATAGGAAAGTTGCGCACGGGAAAATTTATGTAATACCCCTTTGTGAGTGCAGATGTGCATGGATTTGTGTACGTGCAAGAGAGAGAGAGATATAGAGATAAATAGGATTGTGGGAGAAAGATATCCTCCACCATCACACTATTCCCGAATTTATATAGAGCGTTTCGGTTAATAATCGAGAGTATACGTGTGCGTTAGAGTGAGATAGAGATAGTAAATGTATGTGTGCTCGCTCCTCAATTAAGGGTACTCCTCGGGAAGCGGGCAGAAGTTTGATTAAATTTTAATTGAACGCAGAAATAAATTTTCGAAAAACTTTTTTCTCCCCCCAAACAATTTCCCATCGGCATCTAATTGTACTTTCCCCGATTCCTACTTTATGATTGCCATCGGATCTTCGTCACAAACACATCCACTGCAAACAGCATTTCCTTTTGAAAACTTCCAAATGAAGCACAAAACAATTTGCATCTGGTCATGTTTATAAATTAGTTGAATTAAAGCTTGAATTTTATATATTGAAAAGCTCAGCATTAATCATAAATTAAATTATTACTGATTGCAATGTTATAATTTTCATTTTTTAACAGGATTATATCTAATGACTTACCCTTATTTTAGTGTTGTTTGCTTCTTCAACGCAGTGGACTTGTCTAATTTTGGATCCGCCCCCGCAGGTCACTGAACAAGAGCCCCAATCAGAAGAATGCCATCTAATAGAAAGAGCAAAAGAAAATCATATATGAATATAGCAGTAATTCCTGTAATTAACCTTTAAATCATCTCTTTAGCCAATGAGAGATATATATTTAATTTAAACCTAAATTGGAAATACCAGTGAAATTAATTGAGTAAAAGCAAGATTTTCATGATTGTACTGAAAATTAATATTTATAATTTGGCTGGTATCTTTTTTTTTAATTGTAATTAAATTACATTTTTGTAATTAAACAAAATTAATATCATTCTATTATTAATTAATATTACGTAAATTCGAAATAGAAAATTTTATAACTATAAATTATATCAAAAGTTTACATTCGATGTTTCATTATTTTTAGATACTTTTTCAAATTTTACAAGGTATTATACAGAATTTTGAGGCATTATGTAAATTTCCATATTATACTGATGAAATAATTATGTTTAGTCACAACGTCGACAATATTGTTGCAAATAGAAAAGAAAATGTGTTTGTTGTTGTTTGTGTTTTGAGAAAGTTGTTTTTTGTCGCATTGCGGAGAAAAAAATATCCAGAAATTGGTGTTTCTTTGGTTGTCAAGGTTTATATATATACGCGATAACGATCTGGCTCCGAAGAAGTGCGACCCTTACACAGGAGAAGTCTGGGAAGTTTCAAGCGGAGGACATCGTTTTTGGTATGGACACTCGTCACGCGAAATTGAAAAGAACGAGGGCCAAACAACCGAGGAGAGAAACCCTCGGCCTTCGCCCCTCGACACGGACAATTACAGGGAGGACGGCACCAAGATAAATTGCGAACGGACGGGAATGTGTCAAAGGGCGTCGCTTCAGGAGATCTTCGGAGCAAACAATTTGAATTTAGACGGCGTCTTTAGGAAACGGACCACTTCTACTACCATCGATACTCACTTGGGTGGACAGTTGTGCATGTTGCAGGGCACGACGGAAGCGTCCGGTTTCTGCGATGCGTTGCACAGTTGCTCTTCGACCTCTTCGCCGGACACGCGATTCTGGCAGACGGGTCGCGACATTTTGTAACCTGGAAATCAATTGATAGTTAGGTTTTTCTAACAGGATTGATCATTGAGATTACCTCCGCCGCAGGTCACCGAACAAAGAGATAGGGTTGCAAAGGTCCAGTGGTATAAGGGACGTGAGCAGGAGGAACCGTCTCCGCCGCAGACGCCGCACGCGTCTATCTGTTTATTGGAACCAATCCTCAGATCGCATCCGACTCTCTGAAACAGAACACCTACCGTTCTTATACAAGTTAAAGGCAAAGTTAACATTCTTTCGCCTCTTTGTACTGCTTTTGGCACGTCATGCGAGAGATGAAAGACATGTTTGAGGAGCCGAGAAATCCGCACGAGAACCACTAAAAGAGAACTCGACATTTGCATCCACAAGAACACACATTTTTATAATAGTATGTCTTACATACCATAATCGTGATCTGTAGACCTCGAAGCATGCATTTAACTTTAACACATCCTAAACTAAATTTTAATTTCAATAATGAATGTAACATACCTGGCATTTTCCATCGATGCACATGTCCAAACTACCAGGACGACATCTGGTGCCATCTTGAACCTTCTCGGCCAACCTAGCTACGATCATGACTGCATCTTCCTCGTCGGTTTTTCCTCTGCAGGTGAGCGCGCACGGATCGACATCGTCGTAGTGCGGAGTCCATGTGTACCTGGTGCCTTCATAAGGCGAGGTATCATACGCAGAGCATTGATCTTCGCGGAATTCGTGTGATTCTGGACACGGCTGCAAGCAATAATAATATGTTGAAGACGTGAGATAGAGGAAATTCTTACGTTTCAGCGCGTAATATTCCGTGCTTCACCAAGACCGGTAACAAGCACTCAAAGAGTATACGCCCTTATATAGAGGGCTCCTTCCAGCCAGACATCGAGACCGTGCAATAGACAATTTTATATAAGCGATTTTTATTAAACCCGTCGTGTAAAGATGAAAATACAAAATGCATTCCCATTCATATTAACATTCAAAATATAATAATACTTAATTTACAGTATTTATGATTTATGTTTTCAAATAAATAATAACTAAAAGTTATTAAATTAAAAATAAAGTCTAGTTCAAACAAAGATAAAATCTAAAGAAATTATAGACTTTATTCATTCGCAATTGAATTGATAATCTTTGTGAAGTTGGGTTGGTTGTTATCGCAGCCAGTGACGGAAACAATGAGGGAAAAATCATTACGATGTGTTTTCTTTAAATTTCCCGGAAACTAGAGCCGAAAAGCAAAGTCAACAATAAGGGTTTGCGCTTTTCGGTCGCTTTGTTTCCGCCACGCGATTTGTTTGCCTTTCATTGTGCGCGTGTTTGCAATGTTTCAATTCCTCTCCACAACTGAAGAACCGCATACATACACACACTAAAAAATAGCAAATTCCTTTTCATTTTATCAGTAACCATTGTTCAATCAACAGTCAAAGTCACAATAGTCTACAGAATTTAAAGAAAGCAATTGCAACGAGTAACTTATAAAATATATCTGCACTGGTACTTCTTATTAAAGAGCTATTTTTCATAAAGTTGCAAAGTGATAAATCTTGTTTTAATGAATGAAATAGCTACTACTAAAATCTTGAATTATACAACAAATTTACAATGATCCAGGTGTGAAATATTGTATTCTATAGGAAAGTTAACTTCCAAATTTCTAGAAACAACTGATTTTTAATCAACTGAATTAACATTGGATGGTTTCAAGATTCATCCCTTGACGTACCACCTAATTAAATAGTAATTCCTCTTTCCTGTACATTTTCTAGAAAATTATAATAATGCTATACTAAAGATGTTCAAAAGGTACCACCGTCCCTCAAAGAGTTAAGAAACAATAAAAATGTAAAAACCGACAACGAATGTTGAAGGTTTTTTTGCTGCGGCTAATTACAATAATAACGAGAGAGAAGGAAGAGTTGCAGGAAACGTTTGTCTTGCGGAAGATCTCCCGGTGCGAAACTTTTTATTCGCCCGAAAACGCTTTGGAGCCCTTAATTAAAGCGCCCGGGGGCGGAAAGCCTTTTTCGCCGAGGCCCTTCCAGTAGGCAGGAGGAAAGAGAATCGCTGAACTGCACTTTATTTCATTTTTTCTACTCGTCGTTCCACCCGGTTTCACACTTGAGCTAAATACAAAAATGAAATAAGAGACGAGCAAAAGAAAAAAAATCGTAAAAATAAATAAAGAAGCAGGTAAAAACGGGCTCCGTTTTCTTTTAAGCGCAAATTCATGCAAATGCCCAGCACTCTTCAAATTACGCAACGACCTGCAATTTCGACACGATTACGTAATTGAAACGACGCCGCAGCGACGATACAAAATCGGATCGCGCAAATCCTCGGCGGATGCGATGGGATTTACGAACTTTGTTGGTGCTTTTTTATTAGTAAACGAAATTTATATACGCGTGCAACAAATAAATACAAAATAAAACATTTGCAATGCTTTTGTCGCATGCAAATGCGGATTAAATTTTAAAATTTCGTTAATTGTCCAATAAACAAATTACGATCCTGTGTGTGTCCGATTTTTTTTTTATATTTTACCGCTTTTTCTCAGCTACAAATGAAATTCGGTATACGACCTATTTCATTACCGATAATAAAAGTTATTGCACGTCGTTAAACAAATTGCTTAATCCACTTTTTCCTTTCGTCGTGTATATAAAATTGTAGTTTCTAATAAAAATAAAGTTTCTTTTATCCTTTCTTATACACAAAAATACAATTTTATGTCACTTACATTTTATTATATTTTTTTTACTTCCCAACACATTCACATATAATGAATTTAATGCTTACATTTTAATTTAAATCATGTTAAATTTATTTGTATTTTTATGTTCAAATTCATCTTATATATTAATAAAGTGAATATTTTAATAAAATTCTCATTGTATTTTTAATATTTATAATTCAATTTGGTAAGCTCTGTTTATTTCTATTGCAAATTGAATTAATACCGGATACATTTAAAATTAAATAACGCTTTGACCACCATATTTGTATAGTGAGTATTGGTCAATAAAAATATGGTTTATTCAACTATTTAAATTCATTTAATAAAATTAAACCGCACGCAATTTGTATTTATGGAAATATTTAATTTACATTCCGATGCAAGTGCTAAACGAATATTTATAAATAAATTCTATAAATATTATCATATCCGTTCCAAAATAAGCGTTCAATTTCATAAAAAAATATGTATGCGGATATATAATGTGAATTTTCACAACTAAATAATAACTTACAATGAGAAACATTTCAAAATTAATACTTATACGTAAAAATTTAACAAATTAGTAACTATAAACGGAAAAGTTCCTGCAAACGCAGTTTGTCCTTGCTCATGTGAGGAAGCTTGTAATCGTTGCCTCCTTTATGAAACATGGTCTTTTATCCCGGGAACTAATTTCTCTGTAATTCGAATATAGACTTTAATTTAACTTTAAACAAATTGTCAACCGATAAAGTACTAAACTAATAATTCCTACAAAATTTTACCTGTTCACTACTAAGACTATTTTGAAAAATCTCAAACTTCAAGCTGCTACTAGAATCACTTTTTCCATAGCTAATTTAAATAAATAACTACGAATATATTTGATGGATGAAATAACCAATGCAACGAGTCTAAAATATATGTTTGTAGAATAAATACATGTGGACTAAATAGAAAAAATCAGTTAGAATAGGAAGATTACAACTATGTAAAAGGATGCACAAAAGGATTAAAATATTCAAAAAGAATTTGAACATGTTTTTCATTGACACTAAAACCGCATGAAAGCATAATCACAGAATAACTCATAAAATGTCATTTGCGAAGGAAATAAAAGTATAAACCACGGCTGCGTTTTCGGTAACAAAAAAAAAGAACAAATAATTAAAACAGAACTAATTAAACTGATTATTATAACATTGCGTAAACCGATTCAAATAATGATTTTTCGTGCGGTACGATTAATTAGCAGTCGGTGCACGTCCGCCGCTATCGCCGATTGGTCGAAAAATAATTACGATATCGATATTATATAACAATGCGAACGTAATTTATGTATTATCATAATATTACCATGCACAAAACAGCGATGCAGAAAAAGAGAGAGGAAAAAGAGGATAATGGCCTGAACGTAATGGAGATATTGCATAGATTGTGCATTATTAATTTTAATAATTTCAGCTCTTGTTACAACCTATTGCGCGTAGTTCATTTGCCGATTGAAATCTACATTAAAATAATCACAAAAGAAAACTAAGTAAATTATTCAGTTTCTTAATATAATTATTAATAAAGAATGAAATGAATACTACGTATTAAAATTAATAAAGAATATTATATAAAGTAATTAATAATAATAAAAGATCAGATTAATTAGTATTTTCCAAACGTAATGAATATAGAACTAATGTTTATAGATTCAGTTAAGTTTTTATAATTGTAATTTTTAAATATTTTAGAATGTGACTAAATGTCAATAATATTTTCAAATTTGACATTTATTATATGTCTACTTTGAAAATGGTTTATTTCAGGTCTTACTGTACTATTTTAGTAATCCAAACCTGTCACCCATCCAAGTTTAACTGTTTAACTTTTCTAATTATTTATAACATAAATTAAGTAATAGAGTTTGTTGTTTTACCTGCATGTTGCATATTTTGTATCGGATGTTCTCGCCTCGACATCCTTTCGTCCTGCACCGTCTCAGTTGATGAGAGACACCGCCGTCGCAGGATCTGGAGCACGCTGACCATTCCGACCACGCCGTCCATCCATTAGCACGGATCTCAATTTCTTGTAGCTGCGAGGACAACTCCTAGAATAACAGCATTTCAGACATAAGTTATTTAACTCGGGAAAACATACGAGAGAAGAGAAGAGTTGGGGAATCGCACGACTTTTCAAAGAAGAACTAGGACGAATTAATGGAGTTTCGCGGGAGTGGCTTTTATTCGCAGAAACGAACTTCCCGAAGGCTACAATAAGTTGATGCAAAACGTATTAAGTTAAGTACGGTATCGGTGAGTGTAGCAAAACTAAACTCATTTCCCTTTTCTTAATTAAGAAGCAGTTAGCAGTACCGACATTTAAAAGGGGTGGTCATAATTGGGGGAGCAAAATTTCTATTTTCGGAATTGTCAACTGAAGTGAGCACAATCCCGGCCATCAGACGGAAGCGGAACGGCAGCCTTTAATGTTGGATTGTGGAAGGTATACAAACATTTGCGAAGGGCTGAAATGTTTGGAAGAGCATTTGTTCCCTTCTATAACAATTCTCCCTCTAATTATTTGCATACCGAAAATAAACATTTTAGTGACCTAATTATGCAAGAAAATTTACTTATGCCGAAGGTATACGGTTACAATCACCAAAAATAATCTACATTACTATCACATATTTATTTATTTATTAAGGAAATTTTCGATTTGTAATGCGAATTAAATGTGTAATGGCATTTACAGGTCGCATTTCTTTTTAAATGGCCTCGTAAAAATGTTCATACCAGCTCTAAAACGAATTCAGTTAAGTAATAACAGTAGTAAAAATTAAATTGCAGTTTAGATATAGTCATATAATAAAATGAATTCAACTTTAGTGATTTTCTTTTTACATAACATTAAAATGTTAATAATTTAAATATACCTTGTTTTGTATTGAAACTATTAATTCAATAAACAAATATATCAAACACATATTTTTCAAGCTTAATATCTACGTATTGATATACAAAAATACATTTTAAGTAATTTTAAATGGTAATGTGTATTTTTTTATTGCAAAATTATTTACTAAACGATATAATTGTAAAGACAATAATAATTAACTTATATAACTCATTTTGCATTGTGACAAATATTTTACAATTCCTTTCAATGATATTATTTTTATATAAAGTGATTATTTGTATTGATTTTTAATGTATACTTTTCAAAATTTCACAGTTTCCATTCTGCATTTATTATTTCAAAGGTAGTCTAGTCATGCAATATAGTAATTATTTCTTCGTAAATTTATTTACCAGTCAACATTAATAAATGAAAATACTTAGAAGGATGTTCAATTATGTAAATATTGACTAGTTTTGAATATTGCAATAGATTTAATTGTAAAATAACATTATTTTTTTCTATTTATTTGTACTTTCTTTTTATACATTGTATTTTATATTTCATTATTTTAATTTCTATTTTCTCCGAAATTTTACGTACACTTACACTTATTATATTTGCTCTAGGTTAGAAAAATATTGTCTTTATTTAGATACTTCTGTCTATTTCATCACCTCCATTTAGAAACGCTTTGTTAAGTCTGACCATATTAGTATAATATAGTATTAGTATTATAGTATATATTTCCAATAAAATTATATATTCATTTTATAGAATTACATATTTATCGCTATAGTCTCAGTTTCTGACTTAATATATTAAAGTCAGATAACTGGTAAATCAGTGTACATTATAATGTGCTCTAGTTAAAATAAAAACAAAAATTTTCTTTCGAAAACACATTAAAATTAAGTTGCCTATACATGTTTATTAAATTTTAGCAATATTTTCAATGAAAAAAAAAATGTGGAATTATCTGGTAAATTCAGGAAATTTTAAGCTTAAATCGTATAATAAGTAAATTATAGTGACTTAGATCAGGGAAAAATATTATTTTATGAACTTATTTCATGGTATTCTGCTATACAATTTTTCTATTCGTTACAACAAAAAAATAACTTATACAGAAGTGACAAGTATTACTTGAATGTAGGTTTATGCTCACTTATACTTATACTTTAAATGTTCAGGTACTTATAAGAACCGTCAGGGGATAAAGGGTTAAATTGCAACGTTGAAAGAATATATTACATTTTTTTTACAAATCTTTTCAAACCTCTAACAAAATTATATTTATTCCCATTGTTATAGTTAACCATTTTTTTTAAGTCACCTTTTGTATTTTGGAGAAAATACATTTTGCTTGGGTCTAATAAGAAACATTTACTGTATAAGGTTGTAGTATCCTCTAAATGTTTGAATTATGATAATACAAGACAACATATTTAGAGTTTATCTAATTCTGAAACCATACCATGCTTCATATGGGACATGTATATCAAGTCGTGTATAGATGCCAGAACAGTGTGCAATTGTTAATGCTACTGGGCTCGGTGAGAATGCAGTTGGTACATCTGATAGGTAATAAAACCTTACAAAATTTATAAAAAAATAGTTTGCTGAAGGTAAATACTATTCTAACATTTTCTCTTGGAATTGTGAGTATTAAATGGAGCATAAGTTTGGATGTGTAGGAGACCAGAAGAATGACGTGGCAGCGTTTGAATAATGCTGGTTTTCGCTGATAATTAGGTGAATCAAAATCTGGTTGGTTTGCGTTTGTTATTATCAGAGTAAACGGAGCGGCGGAGCTGAAATAACAAAATCAGGAAGGCAATAAGAGGAGCGACGGAGGCGCCTGGAAGCGCACCCTTCCTCCTCTTCCTTGCCTTCTCGCCGCCCCCGATGAATAATGCATTGTTGATTCGACGAAGTTACCACTCGCGAATACTTTCATTCACTCTTCGTTTTGTGCATTCCTTCAGTGCGTGTTCTTCTCTTCACCTATCTCTCCCTCTCTCTCTCTCTCTCTTGAGTATATATATATACCCTCATGGGTCCTTGTATTATGACTTCCGTTCCATTTCCTTGGGGGAACGAAAGGGAAAAAGCGGCAGGCAATTAGTAGAGCAATAGGGAAAATACACACTGCTTATTGTCGCTAGAATTTGGGTGGTTCCCAAGAGAGAGACTTAGCATTGGGCTCAGGGTTTGAGAGAAAGAGAGAGAGAGAAGGAAAGGGGGGAAAATAATGGAGAAAAGGGTTTTGAATTAAAAATTCAGAGCGTCGCGGCCGAAATGCGATTTTAAATTCAACACCGGCTGCCGCCAACTTTTATTAGATTATAAAAATAAGTTCTCGCGCGATTTTTTAATGAATTCCGGATATACGCGCGCGCCTTCCAAAGGATAATGAAAAAAAAAAAAAAAGGAAAGAAAAAGAGACAAAGGGAAATTTATTTTAATAAGATTTTCACCACCCACGAAGGAAACAAATGAAAACTGAAATTACAGAACTGCTGCGATCTACTCTATATAATTTGTTATTTCGTGCACAACAACAGCATTCTCAACAGCCTGCGAGTACATCCACTATGTCAAACGATATCGGTAGTAAAAATATTTGCTCAGGTAATTGTGTTACGTAGAATGTAACTCTCGATTATTATTATTATTATTCACGCAGCGGTGCTTTTAAATGAACGGGAAAAGGGAGAATGGGGACGATTTGCGTGTGGTGATGGTGGAAAGTTTCGGTTATGCATCGAAAATATTTTGTTAAACTTCTCGGAACGAATGTTGGTGGAGGCCTACGAAGTTTGGTTTGTTTGGTTTGATGGGATTGCGCATGGCTCGAGGTGGAGATGAGGATAGGCATTGAAACTTCGTCGAGTTCGCGTCTGGTTCTAATTAGTAACTGAGGAATATAACAATTGAAGTTTTGATAGGTGCTACATCACATCCAGTCGCTGCTGAAACTCCGCCATATGTCTTGACCATTTTAACAGCTGTATTAAGGAAAGAACTGACACTACGCCGAAACTCTGCAAAACACGTTCCAACGCAAACACCTCGTAATAGATTTGATACTAATCTCAAAATTTTGTTGTCCTCATTAATATTATCCTTTTTTTTTGCTCAAAGTTGCAATATGCTTAATTAGAAACTGTTATTTTCTCAAATATTGATGTGACATTTACAAAATACGTCTTTTTTTGGTAGATTTAATGTGAATATTCAAGAATTTTTATGGTCATTTATGTTTTTTTTTATCTATAAGAAATTTTAAAATTATACAATTTTTAAATAAACATTCTTTATATGATTGTCATGTAAATGATGCACAAAAATTTGTCATTTTACTTGATGTAAGTCGTGTGGAGAAGTAATGGATGTGGCGACGGGAGTCGTCGTTGAATAATATACAAGACATATAGTGTATATAGTGGCCATCCATTCAAAGGGATGAAATCTAAATGGAACGGCGTGTGGGATTTAAGATGGGAACAAAGTGCGAGAGCGTTAGATTTAAACTTCAGTACGTGCGCTGACATAGCCAAAGGTAGTGGCAATTGTAGTGCACGGTATACGACGGAGTGGCGGGATCGAGGTGAGAGGTTGAGGTGTGTCTTCTGCAGATTATCAGCAACAGGGAAAAACACTTTTCGCGCTGCGGACAGATTTTTCTTATTACGTAACCCGGGTGACACTACTCACCTGGCTGGAATTATCTTCCTCCTCGATCGTCTGAAGCACTTCCTCGACAACCTCACCTGACGACGATGGATTGGTTGCGTTCTCCGTTCCACCCCATGTCTGCAAAAAATAATAGAAAAACATATATATATAACAAAGAAACTAGATTTAAGATTTTAGCAAACATATTTTTCAACAAAGAATTTTATACTTTATCAGAAATTTCTATTGAATACAAGAACACCCGTCTATTCCCAGATTAACTCTAAGGTTCTTTTCCATTAAAAAGTATATATATATATTATATTTCAATCGTCCACTTCAGGACGATCAATCTAAAGTAATTATTTTCAGTTCTCTAGTCTTATACATGATTTTGGTTTTAAAAATAAACTGAATTCTAAATTATTTGTTGATACTTTCATTAACTTGCATAAATATACAAATATTTTCCTAGTACAATGCAAATCCAATTTATATAATACTGCTTTATTACTTGTTTAGGGCAAAAATTCTCAGATAATACAAAATAAATATAACTTTTAACATTTGAAATAACTATGTTTTGCCATTTAATTTTAATTTTTAAATAATAGGTAATTTCATCACATTATTTAATGATAATAATTCTCTTTAATTCAACAATATTGCAAGTGCCATCTCTTCTTTAGTGGGAATACGATTTGCTTACTGTGTGCACATTTTAATTCTGAATTCCTCACATACTATACTGCTCGCTAAATTGTACTATTACACAAAATTTTACTAATTATCATGCATCCAAATGTTTGAAGAGTGAATATTAGTCGAGTGGTTAATAACAAGGTGACGTCTCTGCGAGAAGTGGGACAAATATGAAAGTTTTATGCTCCAGAACCACAAAGATTGTTAACATACACGTGTACATGTTTAGAGCTGAAAGGGTCTAATTAGAAAACAAAAGCTATTAAAAAACCTGAAACTTTTTATGTCCCATTACAAAAGCTCTTGCATCCGATATAAAACGAGCATTTTAAAATACCATTGATGATTAAGTATGCACAATTTTCTCATTTATTTATGAATTTTGCATAAGTTCAATCTAGTATATGCAAAAAATCCAATTAAATAGATAAATATTTACATAAAATGTTAGATTGTCGAGTGAATTGTAATGTCTCTGATTAGAGAGCAATGCTATAAAACATCTTTGATTTCATCTGCTAGAAGCGAACCGGAGAGAAGAGAGGAGATACGCGATCGCTCAACAGAAGAAAATACGTATAAATCCTGTACGTTTTTGGCTGCGAGTTGTTGGGGTTGGGGACAGAGGATAAATCTGATAAATTTATAACGACGCCAGCAGTCGCGACGCTAACGCAACTAAAAAAAATAAATCGTGTAAAACTATTTTTCGATTTCTTTTTAAATCGCGATTGGTTTGCATGGGATGATCTTTAGAGCAGGTGCGTTTTCAGTTTATCCTCGGCCCTATATGAGCTCCTAGGAATTAAGCGAAGACGATGGCCCATAACTCAAAGATTAGGCGTCTTTGTCTCGGTTGGTGCGTTATTTACGATCGCGGCAAATTTGAATTTTTGACAAATTGCTCACTAATTAAAAGCGACACAATTTCCACACCACCTCTTAAGCTCGTTTCCCACGTGTTCGTTCTTTTCCATTTACTTTTTTTGTATTAGTTAACCTGACACTAAATAATATTTATAAGCGAGCGAGGCCGTTACCCGACGCATCCACCATTTCCAATGACACCGAACTAAAATATATTTTAATAAAACGGACGTTGTAAATTTTCATTCATAATTGTTTATTCGTTACATCATAATAAAAATCTACATCACAAAATAATTTAATACTTTGATGTAAGTTTGAAAATAAATTGAAATTGAAATATTAAAATAAACATAAATATTTCCAAATAAATCTTGCATAAAGTATAAACTTTTCACATTTGTATTTCACTACTTAAATCATTCATGAAAATGAGATAAAATCCAAATTTAAGATTTAATTCTAAAAGTTATTATATCTATTGTAATTAAAAATGATTGAAAACTTTGAGAACAAAGAAAGAAAATATGTTTTTTTTTATTATGTGACCTGTTTTTTTTTTTTCAAATTCAAAACTACACGACAAAAGTAAAGAAAAGTAAATATTATATAATTTAAAAAAAGGAATTTCTGCTCTACAAGTTATTGTGTTTGCTTTTACGTTATAATTTTATTGAATTACACGCCTTCAAAGTGGAAAATAAATACACAAAAGTGAGTACTTTCAAAATAAAAAACGAGAATATATTAGTGACTAATTTGTTGTAATTTTCTGTTGTTGTATCTTCTTTATTTGGTAAAACAGAGACAACTTATGTTAACACCTAATACATATTGAAATAATGGTAATTTTGTGTTTCGATGTTGATAAATCAATTGTCATAACTAATATGACATATGAATTGTCATAAAGAATATTTTTACACAAAGAAATAAAATGGATTCTTTCAAAAAGAAGTTGACTGTTTCTACTTTTTGGAAATTTTTGAATGCTACTGATATCAATCGAATAAATATTTAAGACAACATTTCATAGTACTAAATGAAAACCTTAATAATTATTTCCCGGAAAATGAAGATCCACCGTCAATTTTACGTGGATTAATAATACCTTCTTGCGCGCTTGATCATTGTGACAAATAAAAGCTTCTCGAATCGAATCTTCATATATAAAATGAAATCATTGTCTAAATTTTGCATATCGCTCGATAAAGGAATTCCATCTCCGTAAGACTTTTCTATTATGTCAGTAATAAAAAAATAAACTGATAAATCGAATAGATTGCATTGATGTAGGTAAGGCAATTTACATATTTTGCTCAGAAAAAAATAAAATAATTTTGACGAAGCAAATACCGAAAGAATCCTTGTATACATATTTAAAATTTTCATTCGGTAAATAATAATAAAATTGTAAATCACATAATTCTTTAATATTTGATAATGAAAGAAATCGAAATCCCGACAGTTTAAAAATCCCTACAACTATAATCCCGACAGTATCAAAATCCATACAACCATAATCCCGACAGTATCAAAATTCCGACAGTATCTTTTATTATTTGATATAGACGTAAAACAAATTAATTTAAAAATGAAAGTTTGTCGTGTTTAATCATTATTATAATTATTATTGTTAATAGAGAAAAAATATGTATTTAATTATTTCGATCGCATTACAGAATGATTGCCAAGATCCGCTAAAATGTTCGAGATTTTAATACTGTCAGTATTAGGGTTGTCGGAATTATGGATGTCGTGATTTCAAAAGTCGGGATTTTGATCTTCATCGAAGAATTATGGGATAAAAATATATGATTTTATGATCGCCTTGTATAAAATATTATATATTGAAATAATCGTACTTAATTATAAAAGGACATATTTCAAATAAATGTACTGAGTTGAATAAATGAGTAATGACGGTGGACATAAAACAATACTTTCTGTCAGCAGTGATATTTATAAGTAGGATTTTAGCCAAAAACTGTATGTGGGTCGTGCATTAATCCCGAATATAAAATTTTATATCCGAAAGGATAGAATCGAAAATAGATTACCATAATAATACGGAAGCTGCGAAATTACATATTCCGTTCTCATGATTCTCGTGATTCAGGCTGAGCATCTCCCTCTTACATACACCGAATATTTTTTTTTATTATTATTTTCTTCTCCTTCAAATTTCACAATCCCTCTCTTATTCCCCTATTCCACATTTACTTTCATCTCTAATTTAATTTCATACTGATTTCCCTGTAGGTCGTCATTCGTTTCCCCAATTCGAAACGCGAAATCTCCGAGACTCAGAACATATAATTAAACAAGAATATATAACCACGTGAAAACAGAATTATCATCATTTTCATTTGCGGTGATGTTATTTTTTTTTTCAATGGGGAAAATTTACGCGCAAATAATTTTACGATCGAAATGGGCGACAGATTTATTAGCGGGGACGGTGTGGTTTTTCGCCACGGAGGAAGGCGGAAAATTCCGCGCGCGCCGGATTAAAAACACATCAAAGTTAAATTGAATTTTTTTTCCCACCACGTAGGAAAACATTTGTTACGATCTCTCCGCGCGTTCCCCTGGAAACCCGATTTCCGGTGCAGACCGTTTTCGATGGAAGGAAAAAAGAGGAAGAAAATATGTAGCAAAAAAAGTAAATACATGAGAGGGTGAGAGGTAATGGAGATTACAAAAAATATGTAAGAGGGGCTTAGAAAGAATGTCCGAAAAAACGCGGATTGGAGGTCTTCGATTATCTACTTCTTTCTTTTATTTCCTTTCTTTGTATTTTCTTTTTCATTACAACAAATCGATATAAAATATGATCAGTTTTCGAATAGTACTTAAGAATAATCGTTGAAATATAGAAAAGTATAAAAATATACAACTAATTACTATAATGATAGTAGAAGAACTTCATAGATTTAATAAAGTGAATTATGAATGAATTTAGATTAAATAAATTACTTTAAAGTATAAATAATAAAAGTATATATTTAATACCGAAATTTCATGTACACATAATCCTACCGTGATGGGTCAAAATGGTCCTTAACTCTGAGCGGCGGTGGTACGCAATGTACCACCTTTTGAACGTTTCAAGTAGGGCATTATTATAATTTTCTAGAAAATGTACAGCAAAGTTGATTCAGTTGACTAAAAATTAGTTGTGTCTAAAAATTTGGGAAATTCTGGCCTCTCAAAGAGTTAAAAACAAATTATATTTTGCAGTTTGTACATTTCCTTTCATCCAAAACAATCCGATAATTAGCAGTTTAAAACTCGCTCTCAAAATTCAATAAAAAATTCCAATTTTGCCTACGTTCCATTTCTCATACTTGTTAGTTGTATAAAAATCTGAATACTTTCTATGATTATCTAATCTCAATGTTATTTCAAAATAATACATATTGACATTTTTTTAACAAATTGACCGGCAAGTTACATTTTTTTACTGTGAAAAATTTAAAATAAAACAAGAATTAAATACCTGAAATAACAGGTTATACCTACTTTAGAAATAGTCATAAAAATCAAAAGTTACGTCATAATGCTAT